TAATCGTACACCTGAGCCCCCACGCATGCCCTGTGTGTGTGTGCTGTGCATTCAACACCCCCCCCAAAAAAAATCAAAAAGAGGGCTTGACGGATTGTAGAGGAGGAACCAGTTTTATAACATTTGATGCTGTTCTCTTGGCTGTTTTCTAAACTAGGTGTCAATTCACAACAGGCTTCAGACGTACCAGCTCAGCAGCAGCACGGCTCCGAGTCCCGAGAGCGTGGCCCTTCTTAACCACCGGGGGGAGCTGCTTTTCCAGCAGGTGCCCCAGGCTCTGACCCAGGGGCCTCCACCCCAGCACCCTCAGCTGCAGTCAGCGGCGAGCACCCCCACCCACCACCTTCACCACCTCCACCACCAGCCTGCTGTCAGCATGGCCGACCTGCGGCCTGAGACACTCATCCAGTGTCAGCAGATCGTCAAGGTCTTCATGCTCGACAACAGCGGCCACGGACGCATGGAGGCCTTCCTCAGCCAGACGCCCACGCACCACCACTACCAGCACCACCATCACCACCATCACCAGCTCAGTCAGTCGGCCATGTCCACCCCGGTTCGCTCGCCAGACGGCTCCCACGGCAATGACAGCCACCAGCCCCCGCTACCGCCTCCGCCTCCACCTTATAACCACCCTCACCAGTATATCCCTCCAGACCCTCGCCTCAGCCTTCATCGGACCCCCAGCGGCTCTCGGAGCATGGTGTAAATAAAATAATTAGTATCTTCCCCCAACACACACACACTCACACACCAATCCAACCCCTTTCTCCACCTATTTGAAAGTACATAATGTACATATATACATACAGAGCTATAATAAAAAAACAAATCTCACTTATATGCATATATTTAAGGAAAAACAAGCAAGGAAATGAAGATTTTAAAAGAGATAACAGAGAAATAAAGTGCATATATATACAATTTTACTTGATTCCACATGTATTTTGAAATATTATGTAGTTTTAACAAATTTCTATAACTTTTTGTCAGTTTTAACTCTTGCTAGAGAAACCACATTATCAGTTCCTGGATGGATGGATTCCTTGCAGTCCCTTAAGTCAACAACAACAACAACAACAACAACAAAATTACGTGAATCGTACGACTTTTCTTTCGGATTGTGATGGATGAACTCTTAAAGGAACTCCCGCCTCTGTTTTTGTGCTTTTCTCGTCCCAAACCTCATGCCTACTGTGCTGTATGTGCGCCTGCGTGCATAGCTGACACTTAACTCGAGTGCCAAAATACATTCGCCTCCACCTAACACTGACTTCTTTGCACTTGACTTAATGCTAGGGCTAGAAGAAAATTTTAAAAAACTTCCTTTTTGCTTTGAGAAAAAGAAATAGTCCTTTCACGCTTCTCCTTCTAGGAGCACAAAAAAAAAAAAACGAATAGCAAAACTGATATTTCATAAAACCCCATTTTCCTGTTAGTGCTGTTGCTGATTTATTCATGTGATGGAGAGCCTTCCCGTTGATAGAAAAGAAAAAAAAAATACCTCCTCTGATAAGCTGTGTTTGTTCGTCATTCTCCTCCGCTGTAATGTTGTGGCTCTCTATCATCAGAAAACACTCTCACTCAGTCGTCACTCCATAGATCATTCCACAGCAAAGGATGACAGGAAACCAAAGGCAAACCAATCATGTGGATTGCTGCCATGCCAAAAAGTCCGCCCAGGAACGTGGTGTTAATCGTTGTTTGTCTTCTTCTCCTCATCTCGAATATCTGAAACCAGGAACTCCTGCCACTTTTATCTGCTGACAGAGGGAAAAGTTTTTGGAGATTGTTTGAGCTGCTCTTTGACTTTTCCAAAATATGTCCGCCTCTGTTTTAATCCACGTGAACAACGCACTGTGCTGTCTGCTGTTGTTTATGAAACGCTTCTTTGCTCTTACAGAGAACGGCCATGATATTTCCACGGAGATTCTCCTGCCACAGCTGTAAAATGTCAAGATCTGTGTTTATTTTAATATTCCACTTCTGTGCCGTTTTCCATAGAAATATCCAGACTTTGTCTTTATGTCGCTACAACTCCCATCCTAACCTTTCAGTGTGACATTTTCAAAAAAATACAGAGCCTCACGCTCAGCTCCCATTGCAAATGCTGGCATTATTTAATAGTATAGTTTGTGCTGTCGGCTAGGCTGCTTTAAATAAGAATGGAACAAAAAGAATACATTATCTGATCCCCTTTTCCCTCACAACCCAGCTTAGATTGTAAATACCACATTTCCAGCAGTGTCTGAAAGGACAAGCAAGCTACCTTTAGCCCCCGTCAAAATGCGACTGTCCCTCACTCGGAAATAGGTCAGCCTGAGTGCGTCCATCTTTAAAACATAAGCCCCAGCAGGTATTGTTGGAATGGATGTGCGGTCAACTCTGCTCACATCTGACCCCCATCTGTCTGATTTGTTGATTTATAATCACACAGCCGCTGCGGGGAGGTCTCTATCTCATCTTTCTGTCCTTTTCCACTCCTGATTTCACCCTGTGGAGAGGCAGAGGGTGCAGAAATGAAAAACAATCAGCTGCTCTGGCTGATGTGGGTGTTGGACCCCGGAGCAGCAGCCAAACTTCGCTGCAAACAAAGTCGACCCAACCCTTAATGTTCAATCTGCTACATTTTCTGTTGTTGTCGGCATTATCTTGAGGAATGAGTGCTTTATTAATGAAAATATTTGCCATATGCGAACTTCTAAAGTCATTAGCTTTGAGCAACAAGTTCAACGATAATAGGTTTAGAATTGTTGGATGATGATTGTATGATTTCTAATTTATTTATTGAAAAACCCAGATATGTTGTGATTCGTTTTTCATGCATGAAAACCCTTTTCAGGCCTATTTGACCCGTAATTCTGCCAATATTTTTGTGCATGAAGGAGCAATGATCAAACAGAAAGATTTTTTTTATGCTTTGATGAAACTGAAACAATAATTAAAGACAGCAAACACCCTTTTGAAACAGATAAATCAAGGAGATTATGGCAAATTTAGACCATCAGTCCATCTCCGTTTCCTTGCCTTTCACCACCCTGTTCGTGTCAACACAGTTTTTCCTACTTGACGTGTTCAAGCATTTTTTGAAGGAGGACGCGTTGTGTGTGCAAGTAAAGGAGTGTGAGGCACACGGAGTCGATGTTTGAAAGGAAACCAATGTAGCATTCTGCAGCATACTGACACGAGAGTTGCTAACTTTCGTGAAGAAACTGAAAAAAAAAAGGGCTCTGCCATACCAGTGCACTGCATCATGAATGACGTGTGAATCTTTTGTCTGGCTCTTAAACACTGTGTTTGCTCATACTAGTTAATAAAAAAAAGTATCAAAAATGTGGACATACCAAGGGAGAGACAGGTGGAAACTGAGTGTAACAGACATGAACCATCACCTTCCTCAGTTGGCTTTGAACCCCTCTCTACCTGTCTTCGCAGTATATCAACATGCTATTAAAGATTATTTAATTCTATTCACCACACTGTTTGGCTTGTTGCTTCTTGAAATTACAGCGTTTTTGATTAATATTTTCAATTCCTGTACTATAAAAATAAAACAGAAATTTTAGAGTGAACAGCTCAAACTTTCATCATGCAAAAAACTTTGGATTCGTTTAAATTTTGACTCCCCATAATAAGGTTTAATAACATATGAACACACTGTGCATTTTAATCATTAGACTAGAGGTTGCACAGTTAATCCCATGCGATATTATTGCAAACAGTGCACACATAGTTGAACCTCTGCCAGCCCATGTGCAAGAAGGGTCTTTGTTGTTGTCAGGTCTTTAAAGGACTTCAAAGTTTTCAAAGTAACTTGATGTTAGCCATCATGGAAGCTCTATACTAATCACACACACTGATCACATTCTGGATGTTGTCTGTCCAAATTATTCGACAATTTTCAAGCTTTGTGGCCTGTTACGTAGGGTGACCATACGTCCTCTTTTACCTGGACATGTCCTCTTTTTGTGGGGCTGTCTGGCTTTGTCCAGGGAAGTTTATAAACTTCTTCAAATGTCCGCGGTTTTGTACGTTAGTTTCGATTTTGTGGCACGTGGACTTGCTGAGTTAGAAGCGCATAAAAGACACCCAAAAAACTCTCAAAATTAACTTCATTCGACTTCGTGACTCTGCCCCTGCATAGTTCAAACTGGTTACGTTGCTGTTCAAAGCTACTATTTTTGACCTTCATAAATACACAAATTCATATTGATATGAAAAAATATGTTGATTTCCCTGTCTGGGATGAATAAAGTTCTTCTTATTTTATCTTACAAAAGCAACCAAGACCGTCACTGACATGATCGGAAATATCTGTTTCAAAATGTTCAATATTCGTGCAAGCGGGTAAGTTAGCCTTGCAGCTTGACAAACAGCACTGGTCTTATTAACTGTAAATTATGGCAAAGCTTTACAATAAAATGATAATCTATGGTGTAGAATTACAACGGTGACAGACAGGTTGCCTTCTAAGGACAGCAATTAAAACCATTAATTTACAAACTAGAAAATGAAGAATTCTAAAAGAAATAGAGAACCAAAAAGGAACTTAAGAGGTCTACTGAACTGGCAAATACGTTTAGAATTGTCAAAGTCAATCAATTATTGTTGCCACTTTTAATAGAGGTTAAATTAACTTCTAAGTTTGTATCCCTAAAATTATAAAAACAGCAATTTGGCAAACCATTTCCTTTTGTGTCTATCATAATTGGTGAAAATTTAAATTGGTTAAACATGGCTAATTTGCGAAGAAACTGGAATTGCAGTAAATGAGTAATATAAAAGTTTTTGGTAGTTTAGTTTCCCAGATATTTTAAAAGGTATTTCTAGAAATCAAAACAAAAGGCAAAGGTAAAGCTAGTGCAGCTGTTGATTCTAGTTGGGGAATACTTCTAAATGTTATTTTTCACAGAATAGTATCAAAGTTTAATGTTGAATAGAAGTTCCCTGATTTTATTTTGAGTTATTTGCGAAGCAAAAAAAAAATTATAATAATACAATCAAATCAATCAAATTTTATTTATATAGCGCCAATTCACAACAGTCGTCATCTCAATACAGCGCTTCATTTGTTTTTGTTTAAAAGTGGCCACTTATACTCAGAGTCGTGACATAGTCTGTTTGATATCTAATAAAACTGTTCGTACACTTTCCCTTTAATAGTACTGAGTCAGTGAGGCCAGTGCTGTGTGCATATGCCATCTCCCGCCTGGTGGCTGGCCGCCAGCCATGCCATACGCAGCGGCACAGAGAGCAGCATGCCATCCACCACTTTTCAAAGACATTTACAGCATTAAGAGCTGGGATTACCATGCACACTTTATTTTGAAATACATATTTTTGTACCCACAACAAAGTCTGTGAAAATCCTCACCACATCTTCTCTGATTTATCCCCAAACTAAGAGAGGTTTTGATCGTTATATACAATATGAAACATTTTTAAAAAAAAGAAAAACATTACATACTTAACAAAGACACATTATATAAACAGTTAATAAAATAAGCCACACAGATGGCTTACAACACCATTTTTATGTATCTTAGAGCAGTGTTATCTTTAGTTATCCTTCAAACATCAACAGCCTGTACAACTGTCATCACATTTATAATACGGTTACAAATAAAACACATATTTACAGACATTTTAAGGTAATAGTAACATTTACTGAACTGCTAAAATGGACAAAAACATCACAGTAGTAGACTAGTTTGATGCGCAACATGGGTCAAAAAAGACCCGGCTGAGTTTAAATTTCATATATCTTTTCAATAAATTAATTCCATCAGTCGGTACTCAAGGAATTCCTCAATTAACTTGTTTTTGACGACCCTACATCCTTATGTTAATTTTTCTTTTTTTACTTTTAGAATAAAAAACGTTTTTGTATCACTACCCCTCTAATGCACAACATGGGTCTAAAATGACCCGTATCCATTTTCAATGTTATTTCATGTATGGCTGAGTGTTTCTATGGTATATCTTTGACATAAATTAATTTTATCATTTACTATTCCAAGTATGCAGTAAAGATCTTGTTTTAGTTGAGCACAAATAATCATTTTTATTTTTTCTTTCTTATGTTATGAGGAAGCACAGATTTTGTATTTCTACATCAAGTTTACATACATGGGTCAGAAACGACCCACATATAGTGACTGTAGCATTTAGCGTGAAAAGACTGTCTAATACATGTAAGTATGGTTTTTCAATTGTTCTGACATTATCTTAGAAATTATTTGATGACAATTGTGAAAGATAATTGTACATAGATTTGATTAGGTTTAGGACATTACATGTTGGAAAGTCACAAAGTTACAGGTAAACGAGCTAGCGTTATTTCAGCTAGCTATAATCAGACGCATATGTATGTGACAAAATGACAAATAAACATGTTGCTGATATAAAATACACAAGTGTTTGGCCATAGACTGTATATAGAATGGACAGAGTCTGCCTCCTCGCTGGGTGAAGCCACTCTGAAAACAGCAACCCTGTTTAGAGGCTGCAGTACAGGTCATAAATCCCGCCTCTGCTAGCAAAGCTTATGAAGCTGTGGACAAACTTTAGAAATTTATTACGCAGAATATAAATTTCTCTCCCCCCTGCTTTTGATGTTGACATGTAGTTATTGTAAGACTGGTTTGTGCTCAAGTCCTCTTTTTTCTGTACAGCTCCGTTTTTAAAAGTTATAAGGGGGTTCATGTTTTCTATGATTGACACCTGCCATAGACTGTATACAGAATGGACAGAGTCTGCCTCCTCGCTGGGTGAGGCCACTCAGAGAACAGCACCCTCTGTTGATGGGCTGCAGTATAGGTCATAAATCCTGCCTCCGCCAGCAAAGATTATAGGGCTGTGGACAAACTTTAGAAATTTATTACACAGAACATAATTTTTTCTCCCTCCTGACTGTGATGTTGACATGTAGTTATTTTAAGACTGGCTTGTGCTCAAGTCCTCTTTTTTCTGTGATGCTCCATTTTTAAAAGTTATTAGGGGTTCATGTTTGCTATGATTGACACCTGATACAGCCTATGGGGGTTCAGGGATTGCGTTTTCTCCCGGGGGATACACTGTTTGAGCCGAGCGTCATCACAGGGACTCTCTTCAACTGCGCGGCCGAATTGCGCGCATTGCTACTGCGCAGCGCTGGTTTCAGGAAATGAAGACAAATCCTGGAAATATCGAGAGCTTTTTGGCTTCAAATCCGTATACAGGCGGCAGGCGGAACGAAGTTGTCCATAGTATATACAGTCTATGGATACAGCCTATGGGTGTTCAGGGATTGCGTAGCTCTCCCGGGGGATACGCTGTTTGAGCCAACGGTCATCACAGCGACTCTCAGCGACTGCGCGGCCGAATGCGTGCATCGCTACTGCACAGTGCTGGTTTCAGAAATGTAGAAAAATCCTGGAAATATCGAGAGCTTTTTGGCTCCAAATCCGTATACAGGCGGTAGGCAGAACCAAGTTGTCCATAGTATATACAGTCTATTGTTTGGCCCCCTCACTGCTAATTTCATTACTTGAAACAAATTATTATTATAGTGTTAGGTACTTTAATATTAAATCACACTTGGATGAATGGGTCATTTTTGACCCATGTGTGTAAACTTGATCTAATAGTATAGAAACTATATTATTTCATAAAGTATGAAAAGAAAAATAGAAATAATGATCAGTGGTGATCAAAAACAAGATATTTAAAGAATACTTGGAATATTCAATCAGAAAATAAACTGATTTCAAAAGATAGAACAAAGAAAAACTCAGCCAGCATGAAATTCCATTGGAAATGAATGCGGGTCTTTTTAGACCCATGTTGCGCATTAGAAGGGGTGTGCATATGTTGCGCATCAAAGGGTTAAAGCCACAACATCACAAATAAATAAGTCTATACATTTACAGTTTTACGCCTTAAATCAAGTCATACCAGTCTTTTTTATATCTTTGTTCAACAACATTTAGGACATGTTGATTACAAACAGTTGACATAGCTAGCTTGAAGTCATACGCATAAATGTTCAAAGCTGATCTGTAGAATTCAATTTATCGTATAAAAGTCACATCCTCTCATTTGTACAATTAAAAGCACAATTAAATATGGAGGAATGAAAAGTCAAACGTCCATCTGTTTCAGAGTTGAATTTCATTTTGGACAGGGAGGGAAACGGCCATCGGAATATTCCATCCAGGCTAGACTGGAGCTTCGCCCACGCTCCCAGAGCGAGTAAATTCTTCATGCCCTGATGGTTTTCTGTCCTCCCGGGAAGTCGTCATCGTCCGCCAACGCTGCTCAAGCAAAGAGAATTAACATCAATTTAGATTGGCATGAGCTGATTATATATAGGTCAACGTATACATACATGTGAACGAGCCATGTATTTGACTTTTAGATACGCTTGATCTATCCTTCTTTTAGATTAGATTAGATTAGATTAGATTAGATTATACATTATCTAGGGGACATCTCAGGCAGGGTGAATTTTATATGGCCTAACAATATCAGAAACCTGTCATGATCAGGGTCAAGTTATCTTTATTTTGTTCATTTCATGTCTTCTGTCTCCTGTGTGTTTTATTTTGAAGTCACTAACCCCTGTCTCTGTTTCAGATGTGTTCCTGTCTGCCCTGCCCCTGTCTTGTCACACCTGCCTCCTGATTGTTCCTCCCCACCTGTCTCCCATTACCCTCATTACCCTTTGTACCTAACCTTATGTCTCACAGTTTCATGGTTAGTTTGTTCTGTCACGAACTGACTGTGGCTACAGACTGAGGTTTCAGCAGGCCAAAGATACATTTATTAATAGTCCAGGTTCAGTACACAGTAAGGCAGAATAACAGGCAGAGGTGTCCAAAACGTTAGGCTAAAGGTGAGGTCGAAAACTAACAAGGTCAAGAACAAAGGCTGTTATTACTAGGAAAAGTGCTGGGACGTGACAAAAGTGCAACGAACTGGCCACGAGTAATGGGGGTAATGAACAAATCTGAAACAGACGAAATAACAAGATAAAGATAACTTGACCCTGATCATGACAAAACCAGCACATATCAGCTCTAACAAGCTGCTCCTACCTGTCAAATATAAAAAGACAGCATGAAGATGTTGACCTGAAGCTAAGTTCATTTATTTCATCTCTTTGTGATTTTCTGTGCACCAATAATACCTGCTTTTTTTACAGTATGTGCCTCGAATTCATATCAGTTTACTCTTCAGTTTTTCTCTCGTCAACTTCACATACATGCAGAGAATCAATGTTAAATCACTGGAGGAAGTTTGTACCTGTTTGATACTGCCTTTAGAGGTGCAGAACATGAAGAACACATAGCCCGGGATCAGTACCATAGAGGACAACGCCATGAGCCAGCCGATCACTTGACCCCACATTGGGTACACATACTTCCCCAGGGTCAGAGGGGTCATCTCAATGGCACTGAAGGTAAACACCCCCTGAGGTAAAAATATTAAGCAGCAGTTTTAATGAATCGATGGATAATAACATGTTGAGATCCAGAAACACTGATTCTGTCCTTTTGTGGACCTGTATCACTCTAAAACCACATTTATGTGGGGTTTTGTTTGGTTTAGCTGTCGAATTGTGGGTCTCACACAGAATATGACGGTAGGGTGACCATACGTCCTCTTTTACACGGACATGTCCTCTTTTTTGGGGGCTGTCCGGCTTTGGTGGTTTTGTACGAGGGTTTCGATTTTGTGTCATGTGGGCTTAGTGAGTTAGAAGACACTCGATCTGACCCAAAAAACTCTCTATATTAACTTTGTGCGACTCTGTGACTCCGCCCCCACGTAGTTGTGTCCTCTTTTTGGGAAGTCAGAATATGGTCACCCTAATGAAGATTAAAGTCAGAAAGGCATCCCACCCTGTCCCAACGTATCTACTGTCCTATTTGTTCAATAAGCCAAAACTCTGCTTAAAAACATTGAAAAAATAGTCACTTTAATGCTTAAGTGAACATCTCGAGTCATGCTAGGCATAGCTAGCTGTTAGCTGTGGCAGTGAACATAGCAGCACTCTCAAAAAATGTAAATTTCAACATGCTAACATACACATAACATCAATACCAGCAAACAAATACAAACTAGACTAGCCTCAATCCCCCTTTTCTCTATCTTCTGGTAACAGAACACTTATTTCATAACCATACTATTGAGGTTAAAGGCCCGGCATTGGTTTCCCTGAGGTCAAACAGTTCAAATGACCGCATGGAAGAGCAATGTCATCAATACTCTCGATTGGCAGTTGCCGTTTCTTGATTGGTTCATAGATCTCCTCAGCACATGGTAGAGTTTGACTCGTATCGATAGTGTCAAATCAATAATCATTTCTCTCCTACCAAGCAGATCATTGGCGTGAAGAACAACCAGCAGAGCTTCCACCAGCTACATGGCCTGTAGCCAATCATGTCCTCAATATTCTTATAAAACCTCTCCGCTCCTGTAGCAAAAGAAAAAAGTAATGACAATAAAAGAGTGTGTGTTACAGCAGAGATAATGGTAATGAGAACAAAGGCTTATGGGGCGACAGAGCAGGAAAGCAGATGGGGGGGATCTTATCTCAAAAATTACTGCTGATAGATTTAATTTCCTGTTGAAAATTTACATGCTTACTTCATTTGGTTACTTGGCATAATTAAGTCATCTTTATCCAGATTTCATCAACTTTTCTCTGCTGCTCTCACTTTGAATCTTATTATCCAGTCATTGGTTCAAACACACATGGTCTTAAATAGATTTCTTACCGTATAACCAGGATATTGAAACAGTTTCGAAGAAGACAAGAAACAGAAGGCACATCCCGCTGGCGGAGTAGTAATCAAACAGCTTGAACACGTACAGACCACCCTGAGGGAGTTCAGCACACACAGTTAGACACACATATCTGCTGAATATCAATATCCCCTCCTTTATTGAATTAGATATGCATGACGCATGTACACCCCGGGTTATAGTGGGAACATTTTGTCACATGCGGGAAAGGACTCCTTACGCAAATTCAAAACTGCTCTCATGGGAATTTTTTTAATACCACACACATCCTCCAGTTACAGTTAACATACCTGTGTAATGTTGGAGAAGCCGATGATGAAGGAGATGAGGCAGACAATGAGGATAAAGACCTTTTTCCTCTTTCTCAGATGCATTGGGTACTCATCCATCAGTGCTGTGATGAAGCCTTCCACTGTACAGAACTAACACATGACATGTGAAAAGACAAAGGTCAAAGTGAACTAAACCTGGTTAATTTAAAAGTGATACACTGATTAAGCATCCTTTATATTTTATTACAATTTTTTTGGTTACAATGTCAACCATACATGGAAAAAATACACACTACAGAAAAAGGTCTTTAAAAAAAAAAAAAAAAAAAAAGTAAGTACACTTAAAATAAGATACATCAAAGGTTGAGCTGTGTTTAGTTGCATTTAGTTATTTTGAGTTGAGTTTTGTTAGGTTTAATTAAGTTTAGTCAGGTTAGGTTAAGTTTAGCTGAATAAAGTTAGAAATTAAATTAAGTTGAGTTTAATTGTACATAGTTAAGATGAGTTTAGCTAAGTTTAGTTTGATTAAGTTAAAAGTTGAGTTGAGTTACATTTAGTTAAGTTTAGATAGGTTTAGATAAGATAAGTTAAGATAAGATAAGATTAGTTAAGATAAGATAAGATAAGACTTTATTGATCCCCGATGGAAAGATTCAGTTGTTGCAGCAATGCCTACTTAGTCAGCAAGTTAGAAAACAATAATAGTAAGAGTAGAAAAAAATGTAATCCAAATAAACAAGAAAAAATCTGTTGTAAATACAGTTTTGTTTTTTTTTACAAAGATTTGAATAAATAAGAGTCATGTAGGACAGTTACTACATATGATACATAATAATGTTATAAATATTAATTTATAACATATCAAATTTTGAATTTCCCTCTGGAATTAATAAAGTATCTATCTATCTATCTATCTATCTATCTATCTATCTATCTATCTATCTATCTATCTATCTATCAAATAAAGTGTCAGGTTATGATGATATATAGAACACCTCAGGGTAATGTAAAACTGGGCAACTATGTTTAAAATACAAAAATATAGGGTGGTGTGTACAGTATAGTGATAATATAATACACTACAATATAGCCTACATTGGCCTGAAAAGTTTAGATTTATACTTTAATAACATATAACAGGCTGAAAATGATTGATTTTAATAAGTAAAAATGGTTGCCAGTGTAGCAATAGATTCTTATTTGAGAAAAACATTCAAAAAGATTGCAGTGCAAAAAAAAATCAATCTTCTGAAAACCAAAAGTGATGTTTTTCTGTTTTAAAGTTGTTGCTCTCAGCTTTTGCTTCAAATTACATCACCTCAGGCCAAGGGTTCAAGTTTGGTTCAAGAGACGGGGTACACTTAAATAGAAATAAAAAATGTAACTAACAAAATAAAAATGTTGGTGGTGTTGTCAACATCACAACGCATTTTTAGCTGAAACCTACAAGTTAATCACAAAGAGGAGATAAGTATGGGGATGCGGTTTGTGTTTGTACCTGACTGTCAAGGCCAAGCATCATGAGCATGGAGAAGAAGAGGATGGCCCATAGAGAAGACATGGGCAGCTGGGTGACAGCCTGAGGATATGCCAAAAATGCCAGACCAGGACCTGATTGTCACATACAGACAAAAAAAACACATAAGAATTAAATGTTTTTTATAGGTAGTTTTTTTCATCGTAGAGTAAGTGCAGCTGTCAAATAAGTTTAGATTAAAAATTCCATCACCAAACAGCTGCAAAATAACCAACATATGAACGACAGTGGCATGAGAATCCCACTCACTAGCTGAATATGCTTTTTCATGAGAAAACTGTTCTCTTTTCAAGGGTTGTTGTTTTGTATTCGGATATCGGATTTTCATCTTACAATTATGAAACTATTGTAAAAAAATTCTCTTGCGTAGCATTTGCTGTATTTCCTGCATTGCAAAACTATAATACATCCACTAAAGCATACTATCAAACATCTTTATCCCGCTTTCAAGATTGATCAAGGGCCTATGCCCACTGATGGCATTTTGATGAACTGGCAGGGCCTATTTTCAGTACAATATAGACAAAGTGAAAAGAAAAGCACCTTAAGTTTTTTTTTTTATTTGACTTTGCACTCTTCATTTGCTTCTTACTGACCATTAGAGATCAGAAAGAGGCCAACTTCTGATTAGAACTTTGTCAACACTCATTTTGTTTCAAAGGCTCACTCTCTCATGCTAGTTTCACAACCAAGATATCACTTTGCGATTGTACCTGATGCTGCTAGTTCCTGCACAGGTTTCTTTGTGATATAGGACATGAAGCCTACGATGGAGAAGATGACAAAACCAGCAAACATACTGGTGCAAGAGTTAATGCAGCACACAATGATGGAATCCCTGTGGGCAAAGAAACAAAAATTAAACATGTTAGAGAGGGAAAAAGCATGAATGTATGAAGGATAGCTGCATGGTAACACTTGCACCTACTTGTATACATCATTGTGGTAGGTGTTGTAGCTTCCCAGAGCGATGAGTGAGCCCAGGCCCAGACCATAGGAGAAGAATATCTGAGTCGCTGCATCCAGCCACACCTGTCAGATAGCAGGTAATTATTCATATTCATGTCTGCTTGTCTGTGATTATACATGAGTGACTACGTAGAGGAAACGGTCTACCTCAGACCGAATGAGCTTGTTAAAATCTGGGGTAATGTAGAAACGGATGCCGTCGATGGCTCCAGGCAGAGTGACCCCACGAAAGAAGAGGATGAAAAGCATGAAGTAGGGATATGTGGCTGAGAAATACACCACCTAGTAGAAATTAAGAGGGATGAATTATTTTTAGGCAGTGAAACACACATATATTTTCTGCTTCATAACTACGAGTCAAATCCCTTGTTGCCACAGAGCACAGAGTGAAAAATCTTCCAGCTACGAGAATATTTCCACAGCTGTTCTTTGCCAAAAGATCCTGCCAGAGCCTTAAGGATGTGGCCAGCTCTTCTGTAGCATAATGATTATGTTTAATTGGTAATGTCCATCAGGGCCAGGGCCTCTGGGAATACATTTTTCACACACACATTAAAATCCAATTATCTCTGGGTGCGAATGTGTAAAAGTGTTTCTGCTTGCATATATTTCATCGCCTCGCTGTGATTTAAAAACCCAATGCAGGCAGAGGATTTTTTTTAACATGAAAAACCTCTGAATAATTCAGCAGTTTGGAATCCATTAAACACGTATATAAAGTTTCCATTTTCTTTCTCAAGTAAAATGTTGGGACACAGAGTTTAAACTGCTGTCTGTCCTGTTTTAATGTCATTTTCAAGAAAAAAATGAATGAATCTATTAAATCTTAAGAAAGAAATTTTGCCGAGAGACAAGATTTGAACCACATGAAGTAACTTTTCCATGAGTCCCTGAGCTCCATCATGCTAAAGGTTCCTCTGAATCACATGTTGCAGACATTTTGCTGCCTGCTTTCCAGCTGCTTCAGCTACAGGCATCAGTGTCACCTATGTCTGTCTCTCTCTTCCTGCATCTCCCTCTATCCCCTCTCTAATCCTAATGCAGTAGCGGCAGATGGCTGCCTTACATGAGTCTGGTTCTGCTCAGGGTTTCTGCCTGTTAAAGGAGGAATTACCTCTCCAACTTGCTAAATGCTGCAAAGTGCTACACTAGTGTGGTTGAAGATGGGATGGGAGTGGGTCTGATCTTACAAGACGGGGTTCAACTTTACATTGGACATAGATTTTAAACACAGATTTTCAGTAAGGCATCATCCTTTTACTTCAATAGCCAGGCCCACATGGTAGCATGACTAGAAGAGACTAAACTGTATTATTTCCTTTTTAATTAGCTCCAGTTTAGTAAAATTAATTCCAGCATTTTGATTTATACTTTGTCAGTTGAAGCTAAATTGATGACCACTCTTATTTAAGTCTAAGTCCTCTTGTTTGAATCAGCTGTTTTATTCTATTGTTATTATGAAAATGAGCAAAAATTACACTGAGTGTCTGACCTTCCCTGTCCACTCCACTCCTTTCCAGATTGAGAAGTAAACCAGGACCCATGCCAGCGCCAGAGTGCCCACTAAGGGCCACCGTAGCTCCCCTGGCTCCTCCAGACCGCCTGACATCTGGTGCATGTTTCGCCTACAGGAACAAACCGCCAACACACAGAATTCAGACAGGCATGTAAGCCACAAACAGCTTCCAGAAATAGCTTCAACGCCCACATATTCATGTAAACACACACTTCCTGTATGACAGGATCATATCTGGCTGACTTACTCCCAGAACTCGGTGACAGCGCTGGTCAGGTTGGTGGTGTCTGTCAGACTGTAGTTGGAAAAACATTTCTCTGTATTCCAGGGGTTATCACAGCTTTGCCAAGGCAGCTCCTGCACAGCAAAACATCGGGTAGACAAAATATTCTCATGTGGCACTAAAATATGACATCTCACAGTTTTTCCTGCACGAAACTTTTTATTTGGATTTTTAGATAAAGCATCATTATTGATGTGTACAACGTTACAGCCAAAACTGGATGAATGCACCTCTGTGCTGTTGCAGTAAAAATGAACATCCATAATGCATCTCTATGACTTCTTACAATTGATTATGAAACATACCGAACCAAAGGAGTTGAATAAGTAGTAGAGTGCCCAGGCAATAATGATGATATAGTAAATGTTGAGCCAAAAGGACAGGACTACTGCAGCTATTCCAACACCTGAAGAGAGAGAAAAGGCAAAAACATCAGCAGATAGTCACAAAGTGTTTCATATGGTAAGCTAACCTGCATATTAAAGCAGAAGAGGGGCTCAAGGACAAAAACAGAGAAGGTGGAGGACATTCATTGTTTGCATGTTAGCTAAAACTTTCATCGTCCTCATCACTGATTTGGTTGTGTCTTCATGCTTGCTTGTCATTTCTTCTGTAGTGTCAGTGCAGGATTTCTGTCTCCATATCATTATCAGGTGCAATGTGTTGTACTGTGTACTGTTCCGTATTAAATGGTATCATATCATACCATGACCTAGTACAAGTCCCACCCCTAATTTAAACAGCAGCACATTATTACTGGGACTAACAAGCAATCAAGCAAAACAGGAGACAATCATTGTATCATGATATTATTGTGAGTAATGTACCAGTTTTTGTTTGTTTTGTATTACAATGTCTTGTATGTTATCATATTATATCACATCATATCCTATTGTTTTATTTCATTTAATCTTTTACATCAAATCAAATCATGCATCAAATCATGGCATACTGTGCTGTACTGTATCATGAAATCTTACTGTACTACATCATATATAAAACTTCCTCATATGGTATCAAATCTCATTGTATCTCATTGTATCATACCGTGCAATATTGTTTGATATCGAATTGTACAGTACCAAATCATCCTTTCCTATCATATCATATCAACTTATATCTCATTATTTTGTATCAATCTCATCGAATCTCTTTGTATAATACCGTATCATAGTGCATCATAATGTATTGTATTATATTGTATCACACCATATCAAAGCTCATCATATTGTATCTCATTCTATTGTATCGTAACATACAGAATCAAATCTCTTTGTATCATATCTTATTATATCATATTTTATCAATTATCATTGTATCATTTCATAATGATCCGCATTTCTCAACCCCCTAGGTGAAAAACATAACACTATCACTATCATTTGTACCAAAATGCTAACACTAACAAAATTTCTATAGGATTGTTAGTGAAAAAGGAATTTAGAGGAGTAAAAGGCTGAGCTGGAGAGAAATAGTTAAAATATTATTCACTTTAAATTTTGTAAAAGAAGTGCCAAGACAGACCACTTTTGAACAACACAGTCAATCATGTCAGTTCCTCTAAAAGGCTTACATTTTAAATCGTATGTCTGTCACTATCTTTTTCTCAGATTCCACATCTTACCTTTCATCATAGGGATGAGCTTCCACACTCCCAGCCCGCCAACTGAGGTGAACTGTCCCAGAGCCGTCTCCAGGAAGAAGAGAGGGATCCCAGCAAACACCAGGGTCAAAAAATAGGGGATCAGGAAGGCCCCTATTTGACCAGAATCAAAACATGAGCAGACAGAAAGGAGTTTATACCCGCAAAACTATCTAAAACACTTGAAATGGACACACATCATATATTTTTACTTATAAATGTTTCTAATATTGGCAGTTTGAAATGTTACTTTACTTTGAGACTGCAAGAGACCAAAGTATTCAACAAAGCTGGCAAAGCTTCTTTTCTATGGTTTAAGTAGAAAAATATGCAAACACACAGATGAAAGTACCCATGAAAAAGTGACTCAGTGTAAATGTAGTCCTACCAGTTGCAACAAAGTGCTTTAATGGACAGAAATCCAGGAGTAACAAAGCAAAATGGAGGAACATGATGTTTGAGTTTCTGGAGTTTTGTTGGCTCCAGATCAAGTAAAGTCTATGAAGCAACATGATAAAGATTGACTGGCTTGTAAAAGACTGGGTTCACTGAAGGGGGAAACATTGGAGAGAGAAAAAGGGGGATGATTAGCAGCAAAGGTTGAAGGTAGGAGTCAAACCCAAGGCTCCGGTAAACAAGAGTTTTCTTCTGTTGGAACAATTTTACACACCTCGGTATAGATTTACCTCTGAGCCCCAAACAGTGCTTTCGTGACCTCAGAAGTGGGTTATCAGCTTCGAGGAAACAGAGAGTCTTTTGAAAAGTAGACAGCAAACTTTTGCAATTGGAAAATATGTAGATGGGGGAAAAACAGTCCCACACCAAAGGGAACATCAGGGAGCTGGAGCTTTCTTAGAGATGCTTCATTCAGGAAGAGGGATCGAGGCTTACCTCCAGATATGCCTCCCTTGGGGAAGAAAAACTCAATGGAGTCCCATCTTTGAAAGTGGGGAAATTATATTTAGGCAATACAAGGTAGATTAGCCTCCAAATAAGGGGTTAATAAAGGTAATGAGGTGAATTTAAAATACGTTAAACAGGGTTAAAGTTTAAGAAGGTGCTGGTCTGTGATAGGCAGGTAAAACTTGGTTGTGCCTTTAGTTTGGCCTCATGCCATGGTTATTATGAACTTGACAGTGTGTAATATACCTGCTTCAAAGAGCAATGAAGCTAGGACATTAAGTACCCAGGTCAGATAGCTTTACAGGCTTGGGCAGGTCTCAGACTTAGGATGCAGCGTGGGTCCAAGGATTAAATCCAGGTATAGAAGAGACCAGGGCTGGCAGACATTCAAAAACAGTCTCTATGGCTAGACAAGACCACTAGATGACATTGGAAAGAGGAGACTCTTTCAAGGTTATGCCTTGTTTTCACACGTGTCAAGAAAACAGGCAAGTCTGCCAGAGATCCACTCATTACTGAGGGAGGGAGGGTTCTTCTACAACAGACACTGTCAATCCTTGTTGTTTTACTCCAACACCTGTTACTGCAAACTAGATGACCTTGAGGATTTGCCTACACTGTTAACCTAGCAACAAAAGTCATTCGGAATCAGAAACCTTGTTCAGGTCAAGAGGAAGCCTTGTTGGACTAGTGGTCTATGCTTTGTCAAGGCCTTCATCATCTCTCTCACAGCAAAGTTTTCAAATAAATGTCATGCCAACTCTTACACCACGGTACTGGGCACTCAGCAACCACCCCCCGGTGATGTATGAGGCAGATCAATAAAGTCTGGAAGTAGGGCTGATAGTCGTTGCCAGAAACAGGACCAGAATCAAACCGTCTAGTTAGTTTTGTCATCCCCCTGATATTTCCTTTTCCATAACTATGTAATTTCTGTGTGGTCTGTGCTTCTGAGTCAATACAAGTGTTGGTATCAGGGGATTTAAATAACAGCGGAAACACTTTTAATCTACATTGATGGTAACTGGATGACTGAGTGGGTCAGAGATTGTACACTATTTCATCCAAACATGGTAGATATGTTTCAACTTTTAGACTTTTTTTTACCTCCACCATTCTTGCCGCAAAGGTAAGGAAACCTCCAGACATTCCCAAGGCCGATGGCATATCCCACACACGACAGCAGAAAGTCAAACTTTCCTTTCCAGCTTCCTCTGTCCGGGGGCTCTTCTTTAATCTTTCCGTCAGCAGATGGTGCCACTGCGTCCAGGTCCTCAAAGGGAACTGCTTGTTTGACCTCTGTTGGGGAGTTTAGGTCTACAGTACTCTGTCCGGTTTTCCCCATGGTGGGACCACTACAGAGCAGTGGGGTCAAGAAGTCACTTGGTCCTCACAGCCTGTAATGGTGTCAGGTTTGGACGTGTTTCTGTGCCGGGTCTCTCTCACTGAGCAGAGTTCTTAAATGGACTGGTTCAGGACAAAGTGCTGACACTGAATGTGCAGAAAAGCTGCAGAGGGGGAGAGAACAGTTTGGAGGGGATTAAACTCATATTAAAATTGACTAATGTTGGAGGTCTTTTATAACCCTTTATTAACTTCAGCAATGATGAAACTGCCAGAGACCAGCACATAAATCAGAAGGGAAATGTTACAATCTAGACTTAAAGTAACAGCAAACCTGAATGGTAGAGTTTTTTTCATGAACTCAATAATGCCTGTAGGTTGGCATCAGAGCAAATGGGAGTGTCTTCAATTTGTTGCCTTGAAAGTTCAGATATCGGTCAGGCAAATTAAGTCACTGAGTGAGTGTGTCCTTTTCCCTCACTAGTTAGCATAATGTTAACACTTGACATTTATCCCATCTGATTCCAAATAGGATATATTTTTCTTGAAACAACTAAAGATATTTCATTTGCAAGTTACTCACATCCATCGTATAAACTTTTGCTCATTCTGCAACACTCTGCAGAAATCGTCATTGGGAGAAACTTGTTGCAAATGCTTAAATGATTAAAAAGAAAGATGTGCATAAACTACAACACGCTGCAAATACAAAATAATGTGATGTCAGCTGGTGCTTCAGACCTGCAGGGCACCTGGTGAAACAGCTTTGTTTTCGACAATAAAAAGTAAGAAGACTACAGCCTGAATGAGTCTTTGCTAACTTTCGCTCTTTGACAAGTTGATTATGAATGATGTTGTGTCTATGGTACTAAAACTTGACTGTATATGCATGTTAGTATAAATTCCCCTTAAATATTAGGTTTTGTTTGCTTCTCCAACAAACACAGGAGTTTCAGACAAGCAGGAATCTGAAGTTCTCACATCTGGGGACTGATTCTGAAGTAAAAGTTGCTTGGGAAAGTAGCGTAGTTTAAGACTGAGGAATAATGTTTAAATGTCCCGTTGTATCTCTCAGTTAATTCAAGTTAGTTGGGACTAATGTTAAAACTAACTCTGCTCATGAATGGCGGGTTTGTAGCAGCAGTCCAACTCGGTTGTTTAGCTGAATGCCTTATCTTTCAGCTACGATCTTTGGTTAGCCGACTCTGGCTGGTTCAGGCTCTGGAAATACGAGTATGTTTGACAGACAGCTAAATTAAGTGTCTGTCCTCTTTATACCTCCTATCAAGGCTGTTTCTCTCAGCACTCATATAGGTTTAGGTCAGTTCCGTCTCGACACGTCTCGATTTTTATCTACGGAATGCTACTGTACAAAATTTATTGGTTTGTGTTGAAAATTCAAAACTATTATATTTATATTTCTAATCGATCAGCAGCCAAAAAGGCAACAGATCGTTAAAGTTTTGCAGTTTTAAAGTTAATTTCAACAAATCTGACAACTGATTTGACACAGTAAGCTAGGTCCCGTGTTAATCCAACATTACCTTTAGTTAGCTAACGTTACTTGTAGCTTATGAGAAGTTATGTCATTTCTACGGTGTTATGTAACACCTTTTAATGACAGTGCTGGTTAGGAAGTACTGCAGTTAGCATCAGCTGTTTTTACAACAATTAACAAGTTAGCAGAAAGGTTGCTTCAGTTTAAAACCTCAATGTAACTCCCCTGTTTTTGACAATTAAATGCTATTAAAGTAGAATTATGAGTTGGTTGTTCATCATTTGGTCAATCAAAAGTTATATTGAGCCATTCGGGTGCATTCATACGTTCAATGTCGTTTGAAGACCATCAAATTTAAGAGCAGGTGATGCAATGTCGTTCATTATTGTGTAAACCGCTCTGTGAATTTTAATCATGACTCTCATACTCTGTTTCAAAGTCTACACCTGAGGGTCACTCTGAGGTGAGTGAAAACTGTGAACACGAGCTGTAACGCACTATCACTGCCAAAGCCATGTATTAAGGTTCTATTAATTATAAGAGTCATTCACTGCTGCTAATTATCCATCACTTCCTGTCAGAGTAGAATAACATGGTCACAGAGGAAGCTGATAATGATTAGCAGATATTGACTGACCCAGAATTTCCAACCATTTCCAGAGTAAAGGAAAGATATTCTCGACTCAATCAAGATATTTTCTGGACATTTCAGCTCAGAGGACAGCAGGGTCAAGCTATAATTTCTCATTGTGCAGCTATTCTGGTAGCTTAATCACACACATGCAACCCTGCTGTACTAATTATACTTAAAATTTGATTTATTCATGATCATCTGCAATTTCTCCTCATAATTTAATATTTATGCCTTCCCATCTTAGGCCTACAGTCTCTGAGAATGTTGATAGATAAAAAAACACTGGCTAAGTGTTTTTCATGTTCAGATAACACTCATTCAAGCAATTTAACAAGTTTGAAGCTGTCTTCTGTTTTTATTTTGATCAAAAATGATTAAAAGTAGCTTTCCTGCTGTTAAAATGAGTCGTGACTCATGCTGGGTAAAAATAATCAACTTCAATTGAGCATAAAAATATGACATGATCAAAAATGACTTTCAAATTGTTACCTGGTTGGGTACGTGGTCATCTGCTTCAAAAGCAACAAAAACACATTAAAGATTCCTTTTGAGGGTTTCATCCATTTAATTCAAAGTAAACTTAGCTGTTTTTGACAAAGGAGGCTGTTCGAGGCTGTCTCTTATCATGACTAAGACCTAGATTTCTTTTATCTCTTTTAAGATTGCAGCTCTAACTTTTTAATGGAGTTTCATCAAGTTATTGAATTCTTGTTGCTGCAGTGGAAGTCCGTTGAGCCAAAGCAAACTTTGCTGACCCCAGTCAATAACCATGTGTGACGACAGAAAGCTAAAGTAACAAAAGAAGTAGAATGGGTTAGGTGAGTCCTACCTGAGAGATTCCCAAAACCTCCGTTAGGTCATCGGCATCAGTTTTTTGCGCTAGCACAAAAAAAATCCCAGGATTTCAACTTTACATCCAAAGAGGAAACAATCATCTTTGCTGCAACTGTGAAGCTCCAAGCTGAGGAGAGGTCACGGTGTGTCTGCCGCCTGTAGATCTGTTTTCAAACTTACAGCTCTTTCCCGTATGCTGTACTTTCAGAGGACCTGTGGCTGTTCCTGCTGCTGGTATCGAGTGTTGGATAATAAAGTTCGACCTGTGTGTCTGCTTTGATTACAGCTCAGTTGTGACTAGTGAGGCCCTGAGGCCATGGGGGATATGTCAATCGCCAAAATGTGGTGGGGAACTCTGGTGGTGGCAGGAAGAGTGTGTGTTTGTGCTTGATGCGTATGTGTTTGTTTCGTTAGCCGAGTTTAGCTCTTGCCAACTCTGTTGCCATGGTTTTTCTCAACAGAGACAAGCCTGATCAGTGAAAGACCACATGGGGCTAATGAAAATAAAACGAGGGATGACTGTTGGCAAAGACACTGGAAATGTATGACCACAACTGTGGTCATGCCAATATCCCACACAGCTATCAGCTCATACAGCAACCCAATATTTATCCTCAATGTCCTCTCTGGGATAATTGGAAGAAAATGTTGCACTTGGGCACCAGCATTGCTCAGCTGGTAGAGCAAGCGCCCCATGTACATGTACATGTACAAAAAAGAAAGAAAATACTGAACCAATTGATGAGTTTGAGCATAAAATAGCTCATGATTCATGCTACAAACAATGCCTGTACAAGAATGATTGTGCAGGCCATATGAATTTAATGTTAAGCAGTGCTCCACTATGCATGCAGCAACACCTTCTGCTAGCCTTCAAAAACAGCTGCTGAATCAGGTCCTGAGGGTAATAGACGGGTTTCTTTTGTATGAACAATACTAGGTGCGCAACTATGGGGCAAAAGCCTGCTTCGGAGTGAACTGATATCAATAAAGATGCCTTATTGTTTGCAAGTTCTCCCTGACACAATTGCAATAACATGTCATTTCATTGCATCAAAATCAGAATATCCATGAATTTCACTCAATTTACCAGGTTGTGACGTTGTTTTAGATGTTCCTAATATCAGGAGCAGGGTCCTAATATTTGCCGATTGTTTGTTTTGCTGATTCGTGCAGTTTACAGCACAACAGCCCCTTGTCATTTTCTTTCTCCATTGACTCTGCTAGTAAACAAATAAGAAATATCCAACCTCTGCCCCAACGCTGTGCGCGCATACCTGCGATGACGTTGCACAGAAACCCGTCTACACATACAGAGACACATCCACAGAAATGAGGATCTGCCTTTTCAATCCCCTGAAATAGCCATGTCATTTCACGAAATCTTACTCATAAGCCAATAAACTCAAGTTATGAGTGAGCTGACCCTAAGAATAGGGGTGAAAGTAGGATAAGGTTCTTGCAGGTACTGTACCTGTAGGCTTTATACAAGAGGAGCACACCCCAGTTTAACGAGGTGCCGACTCTGATGCCACAGTATCATCATCTGCTGCGTCTCTCTTTCACTGCATTTAGTTTTATTTCTGCCTTAAGAGTGAAGCAGCTGTCTCTTTGAAAGTTCCCTCCTTCCGCAGAAGACGGGTGGCGATCCCCAGCGCCTAGGCAACCAGCGTCCAATCAAAAGTGCGCATCGAGCGCTCTCACTTCCGGAATTTGTTCGTTTGCGGAAATACGATTCACTCGCAAGCAGCATGATCCTATCGGATTACTACAGCTATAACGCAGAGTGCAGACTGACGTGCGGCAACACGGTAAGTAAATGTAGCCTACTTACATTGCAGGGGTGAAAGTTTGCGTACCGCTGTGTACCGGCTGTTTATGTCTTCCCGGTAAGGCGTAGGCTACCGCTGCGAGAGTTGGACTCATGGAAAACGTCTGCAAAAATAGTCAATGTGAGCACTTTCATTTCTAAAGACTTAGGGGGGTTAGAGATGCTCAAACTTACCAGGGCTTTAGACTAATAGTGTATAAATAATCTGTTCTTTGAATTCCTGTTGGGGATTTTTGGTTCACGGAAGTTCTGGCACCCCTTGTGGACAAAGCAGTATATTTGCAGATCTTGTCTGGGGCATAGGGCATCTATGTTATTTTGAAGTTATATATTGTGGCATTTTTGCCTTTTATTAGACAGGACAGCTGATGAGAGACAGGAAACATGGGGAGCAGAGAGTAGGGTAAGAATGCAGCAACGGATCATGGCAGGTAATCGAACCAGCAACTGCTGCAATAAGGACATTTGCCTTGATACATGTGGCACTTAGACTGCAAGGTCATTGATTCCCCACTAAGGTTTCTTGACATAACAAAAACCCTCATATATAAACATAAAAGATCAGGAATCTCCAGAATATATTTACAAAGTCTATATCAGAAGCATGCACTTGATTGCTCGGTCTAACTCCTACCCGCACTAGTGGTTTCAGACATTAAAAAATACCTTCATGTTCTTGCAAATGGACTTGTTTGCTATTTTAGGTTAGAAACCAAAATCAGTAACAATTGTAGTCATTTTTGCAAGCAGCTGCAAACTCCTCACAGGACCTTTTAAAGGGGTAGTTTTAAAGCTTTTTCTGTATGTAAAATACATAAATAGTTTAAATGTTGAATGTCCACTCTGTCTTTCACTAGTGGTGCTGAAACATTGTCTTGGCAATGTGTTTTTCATTAACGTAATTATGTCACATAGTCTATCATAGACTGATGGACACTGGGACAATGCACCATGAACAATCTATCAAGCACCCAGTGGTGTATTAGTGGGTGGGATCAGTCAGTAAACAAAGGGTCTGTAAAAGTGAGATTAGATGATATTAGAAGCTTAATTACACCCATAACAAGTCTGTCCTATCAGAAGGATCACTGTAATATCCCCTGTGTTTTATCACTCATGTGGACCCCAGTGATGATAGCTGACTGGATTACAGATGTCAAAACTGATTTCCATCAATGTGTTTACAGCGGTCCCCGATCAATATGATCTAATTATACTTCCAGAGCATCCACAGCCAAGAATAATAGGGAGTGAGTATTTAGACGACAAAGGCAGGGTGACAAACACATAATGTTTAAATGCAAAAATGAAATTTGTCAGGGATTTAAGGAAAATATTCAAGTTTGTTTATGCACAGTTCTTCCTCTTTAACAAAAGGATTTATTTAGGGATGAGGTGGGAGAGAGATGGGAATGAAAGAAAAGTGCATTATGAGACATTTTGGGAGCCAAACTGAGGAAATAGGACGGTGAGGCGTGAAGCTAAAAATTCAAATCCTCACGCTCCATCAAGACTTCTGCTTCACAACATTAAACTCTGGCAAAAAGATCCGCCGGCTCTCCAAAACAGGGTCAAATTCAAGCCTTTATTCTGGCAGAGTCTTAACTTTGAAATTAAAACATGCCTCCTGTAGTATACATATTTTTTGTTGTGTCATTTGTATTTCTGGCATGTCTCATGTTGTTTGCATACTTCTAAGATCTGCTGAGTCTGCATGACCAGATAAACTCCAGCAGCTCAGTCATTTGTATGCATGAGCTCTGGACCTGTCACCGTGTAATGAGTGCCTGTAGCACAAAGCAGAGTAACGGCTCCTATTCCATAATTCAGAATGAATCATGTGCTGGGTTTCAGAAGACGCAGAAATCTGTAAATCCTCATGCATAACAGCTGTAATTTATGTTCGCTAGTGCCAAATAAGAACGTTCCCTGATGTCTCCTATTGTCAGTGAGGAAGATGTATTTGCACAGTGATAGATATGGTGTCTCAGTTTAGATGAATAAATATGATTAACAACAAAAAACTGCAAATGCTAGCTATTTCAGGCAACACGTGTGTGTGGTTTAGGAGGTTGCTTAGAAAACAGGGAAATGGCAGATTTTATAAAGGCATAAATCATCAAGAGATTTATGCTTTGCTGAAATTTTATCTACCTGCTCATAACAGATGTTACATTCGGGTGGTTGGTTTACTTCACATCCCTTTAGCTGTTAAATGAATAACATCAAATATGCACACATGTTCCTGCATGAATCTCAATGACATTATGGACCCAGTGTCTTGTCTTTGGATACTAAAATGCAAAAAGAAAGGTCAAGGTACTCACCTAAAATCACTACATCAACTGAATTAAATGACCAGAAAATAAAAATATATTGACATCATCATCTTGATAACTTCACTGGTCTTGAAATAAATGTTCAATTTTAACCAAATACCTGCAAAACAATCCAGTCAGCCACATTCTATGCAGAATTTCTGGTTTGTGTCAGTTTTGGCGTCCCTTGTGGTCAAAGCAGTATTTGCTGTTCTTGTCTTACGCATGCTAAAATAGTTTCTGCTGGCAAAATATCCCATCATCATGACTTTTAACAGCAAAATGTATCTTGTATCATGTAAAAAAAAAAACTGTTTCTTCAGTCACCTGGCCAACACCTAGCCTCCCACACTGGTGTCAGGCATCAAAAACAACAATATAAGATGTGTCAGCCTTGTTAATAATGGTTTTGTTTGCTTTTACACATTCAAGAAAGGCATCCTTATGGATTTTAGGCTATTTCATAAATGTAAAAAAAAAACTCCTTATAGCAGTTTCAGTTTTTTTGCCAACAAGTAGCATTAAAGTGCTAAAAGTCTGTTTTCTATCTTTGAAGGCCCATGAAAACCCACCTAATGGCTAGCTAGCTTGTTGGTCCTGAAAGCTACTGCAAGGGGTCATTTTAATTTGAATAAGCTTTTTGTCAGACAAATGTTGTTGATGTTTCTCCTTTTTTACAGGGAAGTTAAAACCTCTAAATATCCCCCAAAATACCAAACAACTCAATTTTTTGGCATTTTGGAATGAAAAATAGCTTGAACGTGACAATTAGCACAAAAAACAACTTATGATCTCACTTCTTTTGCACCTCTAGATATGTTTCTTTTATCTACTAGCCATCAAAGTGTTTCTAACATGCTAATTTACTAGCATGCTGACATTAGCGTGTGTTCCAGTTTCACTGACCTGCTACTAAAGCCAATCCTGTTATTCACAGGGAAAAAAGTAATCTTTAACTCACTCATTACATGATAATCATACATTCTTTTCAAAATAAAAGCCTCAACATTTAACACTTTCAAGACTTAACAGCTTTGTTGTCATTAAGTGACTAAAATTGCAATTACAATCAGAGCATAAGATGGTAGATAATGCTTTTATTTTTAACTCAGTTAATTCATTTAAAAAGGATCCTCTGTAGCACTGCCTTGGAGGCCTCCTTACATGCCGCCTATAATTCACTGAACGTTGTTGCAGTCTGCGAATCAATATGGAGGTTATTATAAAGCAAGGAACACCCAGAGGCAAAGAGGATGCATAGATAGGAGGCTAATAATACAAACATCCTCATACAGTGGGACAGTGTATGCTGCATAAATTAACACAGGTTAAGGGCAAATGCTGGGGGAAGGGAGAGAGCATGATTCTGTTAATGGTTGGGGAAGAGGGGAAGAAAAAAGCTGATGAGGAAGGCAGAGATGGATAAATGACTGAGAAAAATGAAGGGAAGAAAGTAAAGATATGGGTTGGGAGACAAAATGAAAAGATTTTTAGATAAAAATTGAAAAAGTTGATATGTCAGAGTAGGGTCTGGGTAGATAAGCAGGGCTGGAGATGAAAAGATACATAGAAATTGGAAAAATGACTGCAAGACACCCAGGAAGATTGTTCCATCAAAGGAGATGGAAAGAAAAGTGAAAAAGAGAACATCAGATAAAAGAAGTGACAGAGGGCATTGAAATCTCTTCATTTATAGTTTGTCTGATATGTGACTCCAGTAGCTTCTTATTCCTGTCATTGCTGAGCACACTATCTCCTCTTGAGATCTTTCAGCTGCCTCATTGTTTGTCTCATTCTGCTCCATCACGAATCTCGGTGACCTTTTTTTATGCAAAGTCATCGTCCTCTGTGCGCCCCAAAACAAATTACGTCAAGACATCCTCACCGTAAAAGCCACTAAAGAAGCAATCATTCGTTTCCTGCTGTGATGCATTCACTGTTTCTCCACGAATACGATTACATGGTCAGCTGGATGATAAGGTCGGACGTTTTTCTTATTTTCTCACCTCTTGCCTTGTGAGAATGTTGCTGAGGCCAGCAAACAATAAAAGGCTTCATTAAACATGGATGAAGATATACAGGCAGGGACTAGTGGCCGTAAATGAAACACAGATGGATGCATTTGTAACTGCCAATATCATTCACTACTCTGTTTTGCAAAAGGATGTCCCAGACGAATGCGGCATCTGTTTTTGCCCGTTCTTCATCAGATTTTGTTTGTTAAAAAGGTTGTTTTAAAAACAGGCTGTCTGACACATAAAAAGATTGGCTTGAGTTGGAAAAATGGTGTCGACTAAAGGAATGAAACGTAGTAAATGTACTCATAGATAAGGAAACATTGACTGTTGTTGATGCTGAAATTTACATTAAACTAAAATTGACTGTTCTTGTAAAACGTGTTCAATGAGGCCGGTTCTGACTGGTGTCATCTCAGCGAAGGTTCTGGGTGAGCTAAACTGAGCGCTAATTCTAGTATGAAACAGCTGCAGACAACAGTTTTAGGTTAAAGTAGGCCATTCTGACCTGGCAGGAAAGGCCAGGTTCATTGACGGGTTACAGAGTAGGCCTGACAGCTATGGTCATTCGTTTCCTGCTGTGATGCATTCACTGTTTCTCCACGATACAGTACGATTACATGGTCAGCTTAACTGATGGGGCAGAGAATACCGCTATCATTGATAGGGTAGGTTAGATTCATCTAGCAGGCCTTTTGATAAACTAGGGTGGCCCAGACTCATGAGGATAGGAAGGCCAGATTTCCGGTCCAACAGGATTGGTTAGAGTGATGAGACAGGGTAGACTAATCTGACCTTGAGGTCACTCAGTGTTTTACATGCACAGCTTAATCTGACTAAACTCATAATTCGTTTTTTTGCCGAATCGGACTGCTCCCCTTCTCCGCGTATACATGACGTTAATGTGTCCTCCTCCCCAAAACTAGGGGGCGATATGGGTCTTTTCAGTAGCGCTGTTTCCGACCGCATACAACCGTCAACAACAACAGCAGGTCCGTGCCAGACGTCAGAAGTGGCTACAACTGCTGCTGGGCATTTTCGAGCAAGAAGATGGAGCATCGTACAGCGTTTTATTTTTTGTCGTACACGATGTACACGCTACTTTTTCTGCAGATGAGATGCATGCTCCTCCTCTTCTCTGGTGTTTTTTTTCCGGGGTTACAGGGGTGTGGTGCACGCGCACATGCATTGTCCAAACATACTCAGACTTCGCTGGTAACACGGTAGAGCAAATCAAATTCCAGTCGCATTATCTAGTTGTCTTAATCTGAGTTCTCCGACTGCAATCGGAGTTCTCAAACTTAGATTATAGTTGGACTAAGGTGTTCACATGCACTTCAGTTGTCCGGTCTTAATCGGAGTAAGGCAATAATTCAGTTTTCTCAAGTGTCATGTAAACATACTGAGTGCCACTCTTTCTGAGGAAATAACGACCAAACCGACCATGTTTTTGCCACAGCAATGTCTTAAATCTAAACTGGAAACCAAGCAAAAGGCTTTGAAGCTGTTGGCTCACTCAGACATGAGTTTCCTTTGTAAAAAAAAAAAAAAAAACTTTGAACAAAAGAGGGATAGCAGTCATTTTCAGGATGATCTAACAGATTCAATCATTTAAATTTTTTTAATTAGATACGTGAAAAAACTGGGCAGAGGACACAGATGTCGATAGATTTGTAGAAGTGAATTTTTCCTATTTGGGTCCACCTTTTCCTTTATCTCTACCTCCCTGATTTCAACAAAACTGGACTGCTGAGGCTTTTGTCACAACAGACCCAAGGTTGGACAAAGAAGGCCAAAGATGACACATCTCAAATCACTGAGAGCAAGAAAAATCAAACTACATGGAAGCCAACAAACAAAGAGACCAGGATTTTATCATGTAGAGATGAGTCCAGACAAACTTCATATCCTCAAATGAAGCTGAACTCTTCTCAGGTTTATTACAACACATGAAAACACTCAGTACATTTGACTTGGGATTCTCTATTCACAAAAGCCAATTATGGTTTTACAGTCTGTAATCTTCCTCCAACAGTTATCACCATCTGAAAAATGTCCCACTGGTCTTGCAATGTCTTCTTAGGTTAATGTCAGGTCCATTTGTTATATTTTTATTAGGTCTGCAGCAGAGTTTGGCACAGATCCTATTTTCTTTCTCTCCGTCTTTTATGAGAAACAATAATGGAAGAGGATGCGAGGACCTGTTATCGTGTTGGGGAGACCCCAGCTCATTAGCAAAGAGAGCTAATGGTGCAGCAGAATTATGATATGACAAAATTGTTATATGTTTTGTGAACTTAGTTTTCTGCTCTTTTTTTTTTTTGGTGTATTTTTTTTTGTGTGTTTTCCGAGTGTTTCTGTTCAATATTGTTCCTGTGATCCTGTCTTGTGAGTTTTTTTTTTATTTTGCAGTAGTTGATTCCTTGTGTTTCGAGTCTGGTTTTACCTCCCTAGTTTTCCCCTTCTTTGTTAATGATCCATGAGTCTCACCTGTGTCTCGTTTGCCTCACCTGTTGCTCATTTCCCAGTGTGTATATAGTCTGTCTTCCCCTCTGTCCATGTTGGTTCAATGTATGTCTGTATGCTGTTGCGTATGCTTGTGTCTCCTGTTGCTCCTTGTGATTTTGCCCCAGTGATTTTTGCCTTTCGGATTTTTCTTTTTTTGTTACTTTTTTGTTTTGTTCTTTTTAAATAAATCCTTTTTTCTTCAGCATTTTGGGCCCATTCCCTTTTTGTTTAACTCCAGACCGTGACAGAATTATGCTTTGGAGAGTTTGCCTGTTGATTTCACAATGATTTACCAAGTGAAGGTATTTTAGATTGGTGCTTTTTTTTGGCACAAAACAGCAAAGGAAATGATCAGCAACAAGACTGACAAATTTTGTATTTTAATTTTTAATGCCTGAAACCAGTGCAGTGCTGACAGGTGTCAGATGTATTTTCCTTTTCTTTTTTTTTTTTTTTTTTTTAAGGTTTTTCACATAAAATAATTTCTGTAAACGATACATGTGGCTGTCAAGTCATACTGATAAGATAATTTGTCAGAGGACACCACTTAATCATGTAGAAGACAAGATGAGATACAGTTTTGTCCACGAGGGATGCCAAATGTGACTCAAACTTAAATTGCCTCACAGGAGCTTTAAGTAAGAAAAGCTTTCTTAGGAGTACAATCACCTAAAACCTGGGAAATAACCCTGATTATCTGAGTGATGCGTTCAGGGTTATTTGAAAATGTAGGTGCTAAAGCTATAAAAAAGGTCCTTAAAAGACACAAAAAACAGACCTGCTCAGAACTTTTTTTCAAACACACAAAAAAACAAAAATCTTAATTAGTTTCAATTTATTTGGAGTTATAGTATCCATGACAGTCTTGTGTTCATCTTGCATTATTTCCGTGTATGAGTTTAAGTTAACCTTTACCTCAAATGTCAATGTCTCTGCCAATATATATTTGATGTTTTCCATGACTCTGGCTCCATGCTGCCACATGTTACATAAAGACTTATGAAAAAAGAATAGCTCTAATTATAAATACAGGAAATGTTACACCACTACATGTTGTTCTATATCCATCCTTGGGCAGCCGCCAACTTCTAAATTAAAAACAATCAATTAACAAAATAGAGGCGGGACTTGACTTTTACTACAGATGTGTTCTCCTAACTAAGGAAGTGACAGTGGCTCTCTGATAGCTTTAGAGATTCACTCAATTTAGGAGAAAGGCCAAATTTGAGTTGTATTCGAACAAGCTTCACCAGCGGATGGGTGTCAGAGCTGCTGAGGTTGTAGTTTTATTGAGGATTCAGGGTCATCTGGGGGAGGATAGGGGGCAGTCTAGGGGAAGAGAAGTAGGAGGCGATTGGGTGGATTTGTTTGTTAATTGAATGCCAGTTTGGATTACACAGATGACTGGACTTGGCGTTATAAAGGAGGAGTTCACCCATTTCCTGTGACATCATTGCACAGGTTATCCCATTGACTTCTTTGTGTCAAAGTATATTGTGCCAAAAATGTTACACCATTAAAAACTGTCATTTGAGAGCAATGTAAAAAAAACAACCTTATTTTGGTACTTAAGAGATAAAAACTTAAGGAAGGAAAAACGCTTGACAAGGATATCAAACAGAAAATTTTAATGGCAATTTTACTATGTTACAATAAAAAAAATTGTAAAAAATATAAAGAAGTGAACATAATTTTTACATTTTGGAAAAAAAAATGTTTCTCTGATTGGGCTTAAAAAAATTGATGAATACCCAATAAAATCAATATTTATAAAAGAAATGCAAATTTGCAGTGATGAAAACATTGGATATCAAAAATAGAGATATCATGTTACAACATAAAATTTCATAAAATGTCTCAAAATTCTCACAGATTTTATGTAAAATCTGTGCAGGTAAAATATGATGAATACTAAAATGTTCCAAATTCATGCACAACCTTCTTTTTTTTAAAACAGAAATATTCTGATTTTTCTTTTCTCGAGGAAAAAAAAGTATGGTTTTGGAAGTTTAATCCCAATAATAGTTTTCACTCAGTTGCCTCTAGTTCTGTCTCTTAAAATGGCATCAGTTGGGCCTGAAATGTGTTAGTTTGAAAACAATCAAAAGCATAAGAAGTTACAAATGAAAGCGCAAAATTTTCATATGAATGAAAGAGACGGTAACAGAAAGCGAGACACAGTCAAAAGTTTAAGTCCTATATTCCTTCATAAGGCCATTACATTATACAATGTTAACTCACATATTCAAAATAAAAATAAAAAATTATAAAAAACAAAAAACTGCAACAAGATCTCCCTGAATGAAGTGTGAAAATATTGAAATCAATTTGCAAATGAGTGAAAAAAACTGTGTTTTTGTCTCGTATTTGTACAGTTTAAAGAGACCACCTGTGCAGCGTGAGCTGTTTCAGGTTCGTCCGCTCCCTCAGTGAACATTAAACCCCGCTGGGCTCCTCCATCATTATTTTCTCATGACTTTCATCCGCTCTCCTGTTCGGTTGCCCTTGTGCTCTCAAGACCGTGAGGTTACACAAAGTCAAGATTGGCTTGTGCGGCCGAGCCTGACGTAGATCACTGGATGGTGTTGTCATTTGATCAGGTTTCTGGATGTCAGAGGCATATAAAATAATATCGATAAAAAAGGTCATACACACTTTCATACGTCATGGTTTGAAGTACAACTTTTGAATGCACTCACCCTACACAATGCGACAAAAATGAAGACTGGGATGCAAATCAGAGGCGTGATGATGAGTAGACCGCACAGCACAGCTCCCGAAACACCAAACTGATATCCATAGTACCTTACGAGGCGAATTTGTGCAAGGTCATACAGCAGAGTAAGCTAGGAAACAGGAAATGGTCCAGTCAGAGGGATTTGTGTGTAGGTGTGAATATACAAGTCTTTGTCAACAAAATAACTACTAACTTGTAACTGTTCCACCTAGTGTATCTGAAAAGTATCTTTTGAATATTCTTGTCATGCAAAAAAGTTCAGCAGCCAGAACTGTCAAAATCAATGTGTTAAAAAGGTGTAAGTACAAATCCCTTTCAATGCTACATGTTTTTTTTTTGTTTTTTTTTTTTTGCATGATTAACAGATGCAGATCCTGTGATTATTATCTCCAGCCTGCCTTAAGGGAAGACAGGAAGCAGTGCAACATTAATGTAATGGAGTGCAAGCACAGAAAAAAACCAATTAAGCTGAAATGGATAAAGAAAAGGAAGCATTGCTTTAATAAAGACTCAGTTCCACATTTTCATATCCCAGAAATCAATAAGATCTGAGCTTATCCATACTGCTATTGAGCCCCATGGGGCCCATGACGTAACAATATGTGTTGATCTATGTCTGTTAAATCAAATCCCTGATGGCAAACACACATTATCTGTCCAACAAAGTCAGCCAGTAGGTATTAAAATGGACACGGAAGAATCATGATTGTTAGCTGCTATTGAAGATTGCTGACCACGTGATGAGAGGAAAAGTTTAAAGATTTTTACTGTCTTTGGGTTAAAAAAAACTTTGCTGTTGCTGTTACTGCCAGGCAGAGTCATCTTCCTCCCCCAGTCAGAGCAACTGTGGTTATCACTCCCAAACTTCATAGCAAACCCCCTCAAATCAAATCAATAATCCAATGTTGACATCCTTACTAAAAAACCAACAGGATAGAGGCTAGTTAGGGAAGTAAACAAGCCAACTTGAGCTTAAATAATGATGTGTTCAAAGTAAAGTCTATAAAGTGGCTATGAGGCAAAAAGGAAATAAAAAAAAGGCCTTATAAAATGTTTATGTATCAAGTCAAAAAAAAAGAGAAACACTCATGTTTTTTTAAGAAACTTGGATGAGAGAGTATCTTATAAGGAGGCATTTGTTTCTTAGCTATATGAAATGAAATTAACTAACAAACATGCTACAGTGTTGGAAAAAAGTTTGGAATATTTGTCAACTCAACCCCAGCCTTGTGTTTAACGCAGTCTGCTGCTTCCTGGAGAATTATTCAAAGACTTTTTAATGTTCCCTGGTCTCTGTGATATGTTTTTGAAATTCACATCAAACTATTTTGTTTCTCAAAAAATTGTAGGGCGGACACCTCATGATTCACAAAAAGCCATAGAAATAACGCATAAAATCATGAGTCGGTATTTAATAAATAAATGGCTGTAATTTTAAATTGCCACAAAATACGTGGACCATCTTTGAAAGCAACATCAAACATAACAAGATGATAACAACAATACAGTCAGTACTTTGTGTGACCGCCTCTAGCATTGTACAATGCGCGTACACGTCTGGGCATGCTGGTCACTAGGTTGGTAAGAGTTTCAACCGGGATTTCTCGCCAGCATTGGATCAAAGCCTGAGTCAGTTCAGCCACGTTTGTTGGAGGATCATTCACGTTACACGAAACACTGAAGAAAATATTCCAAACTTTTTTCCAACACTGTATATGAAGCCTATAAATTCATCATCACAAATAATGATGATCTTAACAACATGCTCTTATATTAAAATAAATATATGTATATTTGTCCACTCCCTTGTTAATAAAAGTATCAAGAACTTGAAAAGACCCCTTAAGGTACATTTACAATTATGATTATTACCATTACTATAATGATGTATAGTATCAGGTTGTATCACATTGTATTGTAACCTATTATATAATATTCATCTTATCACATTGTATCATATTGCGTGTTATTGCACTGTATAATCTCCAATAATTTCATATCGTATGGTATTGCATCAAATCACATTGTATTGTTTTGCCAGTATTGTATCACATCGGATGATTTTGTATTGCATCGCATCATATCATAACATATCAAATCATGTGATGTCATGTCATATCATATGTCATATATCATATCATATGTCATATATGTCATATCATATGTCATATCATATGTCATATCATGTCATATGTCATACTATATCATATCATATATCATATCATATGTCATATCATGTCATGTCATATCATGTCATGTCATGTCATGTCATATATCATCATGTCATATCATATATCATATATGTCATACTATATCATATCATAGGTCATATCATATCTGTTCGTATGACACTGTATCATTTCAAACTGTATCTTAATAGAGCTTTTTGAAATTAATCATTTGACAGAAAAGAGCACCTGACTTGCTGACTCTAATAAAATGCAGCTAATAAGATGCTCCAACACTTTCTGATCTCCTACTGATCGTGACTGCAGGGATGTGTGTTTCAAAGGAAAATCAGTCCACATTTTCAGGTAACAGCAGCAGCCTCTCCTTTTTCTCCTCCATGTTATCAGGCAAAATTACTGAGGCTGCAAAATGAAAGTGTGGGAATAACTCATCAAAGATAAAAGGCCAGTAGAGAGGGAACAGGGAGATAAGGGATGGCATAAGATCAGTGTTCAATAAGCAGTGAATTAAAGTAGGAAATAATAGACAGAAACAAAGATATGAGAAGAAACAGACATTAAAGAAGCAAAGTGTGAAGTCAAAGATGTGTCTTGTGTATGAATATCTTACTCCACAGATGGCGGGCGTCACAAACAGCCAGCAGTACTTCCAAACACAGAGTGGCCGATACCCGATCATGTCCTCGATGTTGTCCAGGAAACGGTCAGCTCCTGCAAAGTCATGAGTGAAAAAGAGGAGAACAATTTAAGAGAAAAAGATAAAGGTAACCTAACTCCAAAAAGGATGTGCTTTACAGTCCTCTGTATAAAAACTAGACATTTGCCTTAGGTGGTGGCAAACAGATTCAATTCAATTTAAAAAAAACAGCTTGTATTGTCACATTCATGTAAGAGAAACTTTAAAAATTGGGTTGTGTGAATCATTTTAAGTACAGAGGAGCTCTGAAACTACATGCTGTGATCCAAGACGTAATTTTTCTCTAAATGAAGGAGTGGGAGCCTGGGGGATTGATTCAAAATGATGGCAGAGGAAGGCTAGAGAATAGAAATGAGAGATTATAATGTGTGGTGTGGGCAGGGGGACAAATCCTGACACATTTTAAGACGAAGAAAACGGAAAATAAGAAAACGTTTAAGACTGCAATTTGCATACATGATGAAAAATAGCATCAAGAATCAAAACTGGAGATACAGAAAAGACAAAACGGAAAATGTGAGGAAGCTAAGAGCCTTCACATTCCCTCTTTTGTGTCTGAATGAAGCTTTTCAGCACATGATTTTGCTTGCGGTTTTAGTCCAGTAGATGGAGCACAAAATCCACAAACAGCATGCGCCTGCAGCTGAGAAAAGGTCTCTTCTTGTGATATAACCTCATGTGATTTATGCACTGACTTCCCATCCCCACCCATGTTTGTGCAGTGCAGTCCCACATGATAACGTAAAGTCTTTCTTTTACTTAAATTAACCATAAAGCACACCCTTCAGGCTCTGTTATAATAACCGTTGGGCCTGTTGAGAGATACACAACTGTTTCCATGTCTTTTGTAAACAAAACTGATGATTTATGAGACATTGGAGTCCAGTATTTGTTTTGAATCTTTTCCTTGCTCAGTGAATGTAATAGCTAAATTACCGGGGTGAATTTGTCAGAGTAAGTGTGAAAAGAAAAACATACAAATTCCAGATAATTGCTATTGCTTTCCTGCCAACAGAAACAGCTCAGGTCATGCTCCTCTACTTTTAGATAAGTAATGTAAATGACCATGTGTACTTCTCATCATAAAAGAAGGTATTAATCAAATCTCAATCTTCATTTCCTCCTATTTTATCATTGTTCCGGTTTTCTAGATATGAACTGGAGATACTCCTACTCTTATAGAAAGTGTTGTACACATCATTTCTTTCCAAAAATAAGAAGAATAAAACGCCAACAACCTTCGACCTCTGGTTTAGGTACAGATAACATATTATGCGCGAGATGGTTAAACTACTGATAGCTTTGGTTTACGGAGAGAGGCGCAGGACTTACCATACACCCAACCAATAACAATGGTCTCTAAACAGGCGATAAGTAGGAGGCTGGTTCCGCTGACCCCATAGGCGTCAATCAGTGTAAAGAGGTGTATCCCTCCCTATAACAACAAAACAACAGATCAGAACAACAGAAATAATGAACAGCAGCCAGCAATAGATCATCTGTGAGAACAAGCACAAGCTCAGTCGGCTGTGATTTATTCAGCCACTTTAGCAGTACATGACATTTCCATTTTGACACATATCATTAATAAGACTCTTTAAATATGCAGAGTGAGTGTCTATTTAGAATTTTAAATGATTTACTTACTCTTTTTTTAAGATATTTAAATTAACAAAGGACAATTGGAGAACTTGTCCTTTTAATATTTGTTTAAAAACTGTATAAATGTCTCACTAAAGTCATTCTAAAAATAAAATCAAAGCTGTAATGACAGCAAACATCTGCTGAAATGGACAGAGATAGCATAACAGATGTACTGGTTGCCATATTTTTCTTTTTTTTTTTTTGTTGGATGGTAGGGGAAAGTCACACCTCCTTCACCTCTGATTGGCTAGAAAAGCTGGAAACGTCATCACACGCTTAAGGCAAACACGGGCTTACCCTAACCCTAACCCGACAGACGATGATGTTTCACAGCCATTAGGAATAACCCATTGGAGCCCAGCACTTCTAGCCAATCAGAGGCGAAGGAGGGCGGGACCTTCCCCGACCATTCTACAAAAAAAAAAATTGAGTACTGGTTACCAGTAAAGCAAGCTAGCAAGCTACATTAATGTAACAACCATGTAGTTAGCATGACATTTTAATCTGTTGTTTTGCCAGTCACCATGCTAGCGCTTGACATTACTAACTGGCATGCCAGTATCTAGCAGGTGAACTATTACTATTTTAGTGTATCATTCACAGAATTAATAAGCAAACATTTGCCAGCATTATTCCTGAGGTTTTCTCATGACTCAAAAGTGGCTATGCTAAAGCTAAAAGATGACCTAAGTCATCCTCTAATTGAGAATATGAATGTCCAAAAACAGACATATATCTAATGACGTTGTAATGATCAGGTTTTTAACCGCAGAAAATGTTACCAGTCAACATCCAGAGCCGATTTGAAAAAAAGAAAAAGTTGTTATAATTTAAAAGGATTTGAAATATTTAAAAAGCCAAGATTCACAACTAAACTGGAGGAGTGTTGTGTTACAGTGAGACGAAAAGGTTTGTGGAACAATCTGAACAAAGAAACTAAAGAAGCTAAATCAAATTTTATCTTCAAAAAAAGTGTCAAAGCCAGTATGTTGAGTAAATACAGGGAAATATGTTCATCTAAGTCTTTGTATGTTTGTTTCGTGAAAAGACGTGAATTAACGTGGTCTTTTCTGTTCATTTTGTGGGTTGCTTTTGAAAATAAGAATTGAACTCTAAAAAGCATGTTGGCCTGCAGCTTTTGTTTTTCATTATTTGTTTAGTTGATGAATATATTATTAAAGAGGGGCAGACTCTATAAGAGTTTTCTTCTTTCTGCTCCTTTTCATTCACGTTTGAGATTTTTCCTTGTTTGTATTGAATGTGTTAAATGTTATCTGAATGAAATTAAGCATAAAAATGAAAATGAAGAATCCCCTTTTTTTCTTTCTTTTTCTACCGCTCACCTCACAGACGAGAGGCAGTCCCAGCAAGAAACAGACTACAGCTATTACTAGGATCAGGATTTCTCTACCACCCCGTCTTCTCAGGTATCGTGGGAACATGTCTGTGAGGGCTGTAGCCACGCTCTCCACACACACAAACTGCAAGGGTAGAAGGGAAACAGATCTATTGTAGATATGACATGATGGTGAAGCTGAAACACAACATACAATAGTCCAAGCAATGTGTGGCACCTGACTGTCCAGACCCAGGAAGAGAATCATAAGGAAGAAGAGAACAGCCCAGAAAGACGGCGCTGGCAGCATGGAGAGAGCCCTTGGATAGGCTATAAAGGCCAGACCAGGACCTGTGAAAAACACATGATCTGTCTAGACAGAAGATTTTAAGGCCTCTCTCCTACTTTTGACTTATCCCTGAACCATGCTGATCTTTGTTCTCCTTACATGGCTCCTCTTCCTCACAGCTGTATGAACACCACAACTAATAACTTGAGTTTATCAACTTTGTTTGCTGAGCACATTTCTTCTTGAGATTTAGCCCAAAGTGCTTATTCAACAGGATTAAAAAGACAAAAAAGAAAGCAAAGTCAGGCCATGAGCTGGAACAAGGGAAAAATAAAACTAAATTCATTATTTGAGAACATGCTACAGGCCAAAAAAGTTAAGCTCTCAAACGCTTGAACTTAAGATGCCCTCTTGTGGACATTGTTGATTTTTGTTACCACTGCCAGAACTTGTAAAATGAAGCTGACAGTGAGATGGAGAACGCAGATGTGAAGGACATAACTCACCAGAAGCAGCAACTTCTTCCATCGATACGTTTAGGTCATAAGCCAGAAAACCCAGCACTGAGAATACAGCAAAACCAGCAAAGATACTGGTGGCACTGTTCAGACAACAAAGTGCCAAGCAATCCCTGCAAAAAAAAAACAACTGCCCAGTCAGAGAGCGTATGATTTCAAACCTTAAACGTCGTTTGTGTCTGTGTGTAAGGACACTGACCTGTAGCAGTTGTAGTTGTATTTATTGTAGCTCCCCAGAGCGGTGAGAACTCCCTGACACACAGCATAGGAGAAAAACACCTGAGTCCCCGCATCACGCCATATCTAGAATAGATCAAACATAAGAGTGATTTAAATAACTCAGAGCACATGCTGTCGGCTCATTTATTCATCATGTTTTTTTTTTTTGTTTTTTTTGTGCAGGAACAAATATGACATGAGTAAAATGAAGCAACACCCTACAACAAGCCCTTACATGAGCTTTTTACTTAGTGGACTTTGTGAAACAACGCAGGACCCCAAAAATCAAGAAAAACTAGAAAGAAGGGAATTTTAATAAAGGTAGCTTTGCTCTCTTAAATTTGGTTTCAGTTGGAGTTTTTTAATGATCACAGCAATGTGCAAATAACATTAAATGTATAGCGTAATACACAACAAGTTAATATTTTTGCTGATTTAATTTCTGCTTTTTCAACAACTTGACTTGAAGCTCCTACGAGGGGTTTTGGCTCATGATGAAACAGTTGAAGTTGAAGACCCCCATAACTTCTCATAGCTGTGGCAGCTGTGGGTGTGTAGGTGTCAGATTTGATGTTATTTTACTGTTTCACAGATAAAACTGTGCCTTTGTCACAAAATATGACTGATGCGCAGGACAAAATCAGCAAAGATGTAAGAGGTGTAACTTTGTCCACAGGGGGCGCCAAAACAGACACAAAAAATCCTCATAAGAGCTTTAAACTTGACTGGAGTAGTCGAATATTCTGCAGTCATGCTTATTTTTTGAGTGTTGATTACTTTCAGTAAATTAAATGCTTTTTTATTATATACACTTATACATATGCAATAGGCAGCGAGTGGAATATCAGTCTTTTACAGTTTTCCAGATAGGTTTAAAAGCCTAAAGGTCCTTTCACACCAGGCGCGAATTCGCCAGGCTTATTATTCGCCTTTTTTTAAAACAGCATAAAGTCAATGCAAGCTTCCACACCGGCTGCGATTTTTTCACTCTTGTGTCGAATTTTTCGGAGATTCGCAGGCGAATATCTGGACCTGCTAGACCTCTGGCCAATCAAAAGTCATGTTGTTGATGACTTCACAGACCCATGCGGCTGCAGTTCACACGACACACACCACCACTGGCACCAAGAGCAACGATGGGAGAGAGTGTGTACCACAGAGTGGTCGCCCGGTGTGCATAAGCGAAAGCGATTTTCGGACCGGCGAATATTTTCGCGCTTTCGTCTCACTTTTTCGCTTCGCTCCGCAAATTCGCTGGTGTGTAAGGACCTTGAGGGTAAGGGTGCTGTTAAAGATAGTAAAAGATACTATAAGAGAGAATAATAAACAGGTTTGCCTTCTGCGTGTGTAATGATACAACATGTACAACTTTTGCACCAACTTCATTTCTGAAGAGCAGAAGTTGCTCCCTGTTCTCAGGTTATTTTGATGGCACAACATTTAAGATTTGTGGTTAAATGCTAATCAGCCAACAGCAAAGAACTGGAGAAGATATGAGGGAGAAAGCATAGAAACAGTGTGGGAGGTTAAAAAACACGAGGAGCTGAACAAAAGGGCCATCAACCAAATTGAAGAAGACAGACATGAAGCTAATGAAGTGGTACATACAGTCCTGTAGTTTGGGTTCTGACAGTGTTAGGTGAAAAGAAAACGTCAACAGGCTTTAAAAGTTATGGGGGCAGATTATCTTTTAAGGCTTAAGTTCAAAACATTCAATGATCTCACTAAACCACAAATTGAAAGGTCAAGTTGAGCGTGATTTTCAACAGAAACACAGACATAAGTTTGGACTTTCTTCCTCACGACAACACAAAACTCTGACTGCACCACTGTCAAATCACTGTCTCGATCCTCATCCTCATAACTCACTCACACTGCATTAACTCTTACATACAGATTTTGTAGTTTTTCCTTTTTTGTGCTTCCGTCACTTCATTCACATCAGCGTGGGTGAGTATGCAGAGTATGCACCACATGTATCTTTTACAGGAATGTCTGTCTGCAGGGCCCTTTTTCTGACAGCATCTGGTTAGCATTAGAGGGACCTCAGCACCAAGACTCACGCCTACAATAAGACAAAGCTGGCACAGCTCCAAAGCAATGCACAGGACCCCTCTCTGGCCCCACAGTGGGCCTGGTTTATCCCCCCCTAACCAACACCACCACCACCCCACTGCTGGTCAGAGTCTGAGGCTTCAGCCTGTTGTGAAGGATCTCTACATTCAACACCAGACACAGAGGACACCGTTGTGCCCTTGCAAGCGTTTGCATGTCTCCATGGCTGCGCTACATTCACACTCACACATGCACACTGGCACACAGACAAAAAAGAGACACATTCACACGTAAAACAAACCGCAGATGAAGGCCAGAGCTCAATTATGATGTCCTCTGTAGTTCAAGCAAAAACAGACACTTGGATGTTAAGAAAGATTCATTGAAGACATCTGTTTTCAAGAACATCTGGAATTGTGCAACTCTAATTTCACCTGCTTTCCACATCATGACGAATTTTCCCACACTTTTCCCTCGCTTTTACATACTATGATTCCCCCGTGGGTAAAAAAAAAAACTTTAGGAGAAATGCACACTTTGTTTTACTAATGTAGAAGGAAAATTAAAACTAACTGGACACTTGAACAGAGTGGGATCCAAGTGAAACAGACAATGTCAGGTCAAAGACCTGGACTGGAAAAAAACAAAAAGTGAGTCTTTTAATCTTTCCAAAACTGAAATGTTGAGAAATATTTTTCAATAGTAGCTCATTCGGCTAATTTATTTTCAAGGTTGTCTTTGGGTGAGGCTGACTAAAGGTAGCCACCATCATTATTAATCACATCACAGTTTATCAAAAAGAAAAACTGAAAAGCTGCCATTTCTTATCATTTGTTAGTAGAATTTATTCCAAAATCATCATCACAGATATCAAAATTTAACCACACCTGTACCAAGCCCAACATTAAGCTGTCAGAAACTCAACAGCACAATAAAAAACATTTCTTATTGGAAATAAAGCCGTCTTTTGGAATTTTGGAATGCACCTTATTATGTGATTTGGCTCTAAGTTACAGCACTGAGTTTTATGTAGCTTTAAAGCTCCTCTATGTGGAAAAAACGTCACTTTATTTCTCTTTGCTGATCTTTCCCTAATCATGCAAAAGTATTTTTTTTCCAACAAAATAAGTAGAGCTGGGTGATCAATCAGATTCTACTATCAATAACCCTCTAAGGTTCATAAAAATACGATAACCAAGACTGGACAATTATTGCACCGCCTCTTGTGTTGTCGCAGTTACATCCAATATGTTGAAAGAAGCGCACCCTTCCTCTCTTGCTCAGCCCCTTTTGCATCCTGACGTTTTCCACCCCCCAACATACACCAAACTTCAACGTGTGCAGAGATACAAGTGTCTGATTATCGCTGCTTGTATCTTTAATTTCAGTCTGTTTTACAACCAGCTAAAACTCCTCACAGAGGCTTTAAGGCAGTCTCCCGAACCCAGTGTGTTTTGTTTTTTATTCATGACCACTCAGGAATGGTCATGTACTGTACATGAATGCATGCATGCACACATACCAAGAGGACCAAGAAAAGGAAGTGACCCCTGCAACATAGAGAAGCTGTGCGTCGTAACCCTCCGGTGGTCACATTTGAACCCTGAAGCTAAGAGAAGGCCTGAGAGGGGATGGGTGGCAATCATGAAAGACTCGTCACAGTAGGACAGATGCTGTTATTGTGCAAAAGAATGCCAAATAATCCAGAATGCTCTCTCTGTTTTTAAGCGTTCCCATTGAGTTTAGAGATTACATCATTTCACTAAGTGGATAAGAGATCTGTGTAATGCCCCAGCTTTCTCATACTGACAACAAACGTTCGCAACATTGGTTTCAGCTTAAAAGGAGCTGAAAAGACTTCAAAGGTAAATATACTGTCAAAATGTGAGAGAATCCCCCGTGGAGAGCACTGTTTTTATTTCCCTTGTCTCATAATGTTACTGTAAACTCAAGGAGAAAGCTTCTTTGACAAGCTTCTCACTGAAAGGGGGTCTTGGTTTGCTTTTCTTATTAAGACTCTGGCTTGGGACCGGAAACAAGAGTCAAAAAAAAAGAGAGGGGAATAACAGGACACTGTCCTTATCCTGTTCGAAGACAGAGGAATTTAACAAAGAAAAGCGTGTTGAGATGTGAAGACACTGATAATGCTCTGTTTGGCTGTGAGTTTTTTTTTTCCATGTGGTTACTTTGAAGTGAGAATCAAAATGTCATGCAACACTAAAGTGCCTCTCCTTTGCATATTGTTGTTCGGCGTTTAGACAGCAGACGCACAAACAGGATGGATGTGGCAGTGAGTTCTTACATCAGGGTCAAAGAGCTTCCTGAAGTCTGGGCTGAGGTAATATTTCAGTCCCTCTGCGGCGCCTGGGAGTGTCACTCCACGGATGAAGAGGATAAACAGCATCAGGTAAGGAAAGGTGGCAGTGAAGTACACGACCTAAAAGCACAAAAATGCACAAAAAATGTTCAGTTATCAGTTATCTACTATTTACATTTAACCTGAATAAAGCTCAAAACTAAAATCTCTTTAAAGGAGCTGTAACCTACTGTATAAAGTGGCAATATGATACAATTCAATACAGCAAAAATGTCTATTTTCTTGAGAAAGACCACAGAAGCATTAAAAATCAAACATTAAAGCTCCTGTGAGGAACTTTCAGTTGGCATCAATTTTGGCGCCCTCTGTGGACAAACTGCTCTTAGCTTATCTTCTACTACGCATGCTTAAATCGTCTTGCATAGAGTCTCACCCTGCTGGCTTTTTGCAATCAAATATATTGTTTATTGTGAATATTGTTGCAGAAATTGTAAGCGTATGTCTGTTTCTACAGCTGCCTGGTCGTCACCCCACTGTAAAAAAAAAAGGGAAAAAGGAGATTATTTGTAAATTAACACTACTTTCAATTGGGTAAGAAAAAACAGTAACTACGGGTCAACACTTAGTCCACAGGGGGGCGCCAAAATCAACATAGTCAGAGAGTTTCTTACAGGAGCTTTAATATGATAACCTCCACAGAGCTGACAGGTAGAGCCTTGTCTTTCTGTTTACAATGCTCTAATTTCGTGGACAGTATTTTAAAATTCTGCGAAACAAGTACTCGCCTTTCCTGTGGATTTAATTCCTTTAAAAACGCAAAAGTAACAGATCACCCAGGCAATCAGGAGGCACACAGACAGGTCCCAGTGAACCTTGCCCAGGGACATGCCATCTGACATTCTTAACACTCGCAAACTGTGGGAAAAACATTGCACATGTAAACACAAATATACAACTGCATCATCTGCAAACAACATGAAGATAAATGGACGGTGCAGCTGTGTTGCATAGTCAAACGCTTTGTCTCTACTATCCAGATGCTTTAACCCAACTACATAAACACTTGGGGAGTTCTCAGCTTGTGGAGGATGCACTGAAAGTCATATTTACTTTTGGTGAGTCCACAAGGGTGCATTTCAGTACTGCAAACATCTGCATCATGAATACAGATGTTGAAATGTGCCTTGGTTTACTGAGGACTTTAGTTTGTGTTATACAAGCTGCCCGAACAAGAGTACATACTGTTCTCATTACAAAGCACACAAATGTTTGTGTGCAGCAGAATGAGTTCCTGATATCTGTTCTCATATCCTCAAACCCAAGCAGGAGGTTACCATGTTAGAGGGCAAAGCAGCGCTTTCAAAGTATACAAAATAAGATTACCAAAGAGGAGACACAACTATTTTTCTTTTTACCAGCTTTCTTTTTTTTTGTGGCTTTTTTAACAACTGTTCAGTTTATGCTCCCTGAGCCTTAATTGTTTAAGATCTGTGTCCACGCTTTATTTCTGACTTAGGGGAGATATGCTATCAGCTCATAATCTCATTTTAGGGATAACATGCTAATCTACTCTGGCTTTACATGATTGTTTTTATTTGATAATTAGGTTTAGCCTGATTGCAGTTTGGACGGTGGGTTTCCCATGAGACGATCGTTGTATGACTCTTGAAGCATTTTTCTCATTTTAAGAAGATGACAGTGTGTTGTTGTGTTGTGTAAGGGTGTGTATTTCTCACAGCCAGAACTCCTCTTCCGGTGACCTGGAATATAAAGACACAGTTTCATTCCTGGAAAAAAGCAAAAATGTTGAATAGCAAGTCAGTCTGAATCTTAACCATCAACCAAGGCTATCTGAAGCATTAAAAATGTTTGAACATATCATGAACAAGGACTGTGTAAAAAAAGGATGTAGTTTGACTGTTGTTGCCCATGAAGTTCTGATGCAGAGAGTTGAAGTCAAATGATGGTTATCGCCATTTTGGATTAGCTGATCCAACTCAACTTTTGGTTGAGGCAAAGAGGAGGAGCTGAGCTGAGCCGGACACACAATCTACCCACCTGTCAGCCAAGTCAGCCCCGCAATAGCCCTTTAATGCCTGTCACCACAAATTATGGCCAGAAAATTCAATTTTTTTTGGAGCTGAAATGTTTTTCACTTACTACTGAAAACCAAAAAAATGATCTGACATAAGATGGATGTCAAAACCTGACATTGGGTTAAGGTTGCACCTGAAGTCAGAATATCATCAAGACCTGGTGTTAGTTTTATGTCAAAAGTCTGATCCTTGTACATTCCATAGATGCTTAAAAAGCAGGGAATAAAGCTGTGATTGGCTCATTTTTGGCACACCAACCATGATTGATTGTTTGTCTCAGGCAGGGCAAGTTTTAAATGAAATTAGATTTTTTTATCTAACTAAGATTCTATTACAACAATGTTACCTATTGTAGCTTTAAGACAAAGCCTCACTTGCTGATTCCCTTTTTCTGAGCTTTTTTGCCAAGTAAGGCTAACTGACTACCTGCTGAAGCTTCATGTCTTCTAAATAAGAGTGCTAAAATCATTATTTGGCTCTTTATAAGAATGCAAAGACTTACTTTGGTAGGCTACAGATAAATATTCTTTTATTCAACCACACTCCAAATAAGGCTTAATCTTTGGATTTATTGGATGTACTTTTGAACCCTACAATACTCAACTGGTCCCCATTTATCATGTAATTTTCTGTTGGATTTAACAGATGAGAGAATCTGCTCTTAACACATGAAAGCAGGGTGTGTAAATCTGTGGGAGCCAAAACCAATCACTCATTTCCTATCAGTGTTTTTATTACTTATCACATCAGTATGAGGACTTCTAGCTATGTTTTCAGTATGTTTCACAAGATGTAAAGATCAAACTTACACGTTAGTGTAGTTTTCAAAGTAGTCAAGCGAGGTGATGTTGTTTAGGAACGACCAGCTGTCATCGGGTTTAAACATATGAGGGTTCGCATAGAAGCTTGGGCGTTTGTGACACATCTCTAACGGGGGGAGAAAAAAGAGTGGGTGTTTCACACCAGGAAATGTTCAAAAAATGTGCAATAATTTTCTTCCCCTGATGTCTAAACAAGAGCAACAACAACAGGTCTAATCCAATACAGATGTTTGTTTCCACAAAACTCACCAGTGTTCCACGCGTTGTCGCACTGAGACCACGGCAGAGGACTTTTAAAGGAGTTGTATAAGTAGAAGATAGCCCAGGCCAGCACAACAATGTAGTAGATGTTCAAATACATCACTATCACTTGTGATGCAATCCCCAACCCTGCAGGACAGCGTTTTCACAAGGTCAGAGAAAGTTTGTAGACCCTTTCTTTTTCTTTATTTTGGAGGGTATTCCCTCATTCAGATCCACTTTTATCACTTTTCACTCTTTCTTATTTAGTCATTGCTCCACGTTCTAGTCTAAGTTGTTTATATGGAGCATAGTTATCTCATATGGCTTTCAAACTGTTAATAACCAGAGGATTATGCTTCATGTAAACATAGCTAGTTGAAGCTTCTTAATGCAGGTTTTGGTTTCTGAGCTCTTATTCCAATGTTTGTGAATATCTCCCTCCCGTTCTCACAGTTTGCTACAGATAAACTCTAAATACAAAGAAAAATAAGAAATTACAACACAGAATAAAAATGCCTCTTCCGATTTATGTTCTGTGTTTCTCCGTCCCTGTTTTAAAGCAGCTTCGCATCTTAAGATGATGGAGTACACAAGCCTAAAAGTAAATGCACCGAGCAGCTTTTGTTCAAAGGCTGATTGTACCTACTTTTATTTGAACAAAGAAAAAAATAAATGCATTTAATCAAACTATCAGTTTTAAATGTCCTTATGAAAATTTCCAGTTCAATAAGAATTAACATCTGCAAAAATTCTCCTTAGTGAGATCGTTTTTCTTATTTCTTAAAAAATATTTCATTGGCCTTAATCTGAGCCTCAGTCATGTAACAAGCAAAAAAATAGGGCCTAAATTGCTTGTAATGATTACAATATATGCCAATGCAACAAGCAAAATCCATTAATTGAGACTCTTGTGAACAGGATAATGACGTGTTTAAAGAAACATGAGTAAATTTTGCTTACTGCGTATGCTGTTACTTAAACTCTTTGGCTATTTAGCCCTTAATTTGTGCTTTAATTAGGACAGTTATCTGGACTTGTCACATGACTGTGGACTGAATTAGGATTAAATTAGATACTTTTGACTTGAATAGGACTAAGACTCTCACAATGCAGAGACTTGTTCCTGGAGGTCTGGATGCTACCATGAATGGAGAAAAACATTTCCAGTATGTGGTCTAACTATCCTGGGTAATTCTCAAGAATCTAAATGGGCGTTGTTTTTTTCACCTTCAAACATGGGGCATATCTTCCTCCAGGCGGTTACCCCACCCTCACTGGTATACTGGCCCAGCGCAGTCTCCAGGAAGAATACAGGGATACCACAGAAGAATTAGATACTTTTGACTTGAATAGGACTAAGACTCTCACAATGCAGAGACTTGTTCCTGGAGGTCTGGATGCTACCATGTGGGAATTTTTTTTATGTTTATGATATCCTCTGAAAACCATATTTATGTGTTTTTATGATTATAAGAAAACAAAAAAAAAAAAATCTGAAAAAAACTTTTAGGGTTTTTTAGTGTTAATTTCTAATGCCTGAATCCAAATGAAGGGAGTGGGTGTCAGCCAAGTAGCTAGAGTAACTGCCCTGTTTTAGCTTTCTTCATGTAAAATACTCACAATAAGTGATTAATTTGACTGTCAAAAGTATCAGAATGATAATTTTTCTTGTCAGAAGACACGACTAAGGCACAAAGACATGATAAGCAAGGACTGCTTTGTCTACAGCAGGCGCCAAAATTGACACAAACTTCCTCAAAGGAACTTCAAAGTTTGCCCAGTTGGTTATGAAATTGGCTTAATGGATTTATAGAAAACTTAAAAAATGGTCCACGTTGGTTGGAAGTAATGAACCTCTCATGTGGTATTGATTGAGAAAATGCCAGAAAAGTCCCTTTAACGCCTTTGCAGTAGAGCTGCACGATATATCATTTAAGCATCGTCCTCACAATGTACGTGCGCGCGATAGTCACATTGCAGAGCTTGCGATGTTGGAGGTTAACAAACTCATCTAATTTCAAGGGTAGCTGACTGAGATACTCTGCATGTGCTGTGCAGCGATCCACCAATCACATTCGTTCTTTACTCAGTTGCCAACCAGGCTACCCTGCCAGCCGTCAATCAAAATCAGAGAGGATGAAACCACACCCCTGCACATGAATGAGTCACTGGCGCTGCCGGTGTTGTGCCGAGAAACGCACGCGCACCGAGAATTACTTTGGGAACATTACTCATCACTGTTTAGCCCGTTTACGAGTTTACGTTTTACGAGGTGTATGCAATTCTCGGCTGGCATGTCTTTCTCGGCACAACACCGGTAACAACACAACGATTGCAAAATGAGCAACGAACAAGAGAAAACCACAGAAGATGAAGACTTGTTGGCAAAAAGGAAAGCAACATGAGTTATCTGGAATTATTTCGGTTACAAGAAGGATGACGTCGACCAAACACCTGTTCTGTGTCGGCAGTGCCTTTCACCTGTGTCCACAACAAGAGATAACTAGTCCCAGTGCGCATAGATAAAGTCACATTGCAGAGCTTGCTATGCAGAGCTATTTCTTAATATCACAATATATATCACAGGGTTGAAAAAAATTGCAGTGTTAGTTTTTTTCAATATCGTGCAGCCCTACTTTGGAGTAGATGAAGGATGAAGCCCCCCAAAGTGCCCTTGCAGTAAAAATTAAGTGTAAAACGTCCTTTGAACCCCTAAGTGTAGAATACATTCACAGAGTGCCTGTTTTTCATTATATTCTAGAGTAAAAAGTGTAAACAAAGTGTCCTCTGGAAGTCCTCCCAGTGGATTAAAGTGAGATTGGCTTAAATGAGGAACCCCTATCTACCAACCTTTGCCAAAATATGTTCAAATTCATGCTTTGCTGAGGGAATCAGAGGTTTGGCGAAGAATTCCTGGGCTCTCTTCTGTCCAAGTTGCCCCTTGAATTTTTATTTGCCCTCCTTTTTGGGCAGAACAGGGTCTGTGTAATTACCTCTGGATTACATAACACTAAGAAGGACACACGGTTATAGAAACGGTCTTCCAAATGCAGCTAGAGACAGATTTATGTTGTTGATCATGATTATTGCAGGGTGGTGCACCAGGGCATAAAGTAGGGGTCCTTTCCATCCCCCACCCTCCCAAACAGTCTGAGTACCCATGGCTTACCTCCTCCATGCTTGAAGCACAGATAGGGAAACCGCCATAGATTTCCAAGGCCAATGATTTCTCCAGCCATAGAGAAGATGAACTCCATGTTGTTGGCCCATTTGCCCCTTGGCTGGACCCCCTCCTCAGGAATCCCTTTATCAGGCCCGGATTCTCGTGCGGGAGCCCCTCCGGCTGTTTCCTCAGCCATGGTCAATCAGTCTCCTGTATGTACACCTAAAAAACACAAGAACCACTTATTCCCAGCTCCTTTTCATTGTGCAGATAAAGAAAAGTCTGCTGAGGCTTCCTCTGTACATTCAGTCCATGCAAAACCAAAGAGGGTCCCTTAAAACACGCACACGCCCACGCGCAATTAACTGCAAAACTTGAATGATATTATCGACTAACGTGCAACAACCAGCCTGAGAATGAAACGTGTTCACCGTAGAGAGACAACTTCGTGAAAATGCATGCTCAATACTCACCCGGGAGTTTGCTGTGCGCGCTAACAAGGAACTCTCACCACTGCCCGAGCAAAGTTTGAGGACCAGTGTTTCTCCACAGTGGGGTGTGTCCTCAGTGGTACCACACACTCGCTGGCTGCTCCACACACTGGAGGCTCTCCTCGTAAACGTTCGTGTGCGCACAAACCGTCTCCAAGACTTGACTTGACCAATCTTCCAGCGACAGCTTTGCTTGCAAGATTGAGTAAAATGCATCAAATTAAGCTTGCCAGATGCACCAGTATTGTTACTGGATATAATGGTGAGGAGATTTTGTCCGTGAAGTCATGCATGAATTAAATAACATTCTGCAACTGCTTTTAAAACTGTGTACAGAAGACCAAAGCTGACATGCATCCATGCACTTTATTTAAACCCTTATCTAATATAACCAGTCATCTCTGATTGTCTTCACTTAAAGCTCCATTTAGGAGATTTTTGAAGTTTATGAAATAGGTTGAAATTCATATTGATGCCTTTTTGTGGCATATAAAAACAAACAAGAGCATCAGCTACATGATTGATGATTTTCATATTGTGATTTTTGATGCCTCAAACTGGTACCAAAGGAGTAGGTGTCAGCAGGGGCAGACTGGGACCATAATTCAGACCAGGAGTTTGACACCATTCAGGCCAGGTCAATACACATTGATGCAGAAATGTCGGCACCGGCGAAAAGTCTTGGACATTTGAAGCCAGATTTAGTGAATATAATGCTAATGTGAAGAATTCAACATTGGCTACATAACTGCAAATTTAATATGAAGTAATTTGACAGGTGCTTTACAGCCTACTGAACTAGATTTTACAGAAGGATATTTGTCAAGGTTATAAAAACTCCATATCAGTCATGCCTTTCACTATTTGTTTACTTATTTAAACTAAGAATGTAGCCCACCACATTGCTGTTGTATTATAATAAAATGTTGAAAGCCTGTCAGAAAAAGTCAAAGTTCTCGAGAGGCATAAAACTTGGATTGGCACGCACCACTAGCATCATAGCGGTGACGCCAGGCCACCGGGAATCGGCCCAGTGATCCCGATGGTCTAGTCCGCCACTGGGTGTCAGCCGAGAAGCTAAAAAAACAGCCCTGTTTTACACACATAATATTTGTAGGAGCCATAATGTTGTTTTGCTGATCGGTTATCCTGTGTTCAGTTACTTTTGTATGGTTGCTATTGGTTTCGCTGGGCTTGGGTATCATGGGCACTATGTTTGAAAGCCAGTAGTTTATATAAGGGGTGGTCTTACTTGCACTGGGGGTGGAGAAGTGAGCCTAGGTAGCCATAATTTTTGTTGACCGCACTTTATGTCCTTTGTTTTGCAATGGTACACGTCGCAAAGTGTACACATATTATATCTGATGTGCGCGTGTAATCATTGGCTACTGTCGAAGCGTTTTTTCTATTATTAAAGCTACGAAAACTTTGATGAACTGTGGGTCCTTCTTTAATGTGTATGTACAAACATACAGGACCTATCCTCTTCCTCAAGCGACTTTTTTAAGTTACTGGGAAAGCTGCAATAATATTCACAATAAAAAGAATTACATTTAACCAAAATTGACACAAATTAAAAGATCCTCACAGGAGCTCTGTATTTCTTTCTCATCTTGAGCAGATCACGTTGCACTGCATTGAACAGCAGTGTTGAATCAGATCGTATCAAATCACTCTTCAATGTGATTACAGTGTGAATCATATTGCATTGCCTTTGTAGTTCCAGCATATGGATCTTTGATATTCTGGATTGTTGACAATAGATTGGGATGTGCATGGTATCAACCTCACACCAGAGATACCCAATCCTAAAGTACATCCTCTCACTCAATAACATAGGAAAACAGAGTAAATGAAATGCATGCATGTCCACTCAGGATCACTGGCAGCAGGCCAATACAGGTCGCTAAAGGGTTTACACTTATTGATCAGTCACATATATCTGGTTTGGGGCACAATCATTTGCCTACACTGTTCCTTGTTATGTTGCACATGCACATTTTCTCCCCTTGAACGTAAGAGGCTGGAGCGACTCGGGGCACATTATTGCACCCAAGTGCAATAATAAAATAAAGTCAAGTAGGTCCTTTTTTGTGAATACTTTATGTGTAAATTGTAAAAACAGAGCTGTTTCTACCCCCTCACACTGACTTTATACATTAACACTTGGTTGTTTTACAACATTATTTTTAATGTTAATACTGTGAAAACACAATGTTCAAATCTCATGTACATAGCCTAACTGTTAAATAATGACCTGTATATTTTTTTTCACTCTTCAATTCACTGCACTCTTCATTATTGCACTTTTGCACTACTGTCTTGTATTTATGAATTATGTGTAGTTCAGTTTGTACATAGGCTATTTTTTTACTGTTGGAAAAAGGGTGGTTTTCCTATCACCTTAAGGGTCACTCTTACGTCTAATTTACCAAACACAAAAAGGAAGGTACTGACTGATGTTAAATCTTTGACTTCAATTCCTCAATTACCTCTCACCCTTTTCCTGCATGGTCGTTGATGGGAAGAAGAGAAGACGAGGATTCAGAGGAGTTCTCAGTTGAAGCTCTATTTTATGAATTACACATAAGTCAAGAACTGTGCAACATCAATTTCTGGGTTCAAAATTAGCCCATCCTACCAAACAGACAGCGTAGAGGTCTGAGCGCTCCAGAACCTCGACTAACTTTCTGTTGAACCCTTGATAGTCGAGGATCCGCCTATCTAGACAAAGAGTTTCCTGTACTTCATGTTGTCTTTGCATGTAGGCTGGTTCATGTTTCTTGTTCACCTCTCACATAGATGGGTCCAGGTGTTTACCTAATAAAGAGTTGTATTATGCATTCGACACTCATCTTTAACACACACACAATCATACAGTTTTGTGGTTGCTGGGAAGATAGTCTAAGCAGGCTTCAAATAAAAGTTCCAACCTCAGCATCCTCTGCACACTTCCTCTTTCATGCGTCTGGGTGCAACTTCCTTCAAAAACAGCACACGAACATCTTTACTCAAGACACCTTACTTACCAACTATCAAGAGAAGCCAAAGCTAAAACCTTCATACTATGGACACTGTTCTTTTCTTTTGTACAGGGTGATCAATAGCCTCCCTGGAGCTTTTATCCTTCTTCCTGTTATCCATCAGTACACGACTGCATTGAGCACAATTGTTAATTCTTCATGCATTCTCATCAAATCATCTCCAAATTTACAACATATCCAAACAACATAGAGGGCAAAGTTTCCTGGGGTCAAATTATTTTATGTATGTACATACTTGGCTACATACAAAGCTGGTTCTGATTCTGGAGGAGTTGGTTTAGAGGATATTGCTAATGGCATGTAGTGATGCTATTGCCTGATTCTCCGATTACACCTAATTTGGATTCAGACAGATACGACTGACACAAAGCTCTTCTCAGGAGAAGACCAGAAAACACAAACAATCAAGTCTCCATGAAGAAAATGATATTTTCAGCCAGTCTAGAACATACAGATAGATGCTTATTATTTTAATAGTTAATGACTTGTTTTACCCCATTTATTTCAGTTTTTAAATGTATGTTATTATTAGACATTCTGAAGTTAAATTATTGCTTTTACACAGGCTAATGGATATGGAAGTCTGTTTTGCCGATCAGAAGAAAAAGGTTAAGTGATGATTTTGAGATACTAAGTCATAATAATGAGACAATAAGTCATAATATTGAGATACTACATCATAATTATGAGGCAGAGAGTCATAAATATGAGTTTAGGAGCTATGTATAGATGTTGTGCTCCATTTAAATCTAGAAGTGACGTCTATGAGGGTATAGCATTCTCACACATGATAAAATCTAGAAAACAAATGCAAATTGTGTTTGTATACATCAGATAATAGCGTATCCAGAGAATAGCATTCACCATGTGGGTGACCTACCAGTTTTTTAATTGGTGAAAAAAAATCTATCTATCTGTCTGTCTGTCTGTCTGTCTGTCTGTCTGTCTGTCTATCTATCTATCTATCTATCGATCTATCTATCTATCTATCTATCTATCTATCTATTTATCTATTCATTTACTTTTTTGTTTTAATTTATTTAAATTCAGTATACTGCTAAAAAAATTGATATATTTATACATATTATGCCAGGACCCTTGGGAGAAAATCCATTTGCCGCCGACGGTTTCCTTTACGTTTCTAACCTGACAAGACAAACTCAGGGCAGCAAAGCTCCACCGTGGAAAGTGGGAGGAGTTACTTTGACAACACGCAGTGACGTTCAGTGTGTCACGCAAGCCGGAAATAAAAGTAAACAAGGCTCAGATAGGAAAACGAAAATGATATGTAGCTTTTGCTTTCCCTCCTTCTTCCTAGTTTGTGGCCTTTGTGGGGATTTATTCACAATGCATTTCGGATTCATACCCCGATAAAGACAGGCTAAACACGGTAAGACACCTCTTCAGCTGTGAAGAGTGAGTTGTTGCTGCTGCTGCTAGTGATAGCTAGCCTGATTCCGTCTTTTCTGTTATTTATATGTTTGGACCTGTCTGATTCCCCTATCGACATCTTTTTATAACAGTAGTTTTTCCACACAAATGTAAAGCCACCTGCCCTCCCTGCATTTCTTTCAATGCTTACGGTTGTTTGCTAGAGTTTTTTTTTTCGCTTCTTTTGCACTTCTTTCTTCCAGATTCAACGATGTTAGCCATCAGGTCCTCCGAGGAGGAGTCCCCGGAGCTGGAGGACATGGACACCTCTGAGCCCAACTGGTGCTGGTTTTACCTTGCTGAGTGTGGGGTGTGGCATATGTTTGAGGTAGTTCCTGGACAACTTAACCAATCACAACATACTTTTCTGACAGTTTGTTTCCATGATTCTTCACCTCTTTTTGATACAACAATGTCAGAGTCTGTTAAAACCCTCCTCCTGTGTTAGGGTCAGCACCGACCTGTTTTTGATTTTCAATGCCCAAAACAACCACTTAAATTAGCTTTTTTAGCACCAAGACTTTTTGACTTTGTCAGGAACCTCTATTTCAACAAAAATAAAAATAAAAAAATTAAATCAGTGGTTCTCAAGTCCAGTCCTCGAGGCCCACTGTCCTGCATTTTTTGGATGTTTCCCTGCTCCAACACACCTGATTCAAATGATCAGCTCGTTATTAAGCCGGTACAGAGATTGATAACGAGCTGATCATTTGAATCAGGTGTGTTTGAGCAGGGAAACATCCAAAACATGCAGGGCAGTGGGCCTCAAGGACTGGACTTGAGAACCACTGGACCAAATTATAAAATGCTCTTATTCAATTCAGTATAGATGTCTGTGTGAGGGGTATACTGACAAAGAAAGTCCCACAAAAATGCTAACAAGGTGACTTAGAGATGAGAACTAAATTGGTTGATAGAGAATTGTTTTTAGTTTAAATTACAGCTGATTTAAGACACGAGTCTAAACCAACCCTTAACATGGTGGGTGCGTAGTAAAAGTTAACACAGGAGGAAGGTTAAATGCTTCAAAGCACCACTTAAATAAGTTTTTTGCATCAAGACTTTTTGACTTTGTCAGGAAACTCTATGTCAACAACATTAAAAAAATAAATAAATTGACTAAATTATAAAATGCTCTTATTATAATTATGGCATTTGTTGTGTTAGGGTCGCTGTTGACCCGGTTAGATCAATATCCAATAATTAAAGCAAAAAACTGAAATCATAAGTGCACTGTCAGGCACCACACTGACAGTCAGATCCTCTTCCAATAATGTAAGATTTAGGAAATTCTCATTTTGCCATGTTTTTCCCTGCACAAAAAACAACATTGAGCATGTCCAGGCATGTCTAGACATGTGAGATCATACGTCCGTAGATTTCTGTGTGAGGGGTTTACTGACAAAGAAAGGCCCAGAGGACCACTACAAAAACTATTATAAGCAGTATTTTCATGAATAATGAAGCCTAACAAGTTAGCCTAGAAATGAGAACCCAGTTGGATGATAGAGAATTGTTTTAGCATAATTTGCAGCTGATTTAAGACACGGGTCAAAACGGACCCTTAACTTGGTGGGTGCATAGTAAAAGCAAACACAGGAGGAAGGTTAAAATGAGAGCAGCAGGTTTTCAGTCCAGGGTCAATCATCAGTCACAGTCTTGGGTGAAGTCTTTGGCTGGCACCAAAAATGCCACGAGTAGCTTATCAGTAGAGACTTATTGTTAATCCAGTTGTATTGTAAGTTTACAGTCACCCTTTACCTTTGCACTGAGGTTAGGCTTCAGCAGAGCAGCCACAATAAGCTGATTTATGGTTAAGCTGAATGTAAAAGAAATTAACTTCTTGGTCCAGACCATATTCTTTATCATACTCTTTACAGACATCAGAACTGGAAAAGTTTTTGATCAATTTTACAGGACTAATTATTAACACTTGAACAGGCAGAAACCTTGAGCAGAGCCAGACTCATGTTTATCGGCATCTGCCAGTGTTGGGGTTGGGAAGGTGTTAAAGGGAGATGCACAAGGAAAGAGATATGAGAGGACATGCACAAAAAATAATGAAACATATGGAGGAATATGTAATATATAATAAAATTTGGAGGAATACATTTTGCAGCATCCAGCATGTCATAGTGGTATGGACAAACTTCCTTTCAACGGGCAAGGATCTTACATATAATTCAGGATTAAAACATTACAGCAGAGATTACTCCTGTAAATGGACATCATACCCACCTCCTCAAAAATCAAACAAGGCTCATTTGTCCATGAAGAGTTATGTATTTTACTTCAAATAAACACTTTGTTGCTTATTCTGTCCTCTGCCATTCTACCATTTTTAAACCCTATAAAACATCTCAATCAGAATGTGTGAATGATTGACAGATAAAACAAAGATAGTCATTATTATTACTTTAGAATGATGAGAGGCAGCATCTTCTAATACACTGTTTATCTTGGTCAATTCCCCTGCCAGATCGATCCCAGTGCAGCGTGCTCTGTGACCAGCGCTCAGATTGAGCAGTGCTACAACAGAAACCAACGTGGTGTCATGGAATTCTACACGGCAAAGTACACCTACAGGCTCGACTTCTCTGGTAGATCCAAACTAAATGTGCAACACAAGACAGGAGATATCCAGAACGTTGTATTAGGTGGTTAAACTTCTCTCAATGTCTCCCCAGTTATGCGGCAAATAAACGTAACAACAGGGAAGCAGAGGCCGATCAAACGCTCCCTCCATTCTGCAACTGGTTTCAGGTAAAGTTGATGGTTCAAATGAACATGTAGAGATCCTTTTGTCTTCAGGATGAGACTGTTAGGAAATGGAAGGTCAGTCAGGTCAGGGGTCACCCTTGTAAAGAGGCTTACTGTGTTATGCCCAGATTTCGTCTAGAGGTTTTTTCTTCATGGCATAATTTTGCAAAACTACTCCAGATATATTGTAATGATTTAAAATTCAGTCATTCTCGAGCTGTCCTTACCTTCTGTTTTGTCTGTTTGTTTTTACTGTATCAGGTTTATTTGTGATAATCTTGCCTTGCCTGTCCCGTGTCACTGGGAGAGGATAAATACAGATGAGCCTTACCAGGTGAGTAAAGGGTGTTAGCTTTTCATCCCAGAGGGGTCAGAGTCTTGTACTGAAATGTTGCTGACTCAGTGGTGTCGTGCCATCTCCCTGCAGATATTTCAGCAGCACAGTGATCCTGTCAATGTCACCTTTCAGACCTTCTGCCAAGATGAGATTCAGAGAGCGTATCATTGAGCATTTAAAACTGCAATTCAAGCCTTTAAGATAAATAAATAAATAAAAATGGGCCATCAAGTGTTAACTTAAAAACCATAGCCGTACAAACAAAAATTTTAATGGCACAAACAAAGCACTAACGAACAGCACCATTTTGGGTCCATTTGGAGCCAATGGGGGGCTGGGTGACCTTTGGATGACCTATAAAACAATATTTAATAACTTAAAAACCATTGCAGCACAGACGAAAATTTTAACGGCACAAACCAGCACAAACGAAGCAGACTATTTTCCCCAAATTTTGCGTGGGGTGGGGGGCCTGCTTCACACAGGTTCATTTCTCAGTGTGATAGCTAATTCCACCCTGAAACTCCGTAAGGGTTCCCTGAAAAACAAATCCTTGTCATACAAACAGGTTTCCTATGACAGAGTATAGAAGCAGAAAAACTGACATTTTTTTTAAAGTAACAAGTTCAAGAGGATAATAATATTATGAGAATACAGTTGTGTATTTATAAAAAAAAGTCAGAACTTAAAGCCACTGTGAGGAGTTTTGGTTAGTGGTTACAAACGTGATCAAAACTAACGTCAGTGTCTCTTTATGAAGACTTGGCCAAAGGAAGGCTATAGAGACTGTCCACCCTCAAGACTCTATAGAGCAGGGTGGACAGAGGAATTAAAGGCCCCACATTGTCCATCGGGGAGCACCAAAATCATGTAGTTTCAAAGTTCCTCACAGGAGATTTAAAGAGGTGATATTGTACTTTTTTCATATTTTGAAAACAAATGTTAAGTGAAAATGTTGGATGTCCATACTACACCTGAGAGAAGTTTCAGACTGAAGGTCAATGAGTGTTCAGATGGGACTAAAGGCTGCTCTCAATGGCTTGTTCAAAAAATCTCGTTAAAAAGGCAAATTTTTAAATTTATGAAAAAAAAAAACAACACAGCTTTATTGCATGGCAACAGTGAAGGTGGCTTCAAGAATGCTGGGTTCTAGAATGTTGGGGGGACTTAAAGGGGCAGAGTCTTCAATGAACATCAGAATTGTTTCTTGTTTACTCTTGTAAGGAGATTTTTCTAAAGAAGGGCAGTATACTTGTGACCTAAAAAAGCTAACCAGACCAAGTAGCTACTACTGACTATGTCCTGTACATGTGTAATCACAGTTTCCTGACTGAAGTAGTTTCAAGTAGATGTTCCAAAGGGGATACCAAAATTAACACAAATAGAAAATTCCTTACAGGAGCTTTATAAAGTACTTGTTTTGCTGTTGTTTTTATCTTCTGTTACTTTCATTTTTTACTTGTGAACCAAGCTTTGACAAATCTTGTTTTTTTTAAACATTCAGATTCAAAATCATTGTTACAAAGTTATCTGTGTGTGTTTGGGGTTTTGCAGCTCATTCAGCTTGGAAGAGACACCTACGAGTTCAAAGAGGTTGCCAGGTTGTATGAAAGGACTATGGACCACCCCATCAAGTGCATTCAGAGGATTCAGAATCTGGACTTATGGGAATTCTTCTGCAGGTAGACATTTGTTTTGTTGTTGTCGGTGGACTGCAATATCTCCAAAGTGCTTTTGACTTCAATCAACAAAATAAAACTCAGTAAAAGCCAAGGTGATACTGTAGCTTTGATCACATCCCTGTTGCCCTTTGTAGCTTGAAAATCCCCTTTGTAAGAAAAATGAAGAAAGTACTTTGTGTTGTGTTGTCATTCCCTGGTTCTAAGGAAGAAAACCCAGCTGCGAAAAGTCAAGCGCACCCTGGACATTGAGGAGCGAATGCTGTTTCACGGCACAGGACACAGCAACATACAAGCTATATGTACTTTTAACTTTGACTGGCGGCTGACAGGAAGTCACGGCGATGTCTATGGCAAAGGTAGATCCATTTATGTTGTGATGAGATTATTTCCGTCTTTCTTTTTGGTCTGATAAAAACTGACTTTAACTTTTGATTTTTCCTCTTTACAGGGAGCTACTTTGCAAGGGATGCAAAATATTCAAGCAAGTTCTGTCACACCACAGGGAAGCACAACACCACCCTGCAGAGGCATGGACTCGCCCCGCCAATATTTGCTTGTGAGCCGCCCTATAAGACAATGTTCCTCGCTAGAGTGATCGTTGGAGAATACACAGTCGGTCATCCCATGTACTGCAGACCACCTTCTAAGGACGCTAGCTTCACTAACTTCTATGACAGCTGTGTAGATGATATGGCCAACCCAAAGATTTATGTTATTTTCGACAGCAATCAGATCTACCCTGAGTATCTGATTGAATTCTATTGAAAGCCGAACAAAATATCACCTTTTCCTTTTTTTTTTTTTTTTTTTTTTCTGCAAAGGGTGGATCTAACATGGATACATTTTGGATGCAGAGTTGGAAGATGGGAAGGGATGGACCAAGAAGCAGCTTTTCAGACATTCTTCTTTCAGTCAGATCCAGTGCCTAACTGGAGCATAGGTCATCTAAAGTGCCTTTGGGAGGAATTGGAAAAAAATATAGAAGACAGTCAAGGCTTTGTGTGCAGTCAGGGTACTGTTCAGCACATCGTAAGTTGGCTCTTGTGGTTTGAATGCTTCAGTTCACTCAGCAAGGATGAAAAAAAACTGAACTAACTTCAGTTTTTCTTGCAACTTTGTAACAAATGCAAAACCTGTGCTTGCTTGTTTAATCTGTGTGCACAGTTGTTTAGAAAAAAAAAAGAGAGAGAAATCAACAGCCTTTAAGTTACAAGTGATGTCCTGCCATCAGCTGCAGCTCTTCCTTCACATCCACTGTGCCAAGCATGAGCAAATTTACAAGTCATAACAAGTAATGAAACCAAAAACCACTATACGTTCTTCTCAGCATATCCAAACACACGGGCCATCGGTTATGAACATCTATGTGTACCTACTTTGACATAGATTTGTTTTGTTTTCTTATTCCTGAAAAAGCTTCTACCTCTGCATTGTTTTAACCATGCATCCGTGCACTTTTCCCCCCTTTCCATGAAAGGTTTTGTAACTGTGTCACAATGACATACAGTCGCGATGTCGTGTTCTTGCGTGTTTCCTCGAGCAATATGTTTCTCTGCGTATTTTCTGACTTCTATCCTTATTAAGACTTGACAGTGGCTTAGGTTGAATTTTGCCGGCAACAAAATTCATTACAAACAATAAAAACATCAGTTTCACCATGACTGACTTAAAACCATCAGTGTGATATCACTACCCGCTAACGTCTTGATTACAAGGAAAAAGCAGGTTATCCTTACACCTGATGTATATTTATTTTGAAAAAGGATGTAGCCAGCACATGTATAGTACTGTTATAAGAATTAATGTAAAGTTTCTTTGTTGTGTGTGTTTGTTCAATTCATTGTATGAACATGTGTGATTCTGAGTGAGGAGAACAAAAAGACTCATGTTTGCCACTAGGTGGTGTAATAGTACAAGAAATGGCATTTCCTCGCGGTTAATGCAGACACGTGAAAAAAAATCTGTCTTAACACTACAGCTGTATGAGTGCAGAGGTGACTGAAGCTATATGTATGTCTGTAATTTGCACGTTACAGATAATAAACTTTTAAATCAATGTGTGTCTCTTTGATACACACTGAAAGACATATTAGTGGTTTTACATTTGTTTTAAAGTGTATTTTTATATTTCTATACTTAAACACTAAGGTTCTTGTTTATATGTCCTAGTGGGGACCTGTTCTTGATGAAAAGTCATCATTTTGAGGACTAACTAACACACTCTCTGGGATACTCATGGGGCTTTTGGTGACTCTTTGCTTTACCTGTCACCAGTGGAAACTTCACTCAGAATTTTTTTTCTGCTCTCTCTGCCCCTGTAAAGATTTTTTTACACACACACTCTGTCTTTAGTGTGCTTGTAGGGACCCAGGGCTCCAGGCTAACTTTTTCACTGGTAGCACTGGTGCCACCTAGTTTTTCATTTAGTAGCACCAAAAAATATTAGGTATCACCGTCTTTTTCTTTGTATATAGCGTGTTATTAATACTTGATCTTATCATGTAGATAAAAGTTAAAGATTGACAATGACCCAAACTTGATATTTGCAAAACATTTTAATCTGAACTGTCTGTAGGTTTCTCTGCATGAGCAGCAGTATAAAAATAGGGAATCTTCATATAAAAACATCGAAATGACAAAAAGACCTGCACAGACATACCAGACAACATTCTCAACTTAAACTAACAAGGTGCATTTAACAACTTAACTTAAAGTGACAGCACCACAGCAGCATTAATTCACACTGTAATTCAACTGAACTTGAATTATTAGTAGCATTCATTTAGTCCCTGCAATTTATCTCATTCTAGGGGCCAGCTCATATAGTAAGGCCTCCTGCACGTCTTGTGTTTTTGGCTCTCATGATGTAACTTAAATGACTAAATCTTGAGCTGTGTCAACCCCTTAACAAAATGTGTTCTGCCTGCAACGGACGGGCCACATGTCCTGCAGTACACACACACCATGAATTTATCCTTGTATCGCAACCACGGGAACTGCGACAGCCATTGTTGTTGAAAACAGTACTTTTTCTTTTTCTCCCCACTCTCCCTCATCTCTTTTTTTCACCTGTCACAATCCTCTTCACTCTCAGAATCGGAGCTTCTCGTCGCTTCCTCATTTTTTAACACTTCTCCAGCACCAACATCTTCGTTTCTACCCTCGGACACATTTTTTTTCTTAAAATAATCAACTATGGACCACCTCATGTCTGCATCTTTATTTACCGGAAGTTAGCGATAGCGTGTGTGATGATACAGTGAGCGTCTACAGCTGTGCACGTGCAGCACATCACGTGCGCAGACAGGCAGGGAACGAGAGAGACAGGAGAGATAGGATTCGGTGGAATGAGCGAGAAAGTAATATTTTTATTATCAACCACAACCATTGACGCACTAATATAGCCACGGGTGTGTGGGAAGAGGAGAGAAAATAGTTTAAAAAAAGAAATCCCTTGTCCGCAAGCTCCTGACTGCAAGTATCACCGGAACCTCATAAAAATTTAACTAGCGCACAGGTCGCACCCTGGAGCCCTGTAGGGACCCACTTTGGTGAGTGGTCAAATGAGCCCTTATCAAAACAACCATTTTGAAAGAGGGGCTCAAATATAAAATCTAATGAGCAAGTTTTATTTTTTGTTAGTATTATTATTATTATTATTATTAGTAGTAGTAGTAGTAGTAGTAGTAGTAGTCGTTGTTGTTGTAGTGGTATTCTAGCATTCCTTAAAAAAGTTTGCCTTAGACGCATATATTTTAATACAGACCAAACAGACTAATGATAACAAAACAAGAGCCTCATATTGTTACATGCAAGTCTTTGCTTGCAAGACAAGCCCATCTTCTGAAGGTGTGGCTTCAATTATATGAGTCAGAAACACCAGTGCCAGACTTTAAATCCACCTGATTTGGACATTAACAGACTAGTTAGATTTCAGACTTGTTACTACAGGTGTCTAGTTTTTGTTGTGGCTTGAAAATGTGGAGCACTTTTGAGGAGGAACCTATGGACACATCCGAACACTGTCCCACTCCCTACCGTTTGGTATTACCTGACATTAATGGACTAGATAGATTTCAGACTTGTTTACCGGCGTCTAGCTTTCGTTATGACTTGAAAATGTTCAGCACTTTTGAGGAGGAATCTATGGACACATCCGAACCTAGTCCGACTCCTTACCGTTGGTATTACCGGGCAGACTGTGGACATTGGCACCTATTTGAGGTAATTTCTTTAAATTATGATCCGTTTTTCAGAGTTGATCTAAAGTACATTAAACATTGATATGTGTGAGAACTTAGGCATGCTTTCTCATTTATACAGGATGATCCTGATTGCCAGCTCACAAGTATGATTATTGAAACATACTATCTCAGAAACCCCAGGGGAATTTTAAAGTCATCTTCATCTGGCCAACACTTTGAGATTGATTTCTCAGGTATGTTGCTTTATTGACAAAAAATTTTTTATCTCTGCATGAAGAACTAGCTTTTGACATGCTTTTTGTGTTTTTAATGCAGCAATGTTGCGGACAAACCTCAAAACAGGGAGAAAAATGCGGATCACACGGGACTCTAACGTTAAGACAAGGTGATACAAGGTTTAAATCACAAAAGTTTGTCAGTTATTTCACATTCAATAAAGAAATTTCTGTGTTAGCCAGCTGAAAGTATTGTTTTCGACAAAACGAAAGCGAAACTTAACTCAATGGCTGTCTGTTAACTCTTTCCTCCCCCAGTTGCTCCTGCTTCAGTGTTGCACCCGTCTTCTGGGAAATGGTTGATCCCACTTGCCCATATCAGGTGACTACAACTAAATAAGTGGATGTAAAATTACCTGTGGCTAAATTTTACTTAAAACTTAGCAGTTTAAGTCACAAAGTTTTTTTAAACACCCAAACAGAATCACAACCTCGAATCCATTAAATATTGAGAAATAACATTTTTAATGGCATACTGACATCAAAAGATGATAGTGTGTGTCTCAATTTTTTTTTTGTCTGTTTGTAGTTGATCCGTTTGAATAAACTTACCCCCGAGTATCAGACTGTGGTCAATTATGTGAAGAAAGATGGTCTTTTGGACAGACCCATTGTATCAGTCAGCAGGATACAGAATTTGGATCTCTGGGAGCTATATTGTAGGTAAGTAAGTTTTTGAATTTGACTCCTCTTATTCTCGTAATGATGTCCCCTTTTTTAAGTAGCATGGTCTTTCTCTTTGTTTGAAGGAAAAAGCAACAGTTGATGAGAATTCATGGAGTCACAGAGATTCAGGAGAGAAGACTCTTTCATGGGACTGACGCCAAAAATGTTGAGACAATTTGCAAGTATAATTTTGATGTACGGCTGGCTGGACAACATGGACACTCATATGGCAAAGGTAAATACAATGTGCAACAATCGCCCACATGAAAATTTGAAATGTGCGTCTGAGACCAAATGAGAATTCTGACCTGTTGGTTTCTCTCTTGTTTCTGTTTTAGGAATATATTTTGCAAAGCATGCAACATTTGCAGACAAATACAGCAGTAAAAGTAAAAACCCTTTGCCGCAGCATGGTGGGGGTTTACAAAATGTATGTACTGAAGCCACTAAAATAATATTTTTGGCACGGGTGATGATCGGCACACCAAAAGCTGGAGCGTCACACTTTCTGAAACCTGATCATGATAGACTGGAAAACTTACACAACAGCTGCGTGGATGATATCAAGCATCCTAATATTTTTGTCATCTTTGATCCAAATCAGATATTTCCAGAGTATGTGATTCAGTACAAATGAATTCAACACAGGACCGTTAGACCGTGGAATCAACATCTCTACCTCAAAAGGATTGACTTATTTCATGAGAACTTTTTTCTGTGACAGATTTTAAGCTAAAGTACTGAAACTAAATCGCTGTGTGCCTTCATCTAATTTAGTAAAACTGTGCTTTAACCCTGGCCCACACAGGTATGAAACACTTTGGAAAACAGTCACAGTTTTGTTTGGGAATTGTTTCTGAGTATTCCCTGTTTTTAGAGAAAAATGGTGTTTTAAGGGAACTTTTTAGAAACGTAAATTAATTAATGAGTCTATGTGAGAATGACTCCATTTTCAAACCAGGTAGTCTTTCAGTGTATTTATTTTACCACCTAATTTAATATGGTGAATGTATTATATCATTAAAAGCTTTATTGCACACAGACATTAATTTAGCTTGTTAAATAAATTTCCTGACGAATTAAACAAAATCTTCTTGTGTTTTATTTCTATTAATATTTTTACAATCTCAAATTACTTCTAGGTTCAAACTTCATGTTGACCTACATTTTATGAATAAAGATGTAGGGGCACATTTTGGAGTACTGCAGAAATGTACACTGCAGGCCAAAAGTTTGGAAGCAAGATCAGTTTTGTACAAAAAAAGATCATAGTTTCATATATATAATTTGCAACACAATAAACATGACTATTATGTAAAGAGTAACTTATCAGAAGACATTTTGACTATAATTATTAGGTATTTGAGTTATTGTTGCTTAGACTTTGCTTTCTTTAAAGTTACCTCCTCTGGCTTTAACAACAGCTTTACCAGGCATTTGTTCACAAGTTTTTTAAGGTATGTTCCAGGAATTGCATTCCAAGCTTTCTTAAGTTCATTAAAAAGAGACTGCTGATTCGTGGGACACGCTTTTCTGACCAATAGATCCAATTCATCCCGCACAAGCTATGTTGGAGAAAGGTCTGGAGACTGAGGGGGCCAAACCATCTTTTGAAGAACACCTTCCTCTTCTTTTTTGTCTAGGTAACCCTGACAGAGCTTGGCAGAGTGCTTAGGGTCATTGTCTTGCTGCAAAACAAACTTATGAGCCACAAGTCTGAGTCCAGATGGAACAGCATGGTGCTGGAGGATGGAGTGGTACTGTTCCTTCTTCATGATACCCTTTACTTCAAACAAATCTCCTACTCCATCACCTGCAAAACATCCCTAAACCATGGAGCTACCACCTCCATGCTGAATTGTAGGTGTAACACATGGTGCTTTCAGACGTTCACCAGTTTGTCAGCGGACATAGACTCTGCGTTTTGAACCAAACAGTGCAAACTTTTTTCTAGTCATCATAAGTCCAATTTTTGTGAGCTTTTGCCCACTCATATCTCTTTTTCTTGTTCTGTGGACGAAGTAGTGTTTTTTTGCAGATACACCACCCTTCAGACCAGACTTTCTCAAACGTCATTTCACGGTTGTCAGAGATATGGGTTTCGACCTTGTCATGTTGATTTCCTCCCTTATTCGTGGTGCTGTCTTTCGCCGATCTCTCTTACTGGTGACAATGCTATGTTTATCCTCTGCTTTTGTTGTAACTCTCTTTCGTCCAGGTCTTTTTCTATCATCATAACTTCCAGGTTCCTCCTTAGAGTGTAGTGGACTCCTTTGTTAAACACCTTTAGGCGTTTTGCAGTTTCTCTTTCTGTGTATCCTTCCTTCCTCAATGTACAAATCTGTACTTTTGTTTTTTTACTCAGTTGCTTCTTTCTAGCCATTTTTGCGTTAGTTTGTACGCAGTTGAGATTTATTAGGATTTTTGTATACAGACTCTCAAAAGCCAAAAAGTTGAAGTGAATAATCCAACTGTGGTTTGTTTTTTTGCTTTTGCACTGAGGTTTGACTCTTGCAAATGTTTTCAACCCTAAAACTAAGCCCTTATTTTCTTTTGCTGACATATATTTAGCAATGGTCTGTTAATATCAAAGTATATCTAAAGGTAAATGGAGTAAAATGGTGCATTTCCATGAAAGCAACATCTGATCATGGAGTAAATACATCCCAAAATACATGAAACTCATGCTGGATTTAAAAAAAAAACTGTTCGGCCTATAATGGTCTTGCTTCCAAATTTTTGGCCTGTAGAGTACATTTTATGAATAAAGATATAGGGGCACATTTTGGAGTACTGCAGAAATGTAACTTTGGCCTCTAGTTTAAGTCAAACTTTCCTTTTCATTTCTGCCCCTGAAAAATAGATAATAGATAAGATAAAATATTTTTTAAAAGCTATTGACTCATGTTACATCAAGGACGACCGTCTATTAGTTTTCCAGGAACTTGAAAAGTAAACTTAGACTGGAATGGCCCAACCCAGAAACTACTTACACTGCTCTCTCAAGAGGGAAAGTTTAACACACCCTCTCAGAGATCTAAAAATAGATGTTGTTCTTCCAGAACAAAAGCAACACCTTCACTAATATCCCTACATCATTAAACCGCAATGATGTTACACTGACGCAACCTTTGGGAATCCTCACGAAAACCCCAGTTGCGCAACCAATAAATGAACTGAGCTGAAGTCTTCAGTACATCTTTTTCATTCCTTTAACCCTTTAATGCCTTTTGTATCATATTTAATACATACTTTTATTATATACTCCTATCAAATCAATATGATCAACAAATTACTCACGCTTTCATCTGCTGAGAAGCTTTACAGATATGAAGAGCATTTTTCAACAGAACATAGCCCTTCCCACAGCTCCAAAACTAACAGAAACTGTTTTGTTGACCAATAACTTCCGTGCCACAACTCACTAATGCAGTAATTCGAGCCAAAGGGATCCTCGTTCAAGTACCTAGAGCACAAAATATTCGGTTTTGGAAAAGTGCATTTTTGATTGAAACAAAAAGTGTTAAACTATTTCTCTTTGTGTGTGAAGAAATCTAGAATACAGTAAAGTTTCAATTTTTAAATTCAGGGAACAAATTTACTTTTTTGACCTAGACCAACAGCTGGCTCTTGAAAGTATTTAGATTTTGTTTTGGAATTAATATAGAGAATTGTGTTATATATAATGTAAAAGAGTTTACTCTCAGCCTTGTGCCTGACTGTGATAAATTTTGCTCAACTTTCATGAACTATGTGCACATTTATTAATGACATAACAGCCATGCATAGCTTCAGAGAGCTTTTTATTAGATGTTATTCCAGAAGAAAAGTCAGCACGTTTCAGCATCCTAAAGTGCATTCTTACTTGATTTTGTGAAGAACAAAAGATGCTGACTGTAAAGAGATTAGACAGAGAACTACTCACGCATGATTATTGCTTTTTGGATTAGAGGAAATAAATTCAGCTGAAGCATCATCACGAAAAAATTACATCAGTAGCCTTAATCAAATCCTCACGCTGAACTTCAAGTAAAATCCTAAAAAGTTACGAGTAAAAGAAAAGTGACCATGATACTGGCACTCGAAGCAGACTTCAACCACCAAAGAAAATTATTAAAACAGACATGAGCTTTGGTTAGTCTCAAATAAAACCGCCTCTACTTACAATTCATATCAGTGTAATCAAAAATCTTAGCAAAATCTTAATTACTAGCTAAAACAAGGAAGAACCGTCTTAATCCGTCACCTGCTTTATTAGTGTTTACCAGTGTTTCCCTTCGACAGAAGTTTTAGCTACCAGAAAACCGCAAAAACGTTAAAGTACCTTCCATATTACATTTTCTTCATTAGTAAAATATTACGGCCTGATCAAAGTGCACAAGCCAAAGTCTCATTTCTAAATCCATTTAAAGCCATAAAGCGGATAAACTACTTTACAAAATACAGTATCCACATCTTAGATAAGTTCAACAATAAGTCCATGAGCTATTCACTAGATTTAGCAAAAGCTCTCCAAATGGCTTCTTTTTTTTTGGTGATCCCTTTTTTAAGTTTTAAGAATAAACTCATTCTTCCGTAGTGCAGAAAACTGTTTCAGTGCCCCCTTCAAGAGATTATCTGCATCACAAACAGAAAAGTAGTGTCCCTACTCAACATTATTGCTTATTAATGCTGACATTTGGAGCTTCTGCAGCTTTCACAGAGCCCATTTGAGGCACTTTTTGTCTTAGATGACCTTTAATTTCTTAAGACTGACATCCAACTATAGTGACATCTGTGGCAGGAACAATCCTTTTTATCTTACAGTGCTTTATCAAATTATAATATTACCAAGATAGTTAATGCATCCAGTGCTGCAGGACAATACAAAAAAAAAATTAAAAGATTTTAAATTTTTTTGAAGTTTACTGATGATTCCACCTGCAAGAAGCTGATCAGAATATACATCTGCACCAGTAAAATCTGAAGGGGGCGTTAAAATAAAGTCTTTATAACCAGTTCTCAAATTAATAAAATCATATTTAACTATTTTTTGATGACCCATTTATGTCTCTAACTGGTGGCCCTTCTTAGCTTTGCCTCGAGGTCTTTATTCACTAATCATCCACTGTTAAAAACAGCTCAATATACTTCATCCCTCACTCATTGGAACATCAAGACTCGTGTTCACTGTCATCTTTAGTGGCTCTATATTACATATCATTTGTTCGTCAGCTTTTCAAGTATGCAAAGTTATAACAGCATCAAGTTTTGAAGAATCCATGAGATGCTTTAAACTGTAATAATTCAGTGTAAGAGCCATATCACTGCACTGTGGCTTTGAGAAGTGCAGCTACATATTCAACCTGTTTTAGAAGGTGCTGGAGAAGTGCTGGAGGAAGACGACTGGATGATGTTTTTCAAACTCTTTGAGCAGCCTCTTCTTCTCCTTCATGGGTAATGTCGTGCTGGAGGAAATATTATGAAGAAGCTGTTTGAGGCTGTCCAGGGTGGTTGCCTCGCGCTGGTCTTCATATTCTCGTGGCGTCACCTGCTGGCAGAATGTGAACGCTGCAACGAAGCGTGAAGGAGATGGCATCAGATAGTGACCAAAGGAGGAGTAGTGCACGGCTGTGATTGATACTTTGATATGACTCTGAGCAACTTCACCAATAAAAAAGCCCTTTACATAAAGGTAGTAGCTTCTAATGCATTCAGTGGGTGAAACAACAAAATGGGTCACAAGTCTGACCTTTATTGTGTATGATACTTAACTCATGAAGATATTCTATTCTAAGTCCTAATGTTGTGCTGTAAAGAGCTGGAAAAATGGAGCTGGAGAATGTTCAACTAGGATCTTTGACAACAGAATTATGACATCAGTTCACCTTCTTCATGTATGCTCCACTTTATGACTCAAAGATTTAGGGCTCTGTAACTGTGAGTGTTGTTTCCTGTGGTATGTTTTACATCCGCCAGTGCGCATATTCAGTTGTGGTTGTATTTCACTTACTGGCAATTGAGTCTGGGTCTTTCCCCTGCTGCATCGTCCTCAGTGTTCCCCTCACAGCTTCGATCAGGGATGTGGGGGTCTGAAATCATCACAGGTAAAAAAATATATATATAAAAAAGGAAAAACCTTTATCTAAAATGAATACATTTAAGCTTCCTACTAAGAAATTCAGCTAATGACACACCTTCAGCTGTCTTTTAGATACCTGAAATAATGAGATAAAGTGTACCTTGAAGATCAGAGAGCAATTGTCCATGAGAAATAATGTGAAGGTTTCTGTTTGAGGCCGAGTCAGCTCAGGATTCTGGATGATTGCTTTCTGAAAAGTGCGGCAGACTAAGGCCCGATTATCAATCTGGAAAGAGACAAAGAAAGAAAAGAACAATTGATTCAAACACACAGACAACCTGATTTTCCTTGGCTGTAACACGGCCAACTTATATTTTCATAATGTCAATAAATGCGACTTTATCCCTGTCTCACTAACACAGAGAAAAAAACTTTTTTGAAAATATTAATCAAGAAGTTTGTACTTGTTTCTGAAGTCGGCAAGCATCTGGATGGGCTGCTGTGGCCATAAAGGCCAGCAGTCTCCTGAGTTCATCCCTCACGCTCGCCTCCAGCAGTCGAAAACACAACTGAGATGCTTTAATAGCATCCTGCTCCTTCCCTTTTTCTGGGGAAACACAATACAGAAGACAGTTAATAACTTTTTACAAACTTCCAGGTCAGGAACAGCTCTGTGCTGGGAAATTATGACACAAGCAGATGCAATAAAATCACTGAAAAACCTGCTCAGTCTCACCAAGCAAATCCAGGATTGCAGCGTGTATGTCCATGTGGTGCCCTGAGAGAAGTGGGGTCTTTTCCTGGCCACTGTAGTGCTTAGAGATGGTTTCAAAGAGCACTCTCTTCTGGTTGTCCATCTGCTCAGCCTGGTCAACTTCTATGAAGGCACTGCCACCTTGCTGGCTGAGCTGCTCCCCTGCGACCACAATCAGCTGGTCGGGGAAGAGCTCCAAGCAGTCTGCTGCTGCCGACAGCCACCCATCAAATCTGTACACAAAAGGCGACGAAACAGAACAGAGCGATGTTTTTACAGTGGAAAAAATGTTGCTATCAAATCTGTATTCAACCCATTATAATCTATTGATAGCTTTTAAAAGTGTATGATCAGAATCAGTTCATATGATGATAGTTTTAAGTCTATAGAAAGATCAGAAGTATTACAGAGCACTAACTGAGGTAGATTAAGGGTGTCGAGCAGCTCTCTCTCCAGACATGTATTTGAGAAAACCAAGTCATGGTTGGCCAGAGGAGCTCTGAAGACCTGAGGCTGGACTTTGGAAGGTGAAGCCAAGATGCAGTCCAGCACAGGCAGGTCTACCACCTGTAGCAGCTGCAGCAGGGTCTGCTGCTTCCAAACCTCGTCCACCACTAAAGGAAGAGAGTGAAAACTTTAGCCACCATCTTTCATGGATTAATTTTCCTATTTAAAGGGCAGCCACCTTACAGGCCAAGTCTAACAGGATAATTCAGGCCTACCTGCTTTGGACAGGAAGGCAGAAGTTGAAGGAGTTGTGTTGAGTGATGGAAAGACGGAGGGTCGCAGGTTGATGGTCCTCAGCAGCCTTTCAACTCTCCTGTCTGATGGTCCAACAGCGAGTGGATTGGAGACTGTCCTCAGTTCCTTCAGCCTCCAGAGACAACAGGAAGCATAAAGGTGTTCTTTCAATGATTTGCAAACCATCAAATCTTTTTTTTATTCACATGTAGACAGCATCCCAACTTTGGTATGTCAGACTATCAAAAACTTACCTAGCACTCCTCTTCCTCTTTAGCTCCACCGCTTCTGGTGCCACATTTTCGGTGTCATCATTGCACTCCTTCATGGCAGAGTTTGGTAATACTTTATATTCCAGAAAACGATAAAGGCTACAGCTGCTGTCCTCAAAAGCCACCTCCTTGTCTCTGCGAAACAGCTTTGTGCCCACCGGTTCAAACACTTTGGCTTCCATCAGAGCCTGGCAGAGTCTGGCAGCTTTGAGACGCGACACTTCGCTTGTGCAAAATACAACATTCTGCATCAAGTAACTGAGAACGGCATCCACGGCATCTGAGCCAGAGAAACATTCAGCATGAACACGAAGATGCCGTCTATAGCGACGGACCTCCACCTGGGTTTGCAGGGCCTGGATGATGTTGTGCCAGAGCTGGGTAGCACCAAAGGGTCCGGTAAAATCTATTGGGAGACAGGGTTTGCAAAGAGTGGGTAAGTTTCTTTTTTATTGCATCAGTAACTTCCATTGTGACTTCTTTTCTTTTTTTTTTTTGCATTTTATTTTATTTATTAATTTTTTTTTATTTGCAGCAGTGGCGGTTCTCGGCCACCGTAGCTTCCCTACTGCATATACAACAACGATATCGGAGAGCAAGAGCAGCACAGCAGCGTCAACCTCGTCTACAAATGAGGATCTAGTACGAAAAAGGGAGCTACTTCCATGGTGTGGATGAGGTTTGGCTAACACAACTAATAAGTTTTACCCCCTAAAGCTGAATATCAGTAGATTTTTATCAATGGGACATGACACCAGCTACAGGTGTTCAGAGTAAAAGTAAACAAATGGCTTAGAGGGGCATTGCAGGAGACGGTGGCAGGACATTATCCTTTTCAAAACCAAGTCCCCACAGCAGCTTTAAATGTCATATTAATATACTGGTACCCACGAGTACTGGTATTACTGGTTTGTGCTCTTTAGGAATTTGGCTCAACGTCACTGAAAGATTAACGGTTGTACTTTTTAAAATCACAACTAGCATTTACTTCACAGATGTTATGTCTAATCGTTTAAAGATTTCCACCTTAACCAAACCTGAGAGCAGAGCCACTTACACTGCTATATGATAATGTTGCTATTATTGCGTACTGGTAAAGGAGTCTGGCCCATTTTTTTATGACAGAATGCAACTTTACTCATGTTAAAACTGAGTGTTAATCGCTTTTATTCGTTTACACGTAAACATAACCTACAAATTACCCAAAGGGAACGCATATGACTGATTCTTTACAGCGCTTTATGCGGTCACCTTAACTGCGGGGAGATAAACAACGTCCGTGTTGAACTTCTACGCTTAACATCGTTCATCTTCGTACATGGTCGTATTCCTACAATATGAGATGCAGTATTCTATAATTATTCAGACACCGAACCCAGATCTTACCCTGCTGAATATTGTCACGAAAACTTCTCGTTTGGCTGTTCAACCGTCTGAATCGAGGAGTCAAATCAACCGCCATCATCAGCCCTGCGTATGACGATGTGACGTGTGCGTCGTCGTCTTCTTCCTCCTTTACGTAAGCGGTTATTGCCACGCGAGAGCCCCCTAGAGGTAGTTACAAGAACTATTTTCATACTAACGAGCTATTGGCAGCACACTTTAGTTCACTTTTTGACCCCATTTATTATTTTTTGTGATAAAATTTAAGTACTGTCACTCTTAAACAGTCCTTGGTAGGAAAGCTCTTCTGTCTTACTAAACGAGATAAAGCAATAAACATATAAAAAAACATTCTCAGATGTAAAATCAGATTTTCAAAATAGAATAAAATTATATTAACTGGCCTAATTAAACCACACAGAATCATAAACATATGGTCTTCTCAGCTTATGTTTGTTCAAATCTGTCCTATTTCATCAACAGCTGTGTGATCAATTATGTTATTCTAAGTACATGTCCCAGTCTTGCAGTCTGTTGCACCCAGCAAGTGGTTATAATTTTTCTTGCTATTGAAATTAATAATGTTAGGATGTCCAGTTTGAAAGCTTTATATGAGCGAATAAAAGAAAAACAATCAAATAAATAAATTGGTAAAAAGTTACGCAAATAAGGAAAAACTCAGATTAAAGCAAGACTATCCAGTATGATGAGAAATATATTGTAATAAAATGTGTTGTAACAGTTCAGTCTGGTAAATGATTCTTGGTTCAAATCCAGTACAGAGGGAGTACAAGGTTGAGGCAGGGAAAGAGAGAGGACATGGAGAGGGGAGAGAGGTCAGATAAGAGACAGGAGACAAAACAAGGAGGCAAAAATTAATGAAGGGTGGAGAAGAGGACAGGAAAAAGACACTAAACTAAAATGTGGCCTCGATTTTGTAGTTCTAATAAATGCCCATCAGAGGGCATTACTATCCAACCATCTCTGCATCCAGCTTTTCCACCTCCCTCTATGAGGTCTGATTAAAAGCTGTTACATCTTAACATGTTGTGACACTTGTACAGAAACTGCTTCCTTTCACAGTCACACACCCTCACCCAAACTTTGAGTGTGTGTGTGTGTGTGTGTGTGTGTGTGTGTGTGTGTGTGTGTGTGTGTGAGTGCGCGCACGTGCGTGCATGCACGTGCGTCCAGTTCCGCTGAAGTGATTAGAAGACTGCAATCATGTTCCCTGCCATCAAGCCTCGCACAAATGTTATGAATCTGCTGGTCGTGTTACCATGGTGACTGTCCTTGGATGTCCTGTGTGTGTGTGTGTGTGTGTGTGTGTGTGTGTGTGTGTGTGTGTGTGTGTGTGTGTGTGTGTGTGTGTGTGTGTGTGTGTGTGTGTGTGTGTGTGTCTGTCTGAGTCTTGGGATTCACATTTTCAGCTGTACAAAGGGCTTGTCTTGACCATTATGTTGGAGGGTTTTATTACTGTTTGCTTTGCTTCAGGGGAGCTTCTTCACCGTCTTAAGTCTTTTTTTTTATCCCATTGTCCCCTTTCATTTCTGCTCCTCAAAGCTATATTTCTGTTTGGTGCAACATTTAGCTTTTTTTTTCTTCTTACAGCAGAACCGCCTCAGCTACAACAGTACTCACCACCAACCCAACACTGGCTGCCTCAGTATCACTGTACATACAGCTGTTAAAATGTATAAGCTATCCCATAAAGCATGTGATCAATTCCAAATTAAACATCTCTATGTCTTTAAGGTTTCTCTTTTCCTTAGTTTTCCCTCCACAATGAAAATACAGTTGAACTTTTGGTACAAAGTTTTACAATAGCTTGTTTTTAAAAATATTTATACCTTATATAGATTATGATTTCAATTTATTCAGGACAGATACTTGGGATGTAGCATTCAAATTACAAAGGAAAACAAAATAACTAATTAAACTCCTGTATAATGAAACAGATACAGAATTGACTTTTAACTTCTACTACTACCCCTAATTTTACGACTACTACTACTAGAATTTAATACAATGAAATTGAAGTTTAGATTTCTGAGAGATTTCAAAAGAAAATCAGTTTCTGGTCTCTCTGTTATTTTTGAGCAAAGGGAAGATCTTCCAAAGAGAACAGCCCTCTTCTTATCATCTGTTGTCGGACTTAGTGCTTCCGAATAACCTTTGCTCACCTGACAGGTCACACAGTTTTGACTAAAACCAGCACTAGGAGATTAAAGAAGTGTGGTGTCCTATTTATGATGTGGCCAAATGTGTCTAAATGTGTGAATATGTGCTCAGCATAGCAAAGATTCATATCAATTATTTCCATGTTGTCTCCAGCTGAACACACTTAATTTGACCTTGTGTGCATGCGTGCATGCGTGTGTGTGTGTGTGTGTGTGTGTGTGTGTGTGTGTGTGTGTGTGTGTGTATGAATGTAAAAATATGCATATATGTGTTTATATATCCAGAGCTCCTCACGACTCTAGAAAGTCGGCTCCGTGCAGAAGCTCTGACTCACTGCTTCTTGCCCAGGAGCTAGCCCAAAGGATTGTGGGAAATAAAATCAGTGGGCAAAGAGGAAGAGGAGGAGATTTAGGTCACCGGCAGGACGATGCACACCAGCATGCTTCTTCTTCTGCTGAACACACACATACACACATATGTAAGTTAATTATTTTTTTTTTTTGTTAAATTTCTCCAGAATTTTGTACGTTTATCATCATCACCTTCCTCTGACTTCCTTGTTCTCTAAGTAGAAAATCCCTCATTTGCATCCAGATGTAGGTTTTGTATGTGAGCTCAACTGCACTCATTATCAAGTGATTCAGTAATTGTGAACCCTGCAGGTGAGAGGCAGCTGCCTGGAAACCATGGCAACTGTGGGCGGGACCTGATACAGAAGAGCTCTCCAGGATGATGGATGACATTTTCCATTAAGAATGAGTGAGCCACTACTGTATTCTCCAGGTGCAGATTCTCATCGGTAGCATTCACAGGATACTAGGACATAAACAGCTTTAGGCCCAAACATGCCTATACCTTGGCTAGCACCCAAAAATCCCATCTTGACTTTAGACTTTGTTGAGATGGTAATTACAAGACAGTTTGCCAAAAAGACAGCGAATAAAACTGTAAGCAATAAGTCCATTTATTATGTATATACATATTATATGTCATTTAAATGTTTAAGAGCTGTATGTGAAGAAACACTGCTTTTTTAGAGTAAGTAACTTCATGAACATTGCTTCATAACAGACTACTGCAACTGAATGTTGATCATTCAGAATCAAGTACAGCCGCGAGATAACAGAGAAATACATTTATGCTTATTTAACATAATCGGTATAAAATATGGACAACCACTGTAAGGATGACATATTTGAAATGTGGGGAGTAAAGAGCGGGGAAAGGCTTGCCGCAAAAGGTCAAAGTTTAGAGGGGAATGAGCAACCACTGCAACAAGGATTAAAGCCTCCATACATTGGGTGTTTAAAACCACTAGGCTATCAGCCCTTCATCTTTCCTATTACTATACTGAGAGCAGGCTGGGGCATCTGTTTCTCTTGCTACTGATTGGACATTTGCAGGCCAGCTGGTCGCAGATATGGCTTAGCATAGTCACCTTAAACCAATGTAACACCATTTTACCATAATTTATACATAAATAATCACAGATCACCTTCATTTTGGAAACAGACAGTCTATAATATACACAGGTCTTATCTGTAGAATGAAGAAGTCCCTGTTATTCACACACAGCAGTCTCTTGAGGTGAGCTGATTTTACAGTAAACTGCTAGGTTGTATTGTTCTTCTTTTGGAGCTGATATTGCAAACACAATATTCTGTCCTATCCAAAAGCATGAAACCTAAAAGGGTTAAATTAATTTATATTTCAAGGAAAAAAAAAACTTCTACTTTGGAAAATACGGTATGTCAGTTAATCTTACTATTAACCATCAATATGTACTGCATATTTCTCAGTGCTTCACTCTGCAGTGCTCTCTGAGAGTGCTGTTTCCCTGTCTGTCTTTGAGAGGCCATGATGATTTATATCTGTGATCCCACCTCCTCAACACTGAGCTACAAGGTTGGGAGTCATAAAGGCAGACACCTCACACAACAGCCCAACCCAACACATGTGTGCGTAGAGACGGATATAAAGTGCCTCCCAGTCGCTTGACCTCATACTCTCTCCATTCACTGATTGCTGGGGATTGATGAGGTGATCAATGACCTATTCCTGTCCGTCTCTGGAGAGACTACTGATTCACTCCGAGTGGCAGGGTTATGTTCAAGGACTGCCAAAGCTTTCACGGTCCAAACATTACTTTTAGCGACATAACAAGCCAAGAAAAGATTTAATTAAAGCTGAAGCTGTATTTGGATTATTTCCCTGAATTTCTTTGGAGTATTTATATAACCCCCTTGTTAGCTTCATATTGTGTTTGTATGTAGGTGCAGATATTTAAACTCACTTTCTGTGTGACTCATCATGTGTAAATTCAAACTCAAGGGAACAACTCCCTTGTTGCAAAGAAATAACGTCACTGCCTGTGACGCACTACCGCGACAACAGGTGAGTGTTGTTCAATGATTCATGAATTGTGGGGGCGTCTATGACTTGATAGGCATTTAAACTCACAAATCTGGATCATTATATCTTGACCCCACTCTAAGTAGGAAAAGCTTTCATTTTATTTCTTGAGGACTCATCCCAGTCGTCTTAAGCTATTGATGAATCAGCCCACTAGACCCCGGAGGAGTGTGAGTTAAGATCTTGGCTGCTGTCAATTCACAAAGAAAAATGAAAGTGGGATGTGGAGAAAGAGTGGGAGATGAAGAGGCAACACAATGCTTTTGAAGGCTTTTCTTAAATGTCACACTTCTCCATAGATAATTACATGCATAAAGCAATATTAGGCGGGAGTCAGACACGAACACAATGATGCAACCAACCCCATACACGTGAATGCACACAAAAAAATAAACTAATGGTTTCTTTTAATTCAAATCATAATGAAAAAGCTAATTGAACTAACCATTAGAAATATATATTTTCATGACAGCATTGTTTAGATGCTTTATATGAGACTGACAAAATCATCATGTTTAATTGATTTAAAGCTCCTGTAACTAACTTTTGGAGTAGGTTGATTTTAGCACCCCCTTTGGGCAAAGTTATACCTTTTATCTCATTGCTGCGCAAGTCCTGTAGATGTGCATGCAGAATTGTGAAGGATTTAATGTCAGTGTGGTCTTAATCAAAGCTTGACATATGGTCACTCTATGCCAGCGGTCTTGTTTGCTTTAAACAGTCATCAAAGCTCCTGTGAGGAGTTTTTTGACAATAATTAACCAGCAATAAAGTCACATTTATGCCTTTTGATGACATACAAAAGCAAACAAGACCATTAGCAACGAGATTCACCATTGATTATATTGTAATTTCCAATGAAACTAGTGAAAATGGATAGGTGTCAGCTAGGCAGTCACAGAAACAGCCCTGTTTTGCAATTGTCCAGTTAAAATATTCAATATAAATGAGAGATCTTACACAGGTGCTTAAATTAAAAGAAAGCTACACATATTCAGAAACAAGTGAAGAGCTTTGCTGATCAGAAAATAAGTAGTGCTCTTGTTTATTTAAGCTAAATAGGTCTCTAGAGTAAAGAGCAAGCCCATCTCTGCCTGGAAGCAGTGTTTGGTGGTAATGCGTTATTAGTAACGCCATTACATTCAGTAACTTATAATGTAACGTGTTGTTTCTTTAATTCAGTTACTCTGTTTCCTGAACATGACGTCACACCCGAGTTACCAGCGTTTCAGTTACCAAGTTGGAAAAAACAAACAAAATCGGAGGCGGAAACAAGATGGCTACATCTACAAAAGTTATTTTAGAGCTTGCCTTATGTTTGGACAAGGCAAGCACTAAAATAACTTTCGTAGATGTAGCCATCTTGTTTCCGCCTCCGATTTTTCTTTTTTCCAACTTGGTAACTGATGCTGCTTTCCAGTTACCTCAGAAGTTGGATGTTGGAGCTGGGAATTACATTTAACCCGAGTTGACGGCGTTCCAGTTAACAAGTCGGAAAACCAAGATGGATGCCTACAGTTACCCCTTGTTAGCTGTTGTTTACAATTGTCAGCTGTCGTTAGCAGTTGTTATTTGTTGTTAGCCGTTGTCAGCTATTGTTAGCCGTTGTCAGCGGTTGTGAGTTGTTGGGATACTACTTGTACACAACACAGTATTTTACTCTTATGAACACTATAGCGCCATGTTCACAGTTAAATGTTGGGCAGTACAACATATACCAATTGTTTAATTTCACAAAAACAAAACAAAAGTGTTAATAGAATGCATTAAGAGAGCTTTACTGTTAATGCACTGCGCTGCCATCTTGAATTATGACGTTGTTGTCAAGTCGGGGTTGGCGAGGATCGTCCGACTTTCCGAGTTGGAAATCCGACTTCAGGGGGGCGTTCCGACTCGGACCTCGGAAATCCCGACTTCCGAGTACAATTGGAACGCAACATGAAAAGCTGGTAACTCGGCTGTGACTTCATTTTCAGCTCAGACTTCTGACTTCCGAGGTAACTCAAACGCAGCATAAGTTTCTCCTCATGCAGACACTCACATTATGTTGAATTGGAGAGCAAAGGGAAACATTTACACTGTCCCGGGCCATAAATCCTTTCTACGGCAACAACAGCGACAGCAATCTACTGAAGCAGCTAGAGAAGCGGCATGCTTCGACAAAGTTAGCAGCTAAAATACCGCAGCATCCGACACCAGAGTCACAGCAGCGAGCACACACCCTCTCCACCTAAACAGCAGCGGTTAGAGTTCGGAAGATGGACCCATATCCAGGAGCATAATGATAAAACAACAGCACGGTATGTTTAAATGTTTATTTGGATCTTAAAAAACAAACAAAAAAAACTATTATTCCAAGAGTGCAATGGTTTACTTTTGGTGTTATGCTACGTTCAAGTCACCTCGGAAGTCAGAAGTCCAAACTGAAAATGACGTCACATGTGAGTTACCAGCGTTTCAGTCACCAAGTCGAAAAAAAGCAAAATCAAGATGGCTACATCTATGAAAGTTGCTTAAGTGCTTGCCTTGTGTGAATATAAGGGAAGCGTTAAAATAATGCTGCATTCGAGTTACCTCGGAAGCGAGATGTCGCAGCTGAAAATGACGTCACACCTGAGTTCCAAGCGTTTCAGTTACCAAGTTGACAAAAAGCAAAATCAGAGGTCTGAAACAAGATGGCTACATCCATGGAGGTTATTTTAGCATTTTCTTTATATTCGGACAAGGCAAGCACTAAAACAACTTTCGTAGATGTTGCCATTTGTTCCGCCTCCGATTTCGCTTTTTTCCAACTTGGTAATCTAAACGCTGGTAACTCCGGTGTGACGTCATTTTAAACTCCGACATCTGACTTTGGAGGTAACTCTAACGTAGCATAACTTCCATAGATGTAGCCATCTTGTCTGAGGCCTCCGATTTAGCTTTTTTCCGACTTGGTAGCTGAAATGCAGGGAACTCAGGTGTGACATCATTTTTAACTCGGACATCTGACTTCGGAGGTAATTTGAACACGGCATTAGTGTCAAGGTTTGTGTTGGTGCACAACAGATTACATTGCTTGGATGATTAAATTTAGTGATGTGGATGCAAATGAATTGAAACGGTTGTTTTAATCAACAGTTTGTTTTATGTAGCATCAGTACAGAACTAAAATGACGTCTAGTGGGGAACTCAATTCATCCACCTTTATGCAATGGGAGCATTGGAAGAACGTTTTACAGTAACTAAATAGCTACTTTCTCAGTAAGGCATTACCTTTGGGTGTAAGATACTGAGTTTCTTTTCTTTTTTTAAAGTAACCAGTTATGATTTTCAGTAACTAGCACACTGCCTAGAAGATCCATCTACCTTCAGTCAAAGCACTACAGAATCTTACTGAAAATGTTATCTCTTTTGTTTTATCTTCAAAAGCTGACATTGTATCTACAACAAACTGTGTTTGTTCACGGGTGTTGTGTGTGTGGGACTTGTTCTTGGCACATTGTTTGAACTTCCTGAAATCCCTGTAGGTTGCCTGGCAAACCATTTGGTCTAGACTTGGAGTTCAAAAAGAGAGATGTTGGCTGATGGTCTCATATTGTGTTATTTGATTTTAGTTCAGTTACAAAAGCTATGTAACCACAGAACTGAAAAGAGAAATGAGAAAGCCATATGCATTTCACAGTTTGTGTTTTCAGTTTCTGTTCGTTACATACAAGGAAACTTATTTTATGACTTTTTATTTTGAGGTTTAAAACACCATGAAGAGAAATACAGTCTTTTAACATTTAAAAGCGGCAACACTTAATGTCAAAAATTCAAAGCCCATGTGGAAGTGCAGTTCCTTGAGTGTCCACTTGAGGCTTAGCCAAAGAGGCCTGCTTCCAGGTTGACTGAAATTGTTGTTGAGTCTGCGTTTCCAATACGGTGTCTGTCATTGTTGGGCTTCAAAACAAAACCAGTGAGTGACATCACAAAGACAGTCTCCATGTTTGATGCAGTTTATGGTCGTATGACTTTCGTTACCAAATCGACTGAGGAATATTCCCCCACACAACTTGATATGAACCCTGTGTTGCCTCTGGACCTCAGTTCTTGAGCATGTAACAATATTTGTTTCGCTAAGCTGACCAACTGCAAACAAGTGTGAATGATCTTCCCACACAAGTCTTGGAAGAAAAGGTTTATTAATTAATTGATTGTAAAGACCAATTCCCTCAATATCTGAATCATTCATTCAAAGGCTTTCTGCTGTTTTAAACCCAGTTCATTTTTCAACCAGCCTTTCTTCACAAATATCCTCCAGCCATGTGTTTTCCTCTCTCGCAGCAGCTTGAGCTGAGTACATTGTAGAAAACCTTGCTAATTAACAGGAGCAGCCTCCATTGAACAAAGAAAAACACTGGTATCCTCACAGGAATTCAAACTTCAGTGGAAAAAGACATCAGAGAGCTGTCACGCTGTCTGGGAAGTGCTGAGAGGAAAAGTACTTGTGAAGAGCAAAATATCAGGTGGCTTCTTTTTGCATGGTCAAGTTTTGTTGTACTAGTTAACCAGTAAATCTGTCTAGTTTGGCTTGTATTACACCTTTTATAGGCTGTAAGTTTGGGGTGTAAAAATGCACTTTTCCTGAACAGTTTTGTATGTGTACATTGAGATACTGTACAGATCTGATCACCTAAAATGGACATGCAACACCCCCACTATGAGGTCATGCTGTTACATCAGCCGGGTACCGGACTTGTGGCTTTGGAGATCTAGACAGTGACCTGCAAATCCTATTAACAGTCATGTTACCTGTTAAAGTCTCCTTCCCACGCCCTTCAACCATAGCATAACAATCACTCTGAGGACACTACAGACGCTAATTTCAGAGCTGTTTCACTTTCCAAAATTATATCTTTAACCTCTAGATTAAATCTCAGGATTTACTAGCACTAGGTTAGACCCCTGCAAATCCCTCGGTGACTCCTTTTTACGCTAAGTCAGTCATAAAGAGATACACATGAGGACAGGTGACGTTTAAGCCTCCAGACAACCAAAACATGCTTTGGCGATAAGCCCTTCTGGCTAATTTCGCGCCTTTAATTTAAAAAAATGTCATTAAATGTGAGTTTTTGTCGCTTCATCGCACAAACATGTCTCCTTGAGTCTTCTTTTCGTGCCTCTCTATTTGCTGCTGTGTATTCGTACGAAACAAAAAGGGACTTGTGTAACTGCGGCATTGTGTCAAGTCTCTGAATCAGACGCCTTTTGTGTGTCCCCGGGGAGCGAGGAGCATTACTCACACTCAGAGTAGGAAGCTGTGAGAAAGAAATACAGCCTATTTCTCACACTGCAGAGAGACCATGTATGCTTTCTGTGACATTTTTAAGGCTTTCTATCCACTTGTGTTGTTGGTGTTTGCCGGTTTTAACAGATGGTGGTGTTATCAGGCTTCTTAGTGCAGCTTTAAGGACTTTTCTTCTGGTAAATTGTAGTTTGGCAAAGCATGAATTATTGATATCAATCTTTTTTTGTTTGTTTTTTTTGAAACCTGAATGCTGTCATCAAATGTAGTGGATAATTTCAGCAGGACAGCGTGCACCGTGTGTACAGAAAACAGCTTACAGTGTTGATTGGCCTATCTCTCTGAAGTAAGAGGATTAGAGGGGAACTCTTATGTTTGTGCCTATGTGTGTCTTTGCCTGTGCCAGCACTCGTGTGTGTGTGTGTGTATGCGTGTGCTACCAGCAGGTGTACTCAAACACGCCTACCAGCATGCCCGTGTGCACACACATAGATACCAGCTAGTAAGATTGAGTGAGGAAAGGAAGCTGTGACTTTAAAGGTATTTTTAGTCCCTGGTGTCTCACTGGTCAAAAGAAACTGGCGTTGAGGGGGGGAATTAGACGCGTGCCAAGTTGCTAATAGGGATGAGAAAAGCTCAGCTCTAATGGAAATTAAACTTCACTTGGAAGTACAGCGTCACTTGGAAGCTACCTCAACTGACTTCAAGGCTACACAAGCTTTCCTGCACATAAGCACAAAAAATAAAGGTATGTATGTGCTTTTTTTGTTCGTCTTTTTAGACTATTAGGTTCTACAAATGGAGAGGATTAAAGGTGAAAGCTGTCTTGGCAAGTTACTAGTTGTGCTTGTGTATCACAGAGACACAGGAGCTTTTATACATCTCTGAAGTTTCATTGATCTTAGCTAAATTGTCTTATTGTGTAAACTTGCAGGTTTTTTGTCCTGGACAATATTATTACAACTTTAAAGATGAGTTATGAGTTTATCTGCTACCTTTGTCTGCAGGAAAATAAATGCCTTTGTTAAGTGTCTTTGCCCTTAACCCCGGTGTTGTATTCAAATTTAATGAACACAGAAGGGAGTGTGTTATCTGGTTACCTGACTCGGGTTACCGGCAGGGTTACACAGCTACAGTCCATCTTAAACAAACTGTAAAAGTTCAGGGTGGGAGCTCAACAACATGGGAATTTAATGTCTGAGAGAAACTCAGTACTTTGTGGAATCTGTAAATAATGCCCCATTTTATAGTATCCTGCTGATGATTTGGAACACGCTTTTTTTGCTCTCTCACTTTAAAGCTGTTTATACTTTTTTAATCCAAATTTATTGTGTGAAGTGGCAAGTCATAAATGAAAATCTATATGAATAGTATCCATCGCTCAAGTTCACTGTAGACTGTTTAAAACCTGGACATAGTCTTCGTGACTTCACCTTTTGTTCTGAAAACCAGCAATGTTGTTCGCCTTGTTGTGAATGCAGTCTCAACCAAACAAGTGGGTCTTGAGTCATCTTGCAAACAGCCACATCTTGCCCGTGTGTCATCCAAGTCAGCCATGCCTCTAATCATAAAAAACTTCAGACCATAATACCCTTGGAGGTACAGTATATGCAATAGGGAATTTTAGCAATATTTAGCACTCACATTAAGATGAAAATGCCCCCTTCCCCACCCCACCCCTCCTGTTGAGGATGTGACAGTGGCCTTCAAGTTATTTTTGCCGTAAAATATCCCTTAAAATTAAAAAGTAAAGCAGCTACACACTAAATACAAAAACGCTGTCTGTTCTCGACTACTGTTGAAACATGATGGTTCAAGATGGCGTCTCCTTGTACAAACATCTGTACCTTTAAAATAGATGGCTAATCTAATGTAAAACTGACATATATTTATGGGGGTTTCTTGGCTTTTGGAACCTTTTTGTGCCTTTTTCTTCAACTTTCATCACCAAAGGTTGATGCTTGGTCAAAACCAGAGATTTCTAACTATTTTTGATTTTGCAGCTGTCTTTTTTTTTTACAAGTCTTTTTGTACAGTGTATCATACACAGTAGAGTTTCTCCTCCCCCTATACTGTCAGATGTTTCATTCAAGTAGAAATGCATCAGGAGATACAACCCTTGAGATTTTAGAGAAACAGAAAAGAGACTCTAAAAAGGGGGTAATGATGCATACATTTACTCCTCTACTTTATTTATCATTTGAGGCTCCATTGGATATATCTTGAGCTGCCTTTAGTTTCAAATGTCACTCAATCTGAGGAATTTGAGTGAATTACTGAATGCATCCATGCTGAGGATTTTTTCTCCAACTCAGCACATTTTGAGGAACTGAAAAACACATTTTTTTCCAAGATTATAATAGAAATATGCTTCAAGGACCCTGGTAGGATTCTGCTGGTGTATTCTGGGTACACTGTGTGCAGGTGTGAGTGTTTGCGAACTGTTTGGTTGGCACTCGCCTCAGAGAAAGCCTGTCCCCGGGCCTGTGTCTGATGCGTGTTTACACCTGTGTTCATCTGTGTGACAGTCTGCCAGTCAGTCAGTGTGTCTGTCCGTCTGGGTGAATGTGTTTGCTTTGCATGACTGGATGCTTCAGTCAGTGTGTTGATGTGACTGTGTGGGTGAGATACAGTGAGAGAAAAGAGAGAGAGCGTGCATGTGTGGCTGCTTCCGCCTCACAGCGTAGAGACAATCGGGCCATGCTTCAGCGCTCAGTGTGAAGAAGAGGAGGAGCTGAGCAATGGCTACACTACCATCGTTTATCACTGTAGACAGAGACCAAGAGCACCGTCTTCTTACCCATATGTGTAGACTAAGGTGTAAAGGAGGAGGAGGAGGAGAGGACTGAGGGACTAAGGCTGTAAAAGAGAAAAGCACTGCATGCTAGATTTAGGCTGGAGCAGAAGCTTAGCTTAGCACAAGAAAAAGAAAAGAGGGAAATGACTCCCCTGGAAACAAATAGATGTAGAATTATGTGACTCTATATGTTGTATTTTTGGCTGTTTTTAATCTTTCTAGGTTTTTTTAATGATGGTTTTGTGCAGCTTTATTGATCAGTTGTTGTTATAGCCTGCACATCAATCCAGATGTACACACAACATTTAGTCTTTAAGCTATTTAAGCAAACAAAAGCTTTCACTTTTTCAAAAATTTCAAGCTAATGTGCTAAAAAATTTATACTTTGAAGGTTTTTTTCATCCAATGTTGTATAGTTTGACAATATTTGTGTTACCCTTGTAGTTTAATGTTAATTTAAAGTATAGGTTGCTGTTTAAAAACTATAAACATTTGAAACAGGAAGATATATAGCAAGTAGTCTGAAAGCAGGGAAAACAGCCAGCTTGGATCTGTTTTTTGTTGTAAAAACTCTACACCATTAGCTTAAAAGCCACCATGACTTGTTCTTCAAAACAATTTGTAAGAAACTAGGGGGATGGTTTTTTGTTGGAGTGAGTGCCAGGCTAATTTCTACAGCAGTAACTTCCCCATCTTTTTACCCGTTTGAATTACAACAGCAGAGTCACACAAAGCTTAGATTGTTATCTAACAGCCCACTAGCAGGAGCTGTCATCACATCTACTTTGGTTAAAATGATGACCTGCGGTGCCATGTGATCTCCAGTGCTTTTATTCCCAATCCCTCCCGAGTAGTAAGAAAAAAAAAAGGCAAGAAAAATGGAGTTAGAAAAAAGCAAGAGGCAGGTTTGGGTGTATTCTCCTTAGATGAAAATAAACCAGTCCTCCTATCCAGCCCAACCCAGGTACTAAAAGCTATGAACTGGATGCATATAGGACACATCTGCCCCAGAGCTTTGCAGACAACACGAGCCGCTCTGTCATATTGCAACACATCTGTTTGACACAGAGCCGAGTCGACGTATTTTAATATCCTACTAGCTGGGTCTGGTGACCGGTTGTGCATATTTCTCGTACAGTGCAGATGGATCTACTGTAAACTAGTTTTGCAATAGCAGCATGTAGGCTGATGAAATGGAGTTGTAATGTTTCATCGTGTTTCATTGGTGGGTGTAATGTTGTTTAGTTTTATCTATGCAACATACCGCACAGTCTGTTGTCTCTTCATCAGTTAGCTCTCATTTGATCCTGTGCAGGTTCCCCTCAAGATAACACCAGCAATCTTTTCTTTACAAGAGGAGGGCAGATAAAGAGCTCATGGTGATTTATCTGACTGCAGCCGACCTGATGCTTCTGCGAGCCCTCTGATTTTACATGAACACATTTGAGAAAATAAAAGGTCCAGACATGAGATGGAACATCTTACAAGTGCCAAGTGAAAAAAGCAAAAACAAAACACAAAGCATATGAGATGAGAGATTATCGTGAGTCATTTTAAAGCCTCTGCAGATGGTTCTCTGTGTTTCTGGATATCTCATGGTTGCATTTTCCCCTTAAATGAGATTGATCCCAAAGATTAAGGAGTTTTGGTCAGATGTGAGTCATATAATTCAGGGACAAGGACTTATCTAGTATGTTGGACATAGCTAGGAGAGTTTAGTCATTACCTCTGCAATTTGAGTCTTTACAAGTAAAACTGCCAGCTAGTTATTAAAAATGATAAATAATAGTAGTAGATTTTATTTAAAAAACACTTTATATTGTAAAAAACAATCTCAAAGTGATACAGCAGGAGTTAAAACAAGTACAACCACAACAGCCTAAGATTTTGAAAATTAAAATGTCGTCCAAAGGGAAAGGTTTAAGTCCCTTTTTAAAACTAGAAACAGTCTGTGGTACCCTCAGGTGGTCTGGGAAGGCGTTCCACCGGCGTGGGGTGGCGGAACAGGAATATTGAGCTGGTGGGTGTTGGAGGGGTGGAGGGAACGGGCTGAGAGGTTAGGGGTGAGGAGCTCTGTCAGAAATGGAGTGGTGTTGCCATGGAAGCAGTGGAGGGTGAGGAGAGAGACCTTGTATTCTCATTATTCTGCTTTTTCTTAAAAGGGAATTTAAAAATTGTAATCTACTCAAGTTAAACAACTTATCGAGACTTTAAACTACTGAGTAATGGGGGACAATTTTTCCAATTGTCAATTTTTAAAAGTTGTGTTTTAGGGCATTTTTGCCCTTACAGAGACAGTAAAGGTGGAGAGCAGAGAGCTGGAGAAAACACACATCATAGGGTGTTGTTGGATTGTGGGAACAACAGTGATTGTAAGGACTAGGAAGACCAGCCCTGTACACAGGTCACTTAGACCTCTAGATCATAGGCCACAGCAGAAACCACAGCAGATAAGTTATGTGAAAGCACACTCCTATACTATGTCAAATAAAGCTAAGTTTAGTACTTTCCACAGAAAAAAACTTAAGTAAAAGATATTGATAAAGGCCTGTGAATATTGAATAATATTGGAAACTACTCAAAAAGAGTACAGAAACATGGAGAGGATAAATGCAGGCCTGTTTGTCACTTTCCACCCCTAGTAGATCATTGACCCACAAACGACAACCTTTTCACAGCTTTCCTCTTGTTTTTTTCCCTGAAGAATATTTAAAAAACTACAATGAAACAATGAGCTGATCAGAGACTTCAGACAGCAAAAGCCTCACCCGGATTTCTTTCCTTTTCAAACTCAACCTCGACCCTTCAAACGCTCGTTTCAAAGCAACGGTGAGCAGCGTTTGTCGCCTTTAAAAACATATTTTCCCCCTGATGATGTCTTCTGATCACCTGTCAGGGGCGGAGCATGCGCAGTGTGCAGCAGAGAGCAACGAAGCTGCTGAAGAACCTTCGTCAAGAAAACCGAGTTTACAAAGAAAGAAGCGGAAGTAGACTAATGTTAGTTTGGTCCGGTAAACAAAGATAAAACCTTTTGTTACATGTTATACCGTCATGTTGCACCATAGTCACCATCTGTAGTTGCAACAGTTATTTTCTATGAAGGCTAATTAAAGTTTGGACGTGCTTGAATGCCAGCTAATTAGGTGTTTTATTTTGTAAATGCACCGGAAACGTGGTTTCGTGGTTGTGAGAAATAGTAATACAGAGACCCCCTCACGGAAAACTGTGGTAACTGTGGTATACAGCTGCAGAGATGCGCGACACAGAAAAACAAGGAGGACCGAGGGAAATAGAGGGACAGCACCGGGAAGGGAAGTAACCACTCCACATCCACCGTCTGAGATGCTCCGAGACACCGAGGAACACCGTGTTCGCTCCACGCTCCGGACATAAAACCCGCAAAGAGGTCTCGGATCGTGCATTGATCCGAATACAAGGGGGAACGGGAGGGGTCGATCATGGGGAACGAAGCGAGCCTGGAAGGAGGCGAAGGGCCGCCGTCTGGGCTGCCGGAGGGGCTGGCACCGGACGGGAAGGGCGGCTTCGTGCGGGTCTCCGACGGGACTCCGGTCAACCTGGATGAACTCAGCGACGAGCAGAGGAAGCAGCTCGCCGCCGCGATGTCAAGGGCGCAAGGCAGGCAGCCTGGAGGCGCAGCGGCTGCACGAAGGCAGGGCAATTTAAGCACCTTGTTTCATTTTTCCAGTGCACTCAAAATACCTACATGAACCAGGCTGTGATACGTGAGAGAGAGGAAAGGATGGATGTGTTTATGGTTGTGAGAAGGAAGATGTTCACGCCCATTTCTAAATCCTGCCAACCGCATCAAGACGCGGTCCATTCTTCGAGCTCTGTCTAATGGATTATCATTAATAAGATGTGATGATCTGCGTGACAGAAAGAGATTGTAATCTTTCTAATGCAGCTCTATTATTGGCTTGGCCCGTTCAATTGATAAGCTGCAGCTTTGACCATTATGCATCTGCTGTTTTCCATGAAAACATATTTTCAATAGATGATTTTCCCAGATGAAAAGCCTGACTTGAACCACATTTGGTTAATTGTCAGCCTCACTGTCGGTGGTTTGTCTTAGTGTGAGATCAGAGCGTAAGAGACACACCTCCATACTTGTGCGAAATTTTCGAAATGCCTGCTGGGTAAGAAAATCTGTCGTGCCCAGTGTTTTTTTTCTCCTTTGAACGACGCCTTAACACCCAGCTTATCATATACGTCACATTTATCAGACTCTATCCTGTCCTTTCCTTGTAGTGCTAAATAAAATTCTGAATTTCACTCATTTAAATAGGTTGTGTGGGAAATATAGAGAAAGGACTGCCAGTGAAAACAGTGTGCTTATCCATCTACAATGTTCCAGATTTCAAATTTTTGTATAAAACCATGAAAAAAATTCAACATATGTAGGTTTGACATGATATAATATGTTGTGGTGCTGATTGGCCCTTTTTGGGGTAGAATTGTTATTTATATCTGAAGCAGGAGAAGGGGGGAGGGGTGCATCAATATTAATATGACTAAAAATAGAGCAGCAGCGTTAATGTCATCACACATGGACTTCCCCTCCTGCTGCTTTCATTTCTTTAAATGTAAAAGTCAGATTTCATCCTCCCTCGCTGTCATCCTCTGTCTAGTCGCTGTCCATGGTGCTGAAATCAAGCTGCATTGAATTGGCAGTACACCACCTCTACTTTAAATTGTTGCTTGGTTCTTATGACACAGAATTTACTGTAAAAAATTCATCAAATGAAATATTCATGACTCCGTTAAACTTGCAATGTAATTTATACAAAACTAATATGTATGTTAGATGCAGGATCACAACATAATTCAGTCAGCCCATTGGTCCCCTGATGCATGTCCCAAAGGATCCCCTTGACTTTTGTGTGTAGGTTGTGTTTGCCTGCTCTCAGCCTGTGCTAACAAAGATGTCTCAGCTTACCCCCACTGAGCCGAGCATTTCCCTCTCAATCTCAATGATCTGCACTCCACGTCATTCAGCGGTATTCACTCTCCTGTCAGCTTGACCTGAGGGCTGCTGGACACACATTTTGTGCTCACTGATGTGTTGAAAAGGGCCCGATATTACAAAGCGCTAATGCCATGGTCTTTGCTTTTATTATTAGCTCAGTGAAGCCACAGTAGAGGCAGAAGAGGGAGGAAACACACCAGGCAAGAGCTGTGAAATTGACCAGCGGCAAATGAGTGGAAAAATGTGCATGTACAGTTAAAGAGGAGGACAAAGAAATCCAAAATCATGTTAACAATAAAATAAACACTCAGTTTGAATCAACTTGTCAAATGTATTGTTGTTCTCTGTTCTGTCTTTTGTTCTGGACTAATACTTGGTACTGTCAGTCAAATATTTGTTTTATTTCAGGAATTGTGTTTGTATTTTTTGGTGATTTTGATGTCAATCCATTTTTTTGTTTGCTGCCAAACAAAAAACTTAAATACAGCGAGGGCTTAGAGAAATGAAGAATGTAACATGTAATAAGTATACAGTCTTTGACTCTCCAACATCAGGTCTGTTGTTTTCACCAGTTTATCATTTTGAGAATCTTGATCATAATAAGAGCCTGTTTTCTTTGTTTCTGTTTCAGACCATCGGAATCTGATGCCCAGCATAGTCCTCAGCAGGTAGGGGCCTCCAGGGGCCCTGCAGGTCTCAGTAAGAGCAGAACTGTAGACGCCTTCAACCAGGGTCCACCAGGTAGGCCCACACCGGGCCGTAGCCCCTCCTCCCTCAGCCTCTTCGAATCCAGATTCCGGCAAGAGCCTAAAGACCCAGAGACCAAGTCCTCCGGTATGTTTGGCTCAAGCTTCCTCAGTGGGGCCAATCCCCTCAGTGCCGTGTCCTCCATGACCTCCTCTGTCTCCTCCTCCATCTCCTCCATGGGGGACACTGTCAACATGCCCAAGTTTGGACTTTTTGGGGATGAGGAGGAAGGAGGAACTGCAGCACCTGATCCTAAACAGGGAGGAAAGCCACCAGGAAAGGGCCCCCAGCAAGGGCCAGGACCAAGGGGACCTCAACAAGGACCACCTCAGAAACAGGGTCAGGGACCACCTGGACAGGGGCCAAAACCAGGGCAAGGACCCCCAGGGCAGGGTCCAAGGCAAGGCCAAGGTCCTCCTGGACAAGGGCCTCCAGGACAAGGTCCAAGGCAAGGCCAGGGTCCACCAGGCCAAGGACCAAGACAAGGTCAGGGTCCACCAGGCCAAGGACCTCCTGGTCAGGGACCCAAACCAGGTCAGGGTCCACCAGGCCAAGGACCTCCAGGGCAACAGGGCCCCAAACCAGGTCAGGGTCCACCAGGCCAAGGACCTCCAGGGCAACAGGGCCCCAAACCAGGTCAGGGTCCACCAGGCCAAGGACCTCAAGGGCAACAGGGTCCCAAACCAGGTCAGGGTCCACCAGGCCAAGCACCCCCAGGGCAACAGGGTCCCAAACCAGGTCAGGGTCCACCAGGCCAAGCACCCCCAGGGCAACAGGGTCCCAAACCAGGTCAGGGTCCACCAGGTCAGGGCCCTAAACAGGGAGGGCCTCCTCAGCAAAAAGGTGGACCCCCTCAACAAGGACCTGGAAAACCTGGACCTAAACAACAAGGGCCACCAGGGGCCCAAACTGGAGACCCAGCTAAGAGTGGAGGACCTCCTGGAAAGCCTGGAGGCGGTCTTTGTCCGCTGTGTAAGACCACCCAACTGAACATTGGGTCTAAGGATCCGCCTAATTACAGCAACTGCACAGAGTGTAAGAACCAGGTCTGCAGCCTTTGTGGGTTCAGCCCTCCAGACTCAGCGGTAAGACTCTGATCATTATTATTATTTAAATCTTAGTCTTAAAAAGTCGATCATTACTCCTAGAAGGTCCTAAAGTGACTTACATTTGTGTCAGCATTTCGCACACGGCTGCCTGTTTGTGGTGAGATACTCAATGGTCAAATGGAATTCAAGTCTCCTGCCAAGTGTACCAGCGTTTATCTTATAATACACAAGGCAGTGTATGTTTAAGGTCACATATTATGCACTTGACTGTTTACCCAACCAACATGACAGTGCAGAAATCTTATCATAAAACAGAATTCAGTTTTTTTCTTCTTTTTTTTAGGTCGAGTGTAAGCTAAAAATTTCTTTTGGATTTACGGGAATGAAGAAATTCAACTCTGTATATATTGATTAGGGCTGTCACTGCAACAGTTATTTTGGCCATGAGATAATACCATAATATTATCACTATGTTTTGAAAAACCTGAAAATAAAACAGCACAACCAGTCCTATTAAGGAAAGCACTGCTACGGAGGGGAAACAGGATAAACGTAATACGGAATATTAGGACTGGGACGGTGTGCTTTTCTCCTGATTCGATTCTTCTACGATTTTTTGGATGCTGATTCGATTTAAATTGCGATACTACGATATTGTCAATTTTCTCGGTTTTTAGTCTGCTTTTTTAACACCAGTGTAACAGTTGAATGATTATGACTGTCTACTGACTATTCCAGGATCCATATTTCCCCCAAAATACAAATCACATGTAAGTCAGTTTTTAAGATTTACGCTTAAATTTGACAAAAAAATAATTTTTGAACAAAAAATCGATTTAAAAATTGTAAAACAAAAAATTGAGATGATTTTGTGAATCGATTTTTTTCTCCCGCCCCTATAATATATGCTGTCCATTTGTAATTATGTTTAGATCTATGCCATCATTTTAAAGTGCACCAAGATTTAAGTTCCAAAACTTATTATAAACAGTTAAAATAACAGTTTTCTATTGATTAGTGACTTGAAAAGGCTTCAGTACTCACACTGTTTTTAAATTTACAACAAATCTTAAAATGCCAGTTTTTTTAGACATGCCTAGACATTTCCCAGAAAGATGCTGCAGCTATCTTGCTGGCAGCTGCAACTTCTTAATCTTTGCTCTGCTTAATTATGTGCTAACTGGTGTAAGGGACCACTTATTGTAATGCAATATGCTTATTTCTATAACAATATAAAAAAACCTTATTGTCACATTGCAAACACATTAAGCACTAATGTTTAAAGTATTCTATCAAATCATTTATTAAGACTGGATCCAGTTTTTTTATGTGAATTCATCATTCTCTATTAGCAGTATATTGCTGTTCTCTGAGATCAAACAAGAGCATGCGCATGATTTGAGGAACAGAGCGACCATATGGACACAGGGAATGTGGTGATCAAGGTGACTCATGTCATGGCCACAGGAAGATACTGTGCCAGCCAGTCAGGGCACTCCGTCACACATGGACCACAAACACTGGTGGGCTTTGCTTACAGCAGAGCAGAGTGACTGGTTCCTTCTGCTTGGGATTCTTTTGGGGATTTGTTACTACGCCGATAAAGGTCAACAGCTATTTTTTAGCCGTTGATGTGAGAACTACATGTCTTTAAAACGCACACTTGTTCTTGTGACAGTTACCAATGCAGGGGTGCCGGTTTTCTTCTGGTTGATAGACCTTATCTTAGTCAGAGTCCCAGCACATACAAAAATAGTCATTGTTGCACTCTAGATAATGATCAAATAGTCAACATTGGACCTTTTCAACTCTGTGGTTTGCACACATTGGGAACCAAGGAGATGACCTATGCACTAAACAAAGACCACTATTGTGTCGCTGAGTTCATGGGAACAGCATGAAAAAGCATAAATTCAGACGGTGTAGATTTTCCACTTACTGCCTTGTTGAAGATATTCTCTTGCTCACAGACGATATATTATTTTTAGGATGAAATATGATGTGTGTTCATTTTTGATGTTTATAGAATAAGACGTGTAATTATAAAAAAATAAAAAAAACCAGAAAAAACGCCTTTAATGCTATATGATTGTTCCGTTGCCTTGACTGGCTGATCAGCAAATTAGCGGATTTAAATTTTCTGATGTTAAAAGGAGGCAATTTGGTTGGGGAAAACAGGATGGAGCTTATTTGGAACACTAATTCATGTACATGTCTCTAAATTTGTCTGTATTTACGCAAACAAAATGAAAATGCTCATTGTCTAGGTTTAATTGGTTCTGCTTGCCCGCCTGTGTTTAAACTGTAATTGCACATGCCATTGATGTCTCTGCTCATAACAGTCTGGATATTTATTCCAGTCTAACCTAACCCATTTCTTGTTTCATGCACAGGGTAAAGAATGGCTGTGCCTGAACTGCCAGATGCAGCGAGCGATGGGAGGTATGGATCCCCCTGGCATGACAAAACCCAAACAAGGCTCAGCCCCACCCTCCCCCCAGAGACAACCACCCGGCAAGCCTGGCAAGCTGCTGATAAAGCAGCAGAGTACCACCGACCAAGGGTTAACACCACCGACCACGCCAAGGCAGAAATCGCCAGGTGCAACATCTCCAGGACCTTCGTCTCCAGGCTCCTCAATGGGAGGATCACCTAAGATTGACCCAAAGACTGGGCGTCCGATACAGAAGTCCACTCCCCAGCAGTCTCCAGCTAAAGGAAAACAGGAGTCCAGCTTCTTTGGGGGTTTAGGAGGTATCAGTCTTGGAGGTTTAACAGACGTGGCCAAACCTCCTGCAGCTGCCACTCAAGGTGGTGGAGGGTTCTTTGGGGGGTTAGGTGGTTTAATGGATTCGTCAAAACCTCAAGCGCAGACTGGAGCTAAACAGGAGGAGTCTGTTGCTGGGAAGTTCTTTGGAGGTTTTGGGGGTTTGACAGAATCGGCAAAACCTCCTGCAGCAGCCTCTCAAATGTTCAGCTTTGGGTCATCGCTTTTGACTTCAGCCACAAATATCGTCACTGGAGAAGATGACAAAGCAGCAGGTTCTCCACCAGGGTCGCCGCCAGACTCCCCTGCTGACTCCGGACCGGGTTCCCCTCCGGATTCTGGCCCTGGATCACCACCTGACTCGCCTTTCTCTCCTCCAGGGTCCCCGCCTGATTCGGACTCTGCTCCTGACACCCCACCAGCCTGGCTCAAGAAACCTCCCAGAACAATGTCTGTGGAGAAGGAAGACAAAAAACAAGCAGGCAAATCTGCAGCTGCACCTGCTCCAACAGCCAAGGAAAGCTGCCCTCTCTGTAATGTGGATCTGAACGTTGGTTCGGCAGACGTGCCCAACTTCAGCCTTTGCACTGAGTGCAAGAAGAAATGCTGCAACCAGTGTGGATTTAACCCAACTCCTCATTTAGGAGAGGTAGGAAATGTTATCACACCTACACTGTTGTCTCCAGCCTTATCCTGTTCTTTTAACACACGGCACCTACCAGCAATTTATGCATTCTGTCGCATATAAATAGAACGCAAGCTTCCTCTGGATGTTTCATTGAAATAGGTCACAGCAAAGACACCATCAGCAGTGCCAGTTTACAGCTTCTTTTCAAAAGCAACATCTCGCAAAATACTCTGATGAGGAGATATCCAACTGTGAGTTTTGGGATGTAAATTCCTCTAAATACATGCAGTGAAGACATCTACATTACATGTCTGACCGCTGAATGAATGGATGTGGTCAATTTATCCTGCGTTTTCAAATGCCAGTCTCATTACTACCAGGCTTTCTTTGGTGGAGAGGGCAGCCAGAAATGTCAAGATAAATTAGGTTGTTTAAATGGATGTCTCATCATAGAACAGCACTTCAAACAATTGACACTTGACTCCGAAACTTGATACTTGATTGCTTGTGGGTTTAACCGTTGGTTTTAATGTGCAGAATACCCCAGTCTCTTCATATTTAAAGCATTCTTTACTTAACATTATTTACATCTTAGCAATTTCATTTGCTTGTGTGTTTCTACGCGTGAGTTTGTCATTACCGTGGTGTGGAAACCAAACACCTCTGGCCTGCTTTTCTCCTGAGTTACAAGGACTGTTTCCTGTGCTGCACTGTTTTGTATTGAAACCTCAAAAAAGGCGTTCAGATCCACAGAGCAGATGGAGTATTATATGTAGTGTAGAATCAGTATTTTATGGTGATAAAGGCTCACAATTTTGTACTCTTTCATATGCTTTCTTCACTTAAAACTCGAGGTGAAGTATTCTAGTCCTTACACACATGCTATTATTACCGATACAGTCCAGTGGGAGTCTCCCTTATTGAAATTCAAAGCTGCGCTCGGCTAAATCGGCTGACTTCCTCGGTCACCTACATTCTGATGTTTGATTGTATCCTGTTAACATGGTCATGCGATTCAGGCCACGTGTTGGTCACCCTTCACTCTCTCTAGGCTTCACGTGTTGGCTTCTTTGTCACCTAGTGGTTCTAAGTGAGTCTTAAGTAATTTGCTGTGTATTTCTGGCGCACTGATGAGCCCTCTGTGACAGTGGAAAGAGCTAAGCTGATCTGTAAACAGGAAATGGAAAAATCTATGTAGTATTGCCAATTTCAATGCTGCATGTTAAGCTAGGCTAACCGGCTGTGAGCTGTAGCTCCATACTGTTAGTTGTATCTTTGTCAGAACCCTGTAGGATTCAAAGTTGTGTAATTCTTCAGTGTCCAGGCCATGCTATAGGCCAGTGGTTCTCAAATCCAGTCCTCGAGCCCCCCCGTCCTGCATGTTTTGGATGTTTCCCTGCTCCAACACACCTGATTCAAATGATCAGCTCGTTAGTAAGCCATTCCAGAGCTTGATAACGAGCTGATCATTTGAATCAGGTGTGTTGGAGCAGGGAAACATCCAAAACATTGCATTGCGACTGTGAAGACTGGATGGTATATCCAAATTTGATTTTATTAGTGATAATATCTCTCATCACAGTCAGTTAAAAGATGGCTAACATTTGTTTACAGCAGTGGCAGCACCATTTACGACTAATTTTCTTTAACAGTTCCCAATTTTTGTCTCACTGTAGCTTTGAATTTAAATCACAATCATGTTATAAGACATGGACATTGAAGCCAAAAATGTTCCCACTGATCCTTTAAAATTCCCTTTTTGTCTTAGAGACAGGACAGTCAGTTCAGTTTTTTTTAAGCATGATTCAGCTAAAATGTGGTGCAAAAAGATGAATCATGTTTGACTGGATACAAATAAAACCCTTCATTTGCACAGGAACAGAAGTCAATATTAAACAGCAGTACCTTGTGGGTGAAAGACACGCGTACGCAGCACCTCGGTTGAGTCATCGACCCCCCCATATACCGTGCCTCACTTCTGTGTCATGCGCTGTCATAATGTCGGCTGTCATTGGGGGTTTACTTGCTGACGTCTGGGAGTGGGTCAGAGTGCCGTGTGTGTATATACCTGTGAGCTGAGCAGCATGTTTTATGAGGAATAAGTCAGGTATGATGCTGTAGTCTGGTGTGTGCTTCCATACTGAAAAGGTGCTGCCTGTTTAAATAACTTTGAATCCTTACAATCTGTGTATATGTGTGTTTGTGTGGTTTAGACTGTAGTTTCTGGGGCTAAAGTTTTGCATTTCATCCCATTTAAATACAGGAGGTTGAGTGTATGCACACTGAGTCAGCACGTGTGTGAAAGTAGACGTAATCTCTCCTTCCTAAAAGGATTAAAAAGGCAACAGGAAGCCTGTCGTCTCAATCACGGCTTGCTCCTGGTGTCCTAGGTGACTAAGAGGGGTGGTTTTCTCTTTCTTTCTCAATTCCTTTCCGTCACAGCCCTCCATCTATCGTGGCCAGCCTTACCCAGAGTCTCTCCTTCATTTCCACCTGTTTTATGTCTTCTTTCTCTCTATCCTTTAATCTTTTTCTATATTTATAAGGCCCTGAGGAGACTCACTTAATGCTGGTGGTTCTCTGTTGCTGATCCTTCCTTTAAACACAGTCTTTTCTCCGTGTCAGACTCTCCCTCTGTGGTGCCATCCCTTTGCTTTCTCGGTGTCGTTCCCACTTTGATGTAGGGAAAGTCTGTAAATGTGTGTCTGTGTCTAGTGCTGCTCAGTGATGTTATAGTAGCTCAGGCTCCATGTCATGTTGGCCTTATCAGTAATGAGTGTGCTTGTCGGGGAAGTCTTACGTAAAATGGGAGAAGCACCACTTTCCTAACAAGCACGACTCAAAGACTACAAGCTGAGAAGAGGCAGCAAGTTACATCCTTTAAAACTTATATCACAAATACAGATAAATCTCATCTTCTAAACAAGATCTCTGACGTTTTGGAGTCACTTCAGATTTTTTTGCAGTTTGTGTAACTGTATGCCGTCCAGTTTATAGTCAGCAGGCTAAGACCCTACCAGTATTCAAAAGTTGAAGTCGGTATTAAAGCAGTAGCAGATCTACACCCCAAAAATATGTTCTCTATGCAATCCAGGGTTTGACACTAACTTTTTTTAAAAGGAGCGCATGTGCTCCTAAGTTGAAAAAGTAAGGAGCACACAAAGAACTTTAGGGGCACAGTAAAAATTGATCAAATAATGTGTATCTTATTGTTCGACGTAAGTACTATTATTTGAAATCAATTTTAGGTCAGTTGGTCACATGACATTGAAGCTACTGAAGAAAATGTTAAAAATTTATCTTTAAATTTGACACAAAAACTTATAGAGGACTAATTAGGGAAATAAAGAGGTGTGTCTTATTGTCCGACCTTAGTACTATTATTTGAAATCAATTTTAGGTCAATTGGTCACATGACATGGAAGCTATTGAAGGGAAAAAGCATTTTTTGAGAACATCAAACGGTAATATATTGACGGCCCCTTATTCAACACCCAACATTTACAGCAAGGGTTCCGAGTAGATTCAACCGCGCTGCTGTTGCTATTCCCCATTATGGAGAGTGAGAAGACAACGGTAGATCCGCAGTGAATGTCTGTCAAATATCTATCCTAAAACTAACTTCGCCGCAGTAGTTACATGAGAAAATATTTGTTGCCTCTGCTGATTTTTTTTAATGCGCACATGTGCCCCAAATACATTTTACAATTCGCGCTCAAATATGAGTGAAATGGTCTCACTGTCGAGCCTTGCAATCAATGTAATCCGCTAGCTCAGTGGCGTGCGTGTGGATGATTTTCAAGTCACCAGGCAGTGTCTGCTGTCTGAACGATAGGTCGCCTATGAGCCATACATGTCTCTGGGTTTAAATCAACGGTTTAGTTGTAGCCTTGTGGGTGGAACTGGAACATGCAAAGGTTAAAGGTTGTGTTAAGGCTATAACAGAAATGATTACGTTTGATCACAGAGTGGCTCAACACCCGTACATCTGCTTGAGGCAAGTACAATGTTCAAACCATCATGTTTTTGTAGGTAGGCCTGAGTCCTTCACCTCCTCGTGTCTGTGAGGCTCTGTATGCTAACACATGCTCACTTCACGGTGTTTCCTGTGTCCTCCTGCCTCATTGTTATTCTGTGGTGGTGCCCACGGAATAACAATACCCACCCACAGCCTAAACCCTCCAGAGTCTGCACTTGCAGATAAAGCCTTGCACTGTGAATCCACATGTACTTGAAGAGTACAGGACCAGACACTGGTATCACCTTACTGGCAAAATATCAGCCCGGTGGCGCTGTGTTTTTTTTTCTCTTGTTAACTTAACCATTCACATCCAGCACCCAGTTCTGATACCTCTTTACACTGTTATTTGATGCATCATTAGTGCATCTCAGGTTACTCTGTTTCTGGTTCATACAGTCCAGTTGCCTCACAGTTTTGGCATCACTGGCCCGGGAGGCTGAAGTGTATAAAAATAGTCCCGTGCACAAAGGGGAGAACACGAGCAACTGCAGGGCAGCTCTCTTTATCTCCCTTTCCAGTCTCTTGTGTTCACTCTGTCATATTTCCTGCTTTTAAGAAAGGGTCTTTCTGCTGCACCAGGCAACCCACAGAGTCCCCCCCAAGGCCACCTTGCAAGGCTTGAAATGGATGCTATTTTTAGACATTTAGGTGTTGTTGTGGGCAGAGCTTAGCCCGTCTGTTGGAGGAACATTTTAGTAGAAAACGCCTGAACACAAATAGGACTAAACTGTGCTTCTTAATATTCATGTTCAGCGTGAATCAGGCTTTAGGATTACAGTCTTGTTTGCTGGTTCTGGATCGCACTGAAGCTTTGACAAGTGCTTTGTCTTTGTTCTAGAAATTGTTAGGTTTGAAATGAGCCGTCCTTGGGCTCTGCAAACAGCCTCGTCTCTTCCTTTTTACTCAGCTTGCCCTCCGGCTCCACTCCAGAATGATTTCCAATTATCCCCTTTCTAATTTACTGGTGCTTGTCTGCTTAGCGAGGGCCACATTTTAGCCACGGAGCCAAGCTAGTGCCCAGAAGGTTGGAGGAAGAAAGCCAAGAGCGTCATGTGTGCCAGCTCTGAGGCCTGGTGAGACCGAGAGGCAAGGACACACAGACACTTGAAAACACACACACACACACACACACACACATACACACACACACACACACACACACACACACACACACACACACTCTGGCACCGGCTTCGTCTAGTTAGCACAGGCTGTTGTATTTACATCCCCACTTTGGCTGCTCTCTCTCCTGTTTGACACGGGCTTTACTGCACTGACAGGAGGGTCCATGATGTGAGTTGAAAAAGCAAGTTGGAGGGTCTGACTCCTGAAAATTGATATTCAATAGATACGCCTGGATTAGGGAATGGGTTCAACCCGAGAAATAATTTCTGTACATTGAAAACCTGAGAAGAAAGTGGATTCCCTTTTTTTGCACATTAAAAGTAGTCCCTTTCATCCCTGTGGGAGAATATGGAAAGTAGTGAAGGTGTGAAGCTGAAGGGCAGGTTTAAGACACTCACACAAGATCTTAGTCAAGTAGGAAATTCACAGTCATACGCATATCTTGTGTCCTACAGCGTCAAACACACGGACAGATCCCCTGTAATGATGGCATACAGGAAGACAGGCCTATTACAAAAGAGTCCACATCCTCTGGCAGAAAAAAAGGAGTCCTACTGAGGAGTCAAGAGGAAGAAGGGGGGGGGGGGCAGGGGGGTGTCACGAAAAATATGGGAGCTCGGCCTCGCTGCCCTGAGCAGTGCAGGCTTTGACAACGTGACTGTCGGGGTTTGTTTTTGTGCTTCTGAGTCACGCCTCTGAGTCACATTCGCAGCACCTATGGGCACAGTTTACTGTCAGGCACACACATCTGATGAATTTGAACACATACAAGATTTTTGGAGTATAGAACATGGCCTGTATTTGAACTCAGAGGAGGTCTTAGTCTCACAGAGCTGTGCTACTTTTTATGAATTCCCCCTGTAAGTCTTCTAAACAAGTTTCTATTTTCAAGACTGTCAGAGAAAACAAACTGCGAGGTTAAACTCTCGGTTAAATTCTCAGTTAAATTGTTAATCAGCATAGTGCATCAGACTTATTACACAATAAATTAAGACTGTCCTGGTGTCACATTCCCACCTCATCAAATATCACAATAACAATTTTATCACAATATTTATGGAAAACTTGGAGAAAAACAGTTGAAGGAAGAGCCTGGAGCACCTACTCCTTCAAGTGTTCTCAGTGGTCTCTAAATTATGATTATTAAGTTTTTCCTAAGATCGTAAAAAATCTTCTGCAGAGCTCCAGTAGATCATTAGCAATTCGCCTCTGAGTCGTGGGCGGAGACAGTGCTGCTCTGCACACCCGTCTTCACATTAGCTTGCATTCTAACATTGCCAGTGTAGTAGAAGTAGCGGGTAACATAGGAGCTATTCAGCTCTCAGACACTAATGTCTTTGGGGACACGAGGAAAGCTATTATCATAACTAGCTTTCTTACAAGCATTGCAATCCGCTAACGCACACGCTTGTTCGGTGATCGTCCTCTGTATTCCTCCTCTAGAGTCTGGCCTGCATAGCGGGGCTCCGGGGGCGGAGCTTGGATTGGTTACATAAGAAATCTCACTGTTTCTTAACCTGCCGTTTGGGTCTGCCAGAGATTCTCAGCAATTCGAATGAAGAAATACTCAGAAAAGCAATTTCGCATTTAGCTTTCTCATGATATGTCCTGTAGTGTCAGAAAAATGCCATATGAACATATAAAAAACAAGAAAAACATGATTTTCATCGGAGTGGGTCTTTAACTCTATCACTTACCTATAGTAATGTTCAAAGTTGTTTTTTATCAGTGTCCGCGGAAACGTCTCTGAAAAAGATGTAGCCTCATAACGTGGCTGTTTGCGATGCTTTTATTTTGACACTTTTACTGTCTTGCGTTCATATGCCTCAAGTTGCTTGATTTCGAAAGTATAAATGTTCAATTCATTTGTGCCCCAAAGAGACGCAAGCTCCCCATGAGTCACCCCAGTCAAAGAGTCTGGACACACCCCTGCTGATAATGACAAAACACCGGTCTACAATTATATTATCTTAGGCATGTTTTTATAACAAGGCATACACTGTATGTTTGTAAAAATTATGTATCGTGTGAGTAAGTTATACATTACATATATAATGCCTATTATTGGATGAATAGATATAAAAGGTATCCACATAAAGATGTTGCAATCACTGGCTGCAGTCATTAATACATATTTAATTATTTGTACAGTGAAAAATATTGGTAATTGGAGCTGCAGATGGCTTCCAGGATTTGAGTTTTGATTCTCAATCAGGCCACTCAGCCTAAAAATAACTCCATCATGCTTGGGGACCAGGAAACCCAGCCAACAGTTTTTTTTTAATCCAACGATACTTTCTGACCATTCATAGAGGACGGAAAAGCATCTTTTAATCCTCAAAACTTAATGTCTCCCACAAATGGAGGACATGAAAAGAGACGGATTATGTTGTGGGCTGTAGATAAACATGGATGCGGTCAGAAAATTCCCCGAAACAAGCGCCTCACCCTCCGAAATCCCTCGGCTCAGAGCACATATAGCCGCTGTCTCACACCTCTTCCTCTGTGTCACTTCCAATTTAAAATCCCGGTCTTGTACACATAGACACAAATACACACCTTTTCATTTCCCTCTGGCACTTTTTCACTCACATGGCTGGGGAATATCAATCCACAAAGGAGCCACAAAGCTCAGCGCTCATTGTCAAGGCGGGAAAACAGGAACATTTATATGTAAAATTAGATTATCAACATCTGTTCAACCCTTATTCATCCAGAAAGTGTTTCCCTGCAGCACTCTCTCATTTCTGATGATGACCTGGCTAGTAAAACTACAGTCCTTTGGTTACCAAGCAGCTAAGGGTTAAATGTGCTCCTCTCAGGGACTTTTTCGAAGCAGCATTCGATTTCTCCCCCTCCACTCAAATGTTGCTGTGTATTTTGGGATAAAAGCCAACAATCTTCTGGTCTGAAGCCCAGTTCTCCAACCTTGAGGCTATCAACACTCACATAACATTCAGTTGCATGATTCAAATGAGAATTACATCAACACATGAGCACGGATCACTTGAAAAGAGTGCATGCAGCGTATTGAACCCTGAGATGGGGACATCTGTAACAGCAGGACATTTATTAGGACAAAGATCTTTTTTGGCTTGTGAAGGAGCTGGTGTTGTTATGGTGTTCTTGCAGTCAAGTGCATTATAATTAAATTGGCCACTCAGCAATGCTCATCAATGAGAAAAGGGCATCGACTTCCGCTCTTTACTTTTAGCAGGAGCTTTAGCTCCGACTTTAGCAGTGCTGCAGAAAGGACACCGGTCCTCAAATAGCCCTGCTATAAGAGGACCTCCAATAAGAACCTTCATTTACATTCATTGACTTACACGCTCCTGGATGCAGTAGTTCGACTCAAAGCCAATACATATGTCTATGTTTTTTTTGTCAGGATACTTCACGTGGCACAGTGACTTTGCATAACAACTCATAAAAACGTACCTAGTGGTGTTCAAAGGTCACAAAATCTGCCTACAAGTACCCTCAAAATAATCCAATCATCACATTTTGTTCAAAGGAGCCATAATTTTTGAAACTTGGAAGTTGCCAATGCTGTGTTCCCCCATATTTTCTGTACCAGAGCACAAACTTGAAGGGATTAAAAAAAAAAAATTGAGCCTGAGCAGAAACACCAACATGACGATTAAAGTGAGTAGAGTGTGGGATAATGGCACAACTTCACCTATTTCCTAGGTGCATGTAGAGGGAGGGGAAGTCTAAAAACTACAGCAGTGCTTTTAATACAGGAGAAACCGACATCTATTGATCTACATGTTAAAGTGCTGAACTCTACAAGTGCCTGGTGATCTCAGGAGCTGATTTCCTGAACCATGGCAGCTGCACCTGGTTAAATTTCCATACAACTCACCCTGTAACTACTGTAATTTTAAGGCTTTGAGTTAGGTGTAACCAGAGCTCTGGCGACTTGAAGTTGACAAATGGAAGTGTTGGGCGGTATGGCAGTATATACCATGTAACAGTTTAAAAGTGTCTACCAGTAGAAATTTGCGACACTCGCTAACAGGAAAGTTGGAGGCAATTTTTTTGTAGGATGGTAGAGGAAGGTCCCGCCCTCCTTCGCCTCTGATTGGCTAGAAGTGCTGGGCTCCAATTGGTTATTCCTAATGGCTGTGAAACGTCATCATCTGCTGGGTTAGGGTTAGGAGATTCAGAAGTGTGTAGGATGGAAGGGGAAAGTCCCGCCTCCTTCGCCTCTGATTGGCTAGAAAAGCTGGAAATGTCATCACACACTCAAGCCAAATGTGGGCTGTCGGCTCTGTACATCAAACAGAACGTTACAGAACATTATCGCACTTCTGAATCCTAAACTTAACCCTCATCCTAATCCTAACCCTAACCCTAATCCTATCACAGCCATTAGGAATAACCAATTGGAGTCCCGCACTTCTAGCCAATCGAAGGCGAAGGAGGGCAGGATCTTACCCTACCATCCAACAAAAAAAAAATAAAATTTGCGTCTGGGATGTTGTTTGGACATTTATGAGGGCTGAAGCTAAGATGTTGGCTTCAAACAGTTCACAAAAAAGTGGTGACATTATGTCGGCTATAGCTTGACTATTTAGCGTAGCTGTACTGTCATGAGTCGTGGAAAAGGACAAAATTAAAAAATTACTAACACACTGTTGGACTTTCATCTCTAAATTGAATGATTGAAGGAAACCTCTTTCAGAAAATCCTTAAAACACACAATAAAAGCTAGGTGCGGTTAAACCGAATACTATGTGGCTATACTGCTTAAGTCTAAATGCACTGTAACATCTTTAGGTCATTCTTGGCAGGTAACAGGAGCTGCAGCTTTTCCTGAGTTCCTGGCAATTGATTAAAAGGACTAAAGGGTGGTAATGTTAAGCTTGTTGGCAGAAGTAGGTGTTGAGTCACCTCCAATGACCATAAAGCTCTTTAACTTCTGCTGCTTCATCCATTCCCACGATATCATCCTCGTTTTTTTTTTACCTCTTTTCTTTTGTTTTGCCCATGCACCTGCTTTTCTCACATGACAATATATCCCTCTGTCTCTTCTCCATCCTTTCATCCATCTGTCCTATCATCCAGATCTTCTCTTCCCACACTCAGTGCCAGGCTTCAACTATATTTAGACGAGTAAAACCCTCACAGGATTCCTTGTCTTAATCAAAGTATCGCACCGACCTTCACAATGCTCCGTCTCCCTGTTGGAAACAATAACCAACATGGTTACAATATCCGGTTGTCTTTGGGTTTTGGTTTGTCTTCTTTATGTGTCCTTAGAGGTAGTTTGAAAAAGATGTAAAGTTGGGATATAAAAAGCGAATTTTAAAAAAATGTCAATGTGCCTTTAATCATTCAGGTTGGATTTGTACTTGTCAGAGAAATATTACGTGGGAGTAGAGAGCAAGTTGACATTGATTTCCTCGGTATTTCAAGCCTTTCATCTGGATGCGTGTATGTCATCAACACCGTCACAAACTCGTCTCTGTGGGTGTTGATATGTGTCACCTGTTTGGGATCCGTGCACATGTGCTGGTAAAAAACGTTCTTGTAAGATTGCGATGTGAGCGAGTGACTCCTTTTGCTTTTATGAATCATCCACGCTCCTGTTCCCAGCACTCATCATCACAAACAGAAATGCACGCAGGCACACTGCAGTTTCTTGAAGGCTTGTGGCAGTATATTTAAAAATATACCTGTCTTGTTAGTGCTCATTACAAGAAAATCCAGTCAGGGAAGAGTTGGCCCTGCAGAATCACTTAAAAAATGAGATTTTTAGGCTATAAATAATGATTGTCACTATTAGGTTATTTGTTTAGTCATTTTAGCCATGCTGTGAGCGCAGCTTTATAGATGATTCTGACACTCTGTGATAGTTCAATCCATCCATTTTGTGCAGAATGAAATTCTCGATACGTATTTGATAGTCGTGAAATGAAACATCAAGAACATAAGGCCAAATGAAGAGCTCAACATGAGGGTAGAGGATGTTTATTTTAGTTAGATACTATGACAGATAGCAGTCGGTTTGTTGGGGGAAGTTAACTTTTCTTTTCAAGGAAACCAGTTTGGTGTGTCTGGAGTGCAAATTTATGTCATATTATCAGAATTTTCATTTGGCGCAAAAATCAATCCAGGGTGTTGTCGTCAAATCGTACCAACTCGCTGGCCCACTGACCCAGCAGTGTAACCACAACATTGACCTTTTTTAGGTTCAGATTCAGACAACTTTATTAATCCACGAAGGCAATGCACTTCACAGGAACCCGCCTTGTTATTAAACAATGAAGGAACAGACAATACAAGACATTCAGAGCAGCATATGGCTCAAACATTCCCCTGTCAGCACCACAAATCAACAATAAATAAATAACTAGATAATCAATACATGTGCAATACGTTCAACAGTGGAATGACTAAAATGCAGTAAGAAATAATGTGATAAAAGGAGGAAAATAAGAACTAAAAGAAAATTGTTTTCCTGATGAATTGCCTTTAAATTAATCAAATACAGCTGGTTCCAAAAACCCAAGGGGCCCCATGAGCACCAATGTAAAATGCCCATACTGATGGGTGGGCATATTACAGCTGTGAGCCATGAGGCTAAACACCTACTTCAGCTTCACCTCTTCGTCTGATTCCAAGTCGACTGAAAGTGAGATTTAGTGTTGAGTAAAAAGCACTCAACACGGCCCTTTAACATCCCTCCCACTTTATTGGTCTATCAAACAAATGATACCAAATTTACATAATACCACAGAGAAATTCAGATGCTTACATTTTGAATGCTTGCAGGGATTAAAACTTATTGACAGCATCATTGATTGATGGTCAACAATATCACCCATTTCAGAGCCATGTCAAATTATACTTAACAGAGATGACAGAGAGTACATGCTGTATCAACTGGCACAGCATCTTTGGCTTCAGTTTTTTGCTGAGGCATAAAATACTCCAGGCTACCTGGGGAGATAAACACAGGCTCACTCTGTACAGACTTCTGAAATTAGTTTCTGGCTGTTGATGTCAGAGCTGCCAAAGTTGCTTTGTGCAGCCAAATAAAGGCCTCTAATGACTCGATAATCTTTCAGGGTGACTTCTGTTGGACATGTCAGAAGGAAATATGTCGAACATTACAGCTAAGTAGCAAAGAATTGGATTAGCATGTCTGCTCGAACAAATCAAAATGACTTAGAAAGTGAGGATCTCTTCACAGTAGCTTTAAGGAACACTGACCAAGTGGTTTTGATGGGGTGGTAAAAAGGGTTTAAGTGAGTGTGTTTTGATGTGTCGATATCGTCTGTGATGGCTGGCTTTGAAGTGTCAAAGACTGTTTGATTGAGTGTGTTTGCAGCTTTTCGTATCGGCGGCCATCTCCCCGGCTCTCAGTGCCTGCTCTCTCTGCTTTAACAGATGAAGCCGTCATGCTGGTGAAACCCTTATCTCAAGTCCTCCCCGCCTCGGACAGACGGGCAGACGGATCGGGTCATGCAGATAGCGCGTGCTTGTCCGTGCACGTTCAAACACACAAAATTTATTGGCGTCTGTGCTGCGCCCATCATCAGGTCTGAGGATTAACTAGATTTCCGTCAAGCTGGGGACGTAGCTCACTAACGTCGGCCAACCTTTATGATTGAAGGAAACCTGGCAACGCTGTGTCTTCAGTTTTTCACTCCTTCAGTTAACTTAAATCCCCTGTTCGGTCGCCATTTCTTTCGTCTCGTGAGTCTATAAAATATTCATCCTGTCAAAACATTTTTCCTGCCTTTTTATGGTTGGGTACATGTCTGCAGGTCTACTGTCCTCTCTAAAAAGTAGGCCTTCACTGTTTCGGCACAGTCTGAAACAGGGCAGCTCATGCCTTATTTACCCTGACTTTGCTGCTGCTGCGACATCCCCTCACTCGTCTCCTACCATCCTCCTCCTGTCTCCTCCTTTCTCTTTGTGCTTGAAGTGTCTTGTCTGCTGCATGGTTTAATATGCAGGCTGCAATCTTCTCTGTAACCCGATTTTAGCATAAACCCTGCTGCTAAGCCAGGCGGAGACATTCACAAGAGAGGGGTCACAGAGGAATGTTGGAACACTTGGTGTGATCTGAAATAGGTTTTTTATATTCGAATAAAGTCGGCTCCAAACACGATGACTCTCACCTTTCCTGACAGTTGATTTATTTGTGTTCCTGCCAGGGGCGCATTCATTCATGTTGATAATAGCTTTATTTTCTTCCCCTAAAACCCAACATATTTGTTTATTAGCACTTCTATTTTTAACCCAAAGTGCTAAAGTACTGATTACTCAATTCCAGTAATAGCTGCAGCTCTTCATAAACCCCCCCAACACCCAAAAGAGCCTTAAGCCTGGGTATGTTCCTCCATGGCACAATGTTTAAGTACCCAAACAATGAGATAATATGGGATACATTTTAGGAGCTTTTTCATGATATATTGAAACAGCTAGGTTGTTTGTTGCTTACTCTAGTTTTTAAAGACAGGGCATCCCGGGTGCTTTTGAAAAAGATTTTGTGGTTAAATGATGGTTCTCAAACAAAAAGCAGCTTAGGAACAATGTTAATATAGGCCTCAAAAGGCTGCACAAACACTGATAGCCCAAAGTACGTATGTTTTTGTATGTTTAGGTTGAACAAAGCCGTACACATTCTGTTGTTACCTTTGTTACAATTTTGTACTTTGTCGCTCTTTTGTCACCAAATCAAAGAGATGATGAACAACACAAATTCAGAGCACATTCAGACAGTCTCTTAATAAAGTCTAGTACATGAAATGCCTTCAGAGGCCACCTAACCTTTCCTGACTTGCATTGGTAAACCCCCTGTCCCATTACCATGCATTATTCATGGGTCTATCTCTTAACTCCTGTAAATGCAAAAGCTTTCTTGAAATGGAAAAATCTACTCTGGTGTTTGTCACAGTGACATTTTAACTATGAAAGAACATGTTGTATAATGTTACTGAGTTTGAATTTGGACATGATATATCCAATCCTAATTATTTGTTTGTGTTTTTTATGCTTTTGTTCATATAAAACCGGCCGTATCTGAGACGTTTCTGTGACTAACAGTTTGTTGTTTTTGTCTTGCAGAAAGAATGGCTTTGCCTCAACTGTCAGACCCAAAGAGCCATGTCGGGACAGCTTGGAGACATGCCACCTCCAGCTGCAGTGTCCCCAAAGAAGCAAGCACTTGCTCCTGCTCCCTCCTCCACCCCTGCCCCTGCTGCTGTAGATAGTAAACCTCCTGTAGAAGCAGCTGACCCAACCCCACCTGCTCCCGACACCAAGGTAGAGCCTGCAACCATCCCTACGCCTGACAGTGCACTCATTTCACCTGATCATGATGCTTCTCCTCTCTCTGATAGTGCCCCTCCTCCTGAAACACCCCCTCAGGAAACACCACAGTCAGAGGAACAAACACAGCCACTCGTAGCTGAAGCAGAGTCAGAGCCTGTAACTCATCCTGAACAACAGGCTCCAATTTCAGAGAGTGTAGCTGAGGGTGTCCCTGCAGTCGAGCAGCAGGAGGACAGCTCTGAAAAAATAGGAGAGGATGGTCCTCACCCTGAGACAGAGCAATTTGATGCTAATCAACAAACACAAAGTGCAACTGCCAGTGAAATCCCAGCCGCTGAGCAACAACAGAGTGACGCTGAGAAAGCGGCTGAGGACCGTCCTCTCCCTGAGACAGAGCCATCGAATGCACAGAGCTCACCTGTCACTCAAATCCCAGCAGATCAGGAGCAACAGAGCAGCTCTGAGAATGTAACACAGGACCTTCCTCTTACTGAGGAGACTGAGGAGCAAAATGTATCGACTAATACAGGTTTAGACAAGAAAACAGCCCCTGCTGAGGTAGAATTAGAGCCAAATCCACAGATTTCCCAGAGTGAGGCTGCAGCCTCCCAAACAGATAATGAGAAACTGGAGCTCACTCCGGATAAACCTCCAGAAGTGACAACAAATTCATCTGAGCCTGAGCCTACCAAGAGCTCAGACTCATTACCACAAGAGGACCCTGTTGAACTAAATCAGAAGACAGATGTGAATGTTAAAGAGGAAAAAATAACAGAGGTAGAGCCAGGTAATCAAAGTCAGCAACCCCAGATAGATGAACCCCAGGCTCTTCCAGCAGATCAGACTCCATCACATACAGAGGACAAGGCTCTGAATGAGGAGCAGACGGATAATGATGCAAAGCCTGAGGCAAGCAGTGTAGAACATGATGTGAAGGATGTAGCTACAGGGGAAGTAAAGGTAGAACCAGAACCATTAACAGAGAAGCAAGCAGAAGAAGGCACTCCAAAAGAAGTTACAGAAACTGTAGCTCCTGTAGCGCCTGTTGACAACACAGAGGTTCCTGAACCTGATGACAAAAATCAAGACTTCAAACCAGAGCAGGTCAAAGGTGTCGAATCTGAGAGCGAGGTCAGAAAAGTAGAAGAGAAAGAAGAAGGGCTTAGTCCCTCAGACGGGAAGAGTGAGGCAAATATAGTTGAAGAAAAAATGAAGGAGACTGTCCCTTTTGAGGAGAAAAGTGAGGCAAATAAGGCTGAGGATAGAGATGAGGTGCTTCATCCTTCAGAGGAGGAAGGTCAGGTTAAAAAAGGTGAAGAAACAGGGGAGGAGCCTAGTCCTCTGGAAGAGAAAATCCAGGCAGATAGAGCTGAGGCAAAAGAACAAGAGTCAACTCCCCCGGGGGAGAAAGGTGAGGAGAATAAAGTTGAAGGAAAAGAGGAGGGGTCTAGCCCTCAAGAGGAGAAAATTCAGGTTGATAAAGTTCAGGAAAAGGAGGAGGTGTCTCCTCCTTTAGAAGAGAAAAGTCAGACAAAAGTTGAAGAAAAAGAGCTGGGGTCTGCTCCTCCTGACCAAGCAGATAAGTCCCCTCCTGGTGTTCTAGTTGAAGAGGAGAATGCTGATAACCATAAAGTTAATGAAGAAGTTGTTCTTAAAGAGGAAATGGTTAAGCAGGAGGTACCTGAAAAGGTTGATGAAGAAAAATCAGATGAGATGAAAATAAGAACAGACACTTCTGAGAAGGAGAAAGCTCTTGAAGTCGAGCCAGTTGAGAAAAGGGAAGAAAGTGAGAATATTTCATCTGATGGCAAAGCCTTTGAAAAGGATGTAGTTCAGGGAAATGCAGATGCAGAGAAGTCCACTGAGGTCAAAGCTGAAAAAGAGGGAGCTTTTGAAGAACAGGGGGGTGAACAGAAAACAGTTGAGAAGGCAAATGACCAGAAACCTCAAGAGGAGGAGGTTAATCAAGCAGAATCAAGCGCAGCCCCGTCTGCTACTGAGACAGAGACCGTTTGTCCTGTAATAGAGGAAAAAGAATCAGGAGCAGCCACAGCTACAGTAGAGATACAGATATTAAAAGACACAGAAACACCAGCTCAGGACAGTCTTGTTAAGGTAGCATCATTGTCTGAAAAGTCAGAGGAGACAGAAAAGCCGATTGAAGCAGAGAGTGTGGCCCCAGAAGAGGAAAAGCAGACACCGGTAGATATGAAGTTAAAGGCAGATGATGATAAGTCTGAGGAAACAGCTACTCCTGATTTACAAAAAAAAGAAAAGGTCAGTGCCAAGGAGTCAATGATGCCGTCCTCTGAGATCATTAGCGAGACTCAAGTGGGAGATAAAGCCTGTGAGGGAAAAATCATTAAAGAAGAGGAGGAAGTTGACTCACAAAAGATTAAAAGTACAGCTGAGATAGAGGGAGAGACATCAGAAAACAAAGAGGTCCCATCTGTTGCTGACAAAAACCAAGAGTCTGTGTCAGGATCAGAGATGACTGCAGCCTGCAACAAAGATGATACAGCACAAATTGAAGCAGAAAAGAAAGCAGAATCAGGTACAGATCAGGTGTCAGAAACAGCTTCTGAAAACAAAGGTGTGTCTGTATCAGTAGCTCCTGCTCCTGTAGAAACCCCCCAAATTCCAGTTTCTGTAGAAAGTGGCCAAAAGGAGGAGACTCTCAACGTGGAGGAGAAAGCTCAGCCTTTGGAAAAGCCCATTGATGATGATGATGCACTTGCTGAGCTGACCGTGGTACATGGCACAAGTAGCGTTGAACTGTATGATTTAGGCTGTATATCACCTGCTCTGTTCCTTCTGTATTTAAAAAAGCACTTCTACTCACCTGAAGTCAGGTATAGAGAGAGGGTGGGGGAAGACCTGCAGCAAAGGGTCATGGCCGGTAGTCGAATTAGCAATCCTTGCCAAGAGGTCCATAGCCTCTGAACATGGAATACACTTAAAATATGAGGCCAACCGGGTCACCAATTTATCATCCTTCATTTTGGCTGTCAGTGATTGGTACTTGACGCTGAAACTGTCTCTAAGATTATTTGTTGGAGTTCCAGAGTTGATATTTATTAAAGTCCCTTGATTTCTAAGGAATTTATACAGACTCACAAACTTAAAACACAAACTTATTTCCAGATCTGAGAGGCTTACTGCATGTTTTTCATTCAACAGGTGAAAGTGGTGGACACCTTGAAAGACACTGAAAAAGCTGCCAAGGATGGCAGTCCCACCAGCCCATCAGACCTGGCAAAGCTGGAGAGCACAGTTCTTCCAATCCTAGAAGCCCAAGCAAGCACACAACCAAAGGGAGACGAGGAGAAACTAACAGACACTCTTAAGACCAGACGCAAATTAGAGGTGCTTCCTCTCTCGCCGGACTCACCCAGCTCAGAAGATGACAGAGAACCCTCTGAAAAGGATACCAAAACTACCACAAAGAAAAAGCTTCTTGTTCCCATGGACGTCAGAGGGGATTCATTGGATGAAAGCAGTGAAAGTATTGGGAAAGAGAGCCCAATGTCAGGGGATGATGAGGACTTCATTCGAAAACAAATCATGGAAATGAGTGAAAATGAGGATGCTTCACCATCTGATGAGGAAAATATGATTCGGCGAAAGATTAGGGAAGATGAGAAAAAACATATGGCACCGAAAAAGCCAGAGGTGATTGAAAGGAGCACATCAGGAAAAGCCAGACGCCTCACCAAGAAGAGCACTATTAGTCCAGATGATGAAGAACACAAGGAAATCTGTGACTCATTGGATCAATCTGACGTGGGAAAAGAAGAAGGACAAGATACAAAAGCAGAGGAGCAACAGACTACAGCTGAAACTCGCAAATTTCAAGCTATGGAGCTGAATGCTGTAAGCAGCCCCATTCAAATACCTAATGTTGATGGGGATCCAGGAATGGAAAGCCTTACAGACTCTCCTGATGATCGGTCTCGAGGTGAAGGGTCATCCAGTCTACATGCATCAAGCTTCACTCCAGGGACATCCCCAACGTCCCTCTCATCACTTGATGAAGACAGTGACAGTAGTCCCAGTCATATCCGTTCTGGTGAGGGAAAACAACACAGGAAAGCCAGACACAGACAACCTGGTCAAACGTTGCCAACTATTGAGGATTCCTCTGAGGAAGATGAGTTAAGGGAAGAGGAGGAACTCCTAAGGGAGCAAGAAAAACAGAAGGGAACTGGAAAAAAATCAAAGAAAGATAAAGATGAGATTCGAGCCCAGAGAAGACGAGAGCACTCAAAGACACCACCCAGCAACCTGTCCCCCATTGAGGATGCTTCACCAACAGAGGAGCTGAGGCAGGAAGCAGAAATGGAAGAGATCAGACGATCATCCTGCTCTGATTTCTCTCCAAGTATTGAATCAGACCCTGAAGGGTTTGAAATTTATGCTGCAAAGATAGCAGCAGTTCAGAAAACCTATCAATTGCCTACATCAGTGTCTCTCCACTCCCCAACAGATGATCAAAACACGGATAAGCCACAGAAAAAGCCTCTCAAATCTGCTGATGAGGCTTATGAAGAAATCCTGCTCAGGGCTACTTCTCCAACAGTTGAAAAAGGGGAGATTCAACCTGAAAAAGAGTCCCTTTATGGGGGTATGCTCATAGAAGACTATGCCTATACATCTCTTATTGACAATTCAAGAAGTGATGGGGGAGAACCTGAGAAGATGGTTGTTCCTGCTCAGCCAAAAAAGCTGAGGTCACCAGATGAAGTTTATGAAGACATGATTAAGAAAAGGAAAGAATTCATGAAGCTTGAGCAGGAATATCAAAATTTGCAGCCCAAGAAGGAAACCACCAACCCGGAAATAGTGCTGCAACCTGCCGAGAAAACCTTCACAGAGAGCAGCACAGTTACACTAGGCAAAGATGGAAAGCCATTGCTGGATGCTGAGGCTGCATATGAAGAGCTAATGAAAAGGGTGCTTACTCCTGGAACAAGTCCAACTCAAACAGAGCCAGAGATAGATGCAGCTGCATCTAGACGGGCACTCCACCCCATCCCAGATTTAAAAGTGACGCAGTGCTCTTCAGGAGAGTTGTCCTCTGATGATGAGAGTGTTGTGAAAAAAGAAGAGACATCAGACATTGCAGTGGCTTCAGAAACTGAGCAAGTGGTGGTGATATCTGAGACCCCTCCGTCAGTCATACCGGATCAACCACCCAAGATCCTAACTGGGGTATCTCAGGCTGATGTTGTCGACTTATCTGGTGAACCTCCAAAGACATCAGCCCATGTGATTGCCAGTGTATCACCCTTACCCACAGTCCCCCAATATACACCCAGTATTCCGAGCGTAGTGTCAACTGCTCCACCTGTGCCCCCCAAGCCAAATGTACTGCGTAGGGCTAATTCTCAGGAAAAATCAGAGGTATCTAATGCACCACCACTGCCCCCTCCCACCCCACCAAAGCCCACTGTTTTTCCCAGGAAAGCCCCAGTTCCACTTCCACCTCAGGCTTCCACAACTCCAGTCAGGCCAGAAGCTGTTGCAGTGACCACAGCCCAAGGGCCACCAACAAGACAAGTGGTCACACCAATGTACAAACCTCATGTCCCCCCTCCTGTTCCCCCAAAGCCTGCCATTCCTGCTGGAGTTGGGGACAGCCACAAAACAGGACATGGTGTCAAACCACCAATTGCTCCAAAGCCCGGCTCACAACCTGCTTCGCCCGCCCATGCTCCACATGTAACAAGACCCACCGCACTCCCCACCGGCTCTTCTGAAATAGCTTTGAATTTGAGCCCCACTTCTGAGATCAAACCATTTCAACCCTCACCAAAGTCTCCTTCTTCTCCAAGATATGCCAGCAATCTTCGTGACACATATGTGGTCATCACACTGCCATCACAGCCAAGCTCTCCAGTGGAGACAATCTCATCTCAAGCTCCCTCAAGCCCTGGCCCAGCATCTCCTGCACACCATGCTCAACCCCAAAGCTATCACCAACCCCAGCCTCAACCTCAGCCATACCCACAGCAGCATCCACAACCTGCCCCTCCTCAAACAACCAGGGTGCCTCTGGCATACACACGTGTCACAGAATCAATTGAGAGCCAAGAGATTTGTGGTCCAGAAAAACATGTGTCCAGCTCTTGTCACATAATTGAAGCGATATCTGCCTCAGCACAACCTACTGGGGTTATGCCTAACCTCATATCTCAGGTGGTCACCACAGAAGTTCAAAGGACCACTGTCTCAGTTGTTCATGAAAGAACACCACCACCAGTGCCAGCTCCGAGGGCAAATGGTGTTCCCATCTCAATGGAGAAACCCAAACCCCAGACACCAGTACAGGCTGTCCAACCATCTGAAGTGGTGGATTTAAGGACAATGAAGGTGGACCCAGAGTCAAATATGAAAGGAGTTGACCTGTCTGCTGGCCCAGACTCAAGACGTCAGTCCTTGGCTGGAGATGTCAGTCGTCAAAATAGTGCAGTGCAATCACCTGTGGTCAACCTCAGTGCAGAGTCATCCACTGTTTCTATAGTGACTGATAGCATCACCATTGTGACCTGTTCTGCCACAATCCAGCAAAAAGACAATGTAGACACCTCTCAGGTATCTTCAGTGCCCCTGCAGCTCACAAAAAACAAAGCATTTGAGCCCGTTTCTCAAATCATTTATCGACCAGTTGATTCTCAGCCCTCAACTAATGCTGCTCCAGAAATTCCTATTAACCTCTCAGTTGGATCAAGCACAGGTGGAGGAAACTTCCAGTCAACTCCTGTAACTATTGCCCCAACTTCTATCCCAAGCTGCATCGCCAATGGATTAAATGCAGGTACAGCCACAGTGGCAGGAGCTGTTGACCTTAGCACAACAAAACCATTCAACACTGTGGTGTCAGTAGATGCTGTTTCTTCAGAAGTGGCCACAGCTGTGATAACAGATGATGATGGTAAACCAGTGGATCTGACAGCAGGAAAAAGAGCTGTATGCTGCGATGTTGTATATAAGCTGCCCTTTGCAGGAAGCTGCACCACTCAACAACCAACCACACCCCTGCCTGAAGACCGTTTTGGATATCGGGATGATCACTACCAGTATGACAGATCACCTTACGGCATGAGAGGGTTTGGTGGGATTAAACCATCAATGTCTGACACTAACCTAGCAGAAGCCGGTCTGTTCTTTTACAAGAGTAAGAACAGCTATAATTACAGTGGCACCACAGAGGGTGCAGTAGATCTTACCTCTGCAAAGATTTCTGATGCAGGTCAGTGGAATGACATCGCAGACCTGTCACTTAAATGTCACTTTGAACTGCTTCCACTCATTCACGGCTAACTTGGTGTTTGGCTTTTGTTTTGCTTTTTTAATTTTGCATGGACAATTCATTTTTTTCATCACAATATTTTTTTGCATGTGCCTGCATGCTGTTACTGTACAACTCGTGTATGCATGTTGCACTTCTCAACGTTGAAGATTTTTTTTTCCTTTTCATCTTTTTTTCATTATTTGGATAAGGCATGGCTTGCTTTAACCATACTCAGTCTAAATTATATGGACTCAACTCATATTTTTGACTTTTGACAGGTGAAGCTGTTGACTACTCCAAGAAAGGAAATTACGCTGGAATGACAATCCCACCTTATTCCCAAGCCAGAGCCACGAGTACTGGTGGGACACTTTTTGGTACAAGCAGTGTCTTGAGATCATCAAATGGGGTGGTCTATTCCTCTGTAACTGCACCAGTACCTTCTACATATGCTATTACCACCCAACCTGGATCAATCTTTAGTACATCATACAACACACTGTCAGGTATGCATACCAGCGACACCATGCCATCTTTGTCAAATCTCCAGAGTTTGCCACTCACACGGTCCCACAGTTTCTTGTCCACCATCTCCACTACTGAAGTAGAGGAGATTGGAGATGCTCCACTCAATCTGGAAATATCCAAAGGGGGTACTACTACTGCTCATGCTGTCAACACAGCAGCAACATCTTTATCACTTGACACCTATACCGATGCATCCCTAGAGGCTATTGCTGCTTCATTGGAGGCTCTGTCCTCTCCCATGGTTCCTGGGGATGGTCAGTATATGGCAGAGCGTGAGCGACTAGAGATGGAGAAACTTAAACAGCAGCGCTTAGCTGAGGAATTAGAATGGGAGCGTCAGGAAATACAACGGTTCCGCGAGCATGAACAGCTCCTTGTACAGAAGGAACTGGAGGAACTACAGGCAATGAAACAGCAAATCCTGAGCCAGCAGGAAGAAGAAAGACAAGCTCATCTATTGATGCAGAAAGAAACCTATGCCCAACAACAGCAGCAGCTTGAGCAGATTCAGAGACTCCAGGAACAGCTGCGTTTGCAGCTTGAGGAGCAAAAGTTTCGCCAGATGTACCCAGGTGGTGACATTCCAGGGCATGGTGTACAGGAGGCAATTGTCTTGGGACCTGATGGCACAGTGCTGGCTAGAAAGATCACTGATAGTGGGTGCCAGACTGATGAAGAGGATGAAGCAGTCAGCAAAGCATACACAGCCGGGAGAAAAAAGCGTAGTGCTAAAAAGAGCGTTGACAGTTGTGTGCAGACTGATGACGAGGATCAAGATGAATGGGAAGCTCAGTCCAGAAGCCGACAAAGCCGACCACGTACTGCCAGGGGTGACAGGGGTGGGCAGTCAGAGATGTCTCTTCAAGCCCACACTGAGATTTCCATACAAACAGATTCAGAGGGGAACATAATAATGGACTCAAGAATGGAGCTGTCTGACTCTGAAAGGACTTCACCAAAGAAACGACCAAACCCTCTAGAAATAAGCCAGTCTCCCAACCTCAAAGTTGATTCCTCCACGCTTCAAGCCCCTCCAAAGTCTCCCAAAGTGCTTTATTCCCCCATATCCCCATGTATATCCCCAAGCAAATCCATGGAGTTTGTGTCCTATGACAAATCACTGGGGGATACAAGCCCACAAAAGCTAAGAGGGAGCACAGAACCCGTATCTCCTGCAAGTCCCAGGGGACCAAAAGCAATGCAAAGATCTATGTCTGACCCCAAGCCCATGAGTCCAACTGGTGAAGAAAGAGGCACCCAGTATGGTGACACTGTAAGTATCTCCTATTACTCCAATTTAGATAAATATTTAGTTTTTCCCAATAAATGACCTGTAATTGAAGGGAAATTATCAAAAACAATGGAAGAGGTTTCACAATTTCTGAAGACTAAGCAACCAGTTTAGCTAAATAATCTAAGGTTCATGAAAACTTTTAACAATTTTAAATTTTTGTTTGCCACAGGGGAAAGGATCAGGTAGCACACCAACAGGAACACAAAAGAAGGTGAAGAGGACTCTACCAAATCCTCCATCAGAGGAAGAGTCAACAACCACAAGCCAAGCAGCATACCCCACTGGATCTGCCCGCCGAAGAATGTGCCGCAATTCCAACATGGCACGTGCCAAGATCCTACAAGACATCGATCGTGAGTTAGATCTGGTGGAGCGCGAGTCCTCCAAGCTACGCAAAAGGCAAGCAGAACTAGATGAGGAGGAGAAGGAGATTGACGCCAAGCTTAGATACTTGGAGATGGGTATAAATCGTAGAAAAGATGCCCTACTGAAGGAGCGAGAGAAGAGGGAAAGAGCCTACTTACAGAGTGTTGCTGAGGACAGAGACTACATGTCAGACAGTGAGGTTAGTAACATCAGAGAGACAAGAGGTGGGCTTGGGGATGGTGAGGATGAGGATCTTGAAGGTCATGGACTTGAGCGTCCAAGGACAGCTCCTCAATCTGAACTGGATGACTTTGTCCCACCTCAAACCAAGCATGAATATGGAAAATACTCCCAATACCAATACCCTCAAAGCCAATACCAGCAGTCTCTCTACCAGACTCCCCAGTCCTACCAATCCCATTCCCTCTACTCCTCTGTCCCCTCACTCACAAGTTCCCAGCAACAGAGTTACCACCAGATGCTCCTATTGCAGCAGAAGGCTGCCAGACAAGCAGCCCTCCTCTCAGAGTTGGATGCAACTAAATATGATGTCATTAGCCGCCAGCCTGATCCCACATCATCAGCTTATCTGGGGGTCAAGTATGACAAATATGGCAATCATCTCGATCTCAGAGCTTTGGAAGTTGGGAGTATGGCACGTAGTCCCATGTCAGCTGTTTCTGATCCTTACTATGCGGATGTCGATCACCATACACCTCGGAGTTATATGTTGCTGGAAGATGCTGCAGATCTGGCCAAAGGCTCCACAGGCTTGTCTTCATCTTATAGTCTGGCTGAGAGGGAGCTAGCCAAGGCAGAGAAGCTGCTACGCCGGAGTGCGGCAGATCTTGGGTCTACTGATTATCTGGGATCAACCTCGAGACTCCACACTTTTGGAAAAACCCCCGATGAAGAGGATACAATGGAAGAGCCCTATGAATTGAAACTCTTGAAGCAGCAGCTAAAGCAGGAGTTTAGGAGAAGCACAGGTGGGACTGAACAGTTAGAACAACTTACAGGTCTCTCCCAGCACTACTATACCCCTAGCTCTGGCATCTCGAGTTATTCCCAAAGACACTACCCAAAGTCAGACAAGTACAGCATCAGTCGACTGACTCTAGAGAAGCAGGCAGCTAAACAGCTCCCAGCTTCAATGTTATACCAAAAACACAAGGCCCCATTGGTAGATCCCAAGATCTCCTCAAAGTATTCCTCTATTACAGACAGCAGAGGTTTGGATACAGACTATACAAGCTATCTTGGATCTACAAGTGCATCCCCAAGATCTAGCCGTCTCATGCAGGATGAAATTACCTTTGGCCTCCGGAAGAATATTGCAGAGCAGCAAAAATATCTGGGGTCCACCTTGGGTGCCAATTTAGCTGGGTCATTAAACTTGGGCCAGAGTTTGGGGTTGGACTCTGCCTACCCTAGTGGTAGTCGCTCAAGACCTTCATCTAGGCCCACATCTTGCTATGGTCTAGACTTGTCCCTCAAGAGAGACCCTTCTAGCTCTTCACTTAGGCTTAAAGGGGATGGTGAAGCATCTGGAGACGGAACAAGCTATCAAACCCCCTCTGGACGCACTAAACCAACAAGCCTTCCCATTGTCCAAAGTGGGCGTGGCAGAATACCAATAGTGGCCCAGAACTCGGAAGAGGAGAGTCCATTGAGCCCTGTTGGGCAACCTATGGGCATGGCACGTGCATCAGCCGGTCCTTTGCCACCAATCTCAGCTGACTCAAGGGACCAGTTTGGTTCCTGCCTGTCCTTGCAGGATTCCCAGCAACAGCAACATATCAGGGAAGAGCCAACCAGGGGTAGGGGTTATGTGCTGCTGGATGACCTTCAGGGCACCATGTCAGATAGTGAAGGTAAAAAACAGGCTTGGCACATTTGCTCTCTTTTTTTACTTAATTGTCTATCACTGAGTGTGTCTATTCATGGATTTACTTGCTCTGATTTATTCTTACTGTCCATTGTACTTGGCTACTTTGTGTTTGTTGAATGTCTGCATGTTTCTGTCGGCTCTTCGTGTTTTTATTTTAACTTCAACTTTCGTGAATGTATTTTTTGTTTCTCAAGTACGTTTGCTCAAGTAGTTGAGCTCTGAAGTGCATGCATACCGTCACTTATTTTGTTCTTTGCTAACAGTATGGACTTAAATGTATCTTTATGCATGATTTCCATTTCAGTCTGCACTCTGGATATTATGTAACATTTAACTATAGTTTCCTGCATGAAACTGTGCTAACACTCTGTTCCAGCTAATGTGTAGGAGGCTTCCCCTCACAAATAGAAACTAACTTATGGCAGTCTCATTTTTATTTAAAGCATGTGTTAACATTAGGAATTTCTACCATTGTGGATTTTTTTAATCTACAAGATCATGAGTGTTATACAAGCTATTGGCGTGTTTGGCAGAATAATCCTTTTGAACCTATGTCAGATGTAGACCACTTTTCCCCCTTAAATGATACACTTTAAAAGTGCCTCATCCACTTGCAAATTCACATACAGCACTAATGTTATGTTTAGTATTGATATATTTTTAAAGCCAGGGATGTGTAATGTGGATAGTGATTAATAATGATTATTTTGTTATGTATTTCAGTTCACGAGAATATTTTCAGTTTCACTTATTGCCGAACCAAACTACATTAGATTGACGAGATATAGGAAGTTTAACACATGATGCTCTCAGGATGTGGGGAACCTTGATTGTACTACTTTGAAATGCATGATATTGGTCAAGACAGTCATCTGTGTTAAATAAATCTAAAACTTCAACTTGCATGTCTTGTCATGAGTAATTGCTTGTTTATGTTGTGATGTGTCTGCGTGACTTTCTGTTGCATGGAAAACTTTTACTCATTAACCTGTCTTCACAGTGTCTTTTTACTACATTTCCTAAAGCTATTACTTCTTTGCTTTAACTTAAATGAACACACTCTATCAAATAGACAAACAATTTTAAGTTTCCGTGAAGGAAATAGTCTGCTGAATAAAAATAATAATGCAGGAATGTGATTACTTAGAACAGCGAATTTTAGGGTTTCACTTTTTATATTCTACACTATATTGTTAGGGGTGTCTTGCTTGTAGGCTGCAATCAATGAAAGGAAAAAGCTTTGGTTTTATGATCTAGAGAGTGTCTTTTCTTTGATCAACATGATTTTTTAGCAAGGACTCAGATGATTTTTGGACTTGTTTTGACAGGTAAAAGTTAGGCATCAGCCATTCAGTTTACAGGCAATATATATTGAAAGCCTACTGCAATATAATATTGCATCAATGTATGTGCTTTAATGGAATACTTTCTTAAAGCCATACGTACACTTTACAGAGGATAAAGGACTGTTTCGTGGGATGGGATTATAGTGACAATTATACGAAGTTCATATTCCAGTGAGGGTGTAATTGTTTATCTTCTTGCTTTGAACTTGTAAAATCCATGCATAACTTCTTTTCACAATGATGTGTCTAGAACCTATCACTTTGCAAAGTAAATCCATGTGCCTTGATTCCAGCTTTAAGTGATTCCCTGATGGCTTTGAACAGAGACGATGCAACCAATGGTAGAGTATTAGTTAAGTTCTCTAGTTATCCATAAGCTAACACATTAACCTGCACCACAAGTGAAATTTACATCACCATAACATGAAGGCAAAATGTTGGGGTAAATTATTATCTGCATCAAAAGGAAGAAAACATTTTTAAAGGAAGAAAAAAACTGTTACTTTAAATCTGAAAAGTCTGTAAGGACACATTCATTTAGAAACTACATTTTCTCACAATTTTGATACGAGACTATGACAAAAACACATACCCAACATTTATATTCATATAAATTTTGGCTCTATTAGTTTACCTCCCGCTTCCCTGCATAGTGTACTAATATTTCTTATTAACCCACAAGCTATAATTTCTGCTGATTTTATAGTACCTTTGAAAACATGCTGCTTGGCATCCTCTCTGATTTCATAACAAAGTGTAGCATTTAATTCTTCCCCTGGGGCTTGGGTTTCTCATATTTCAGTTATGACTTTTTATTGATAGAATTTTTGTTTTTAGCAGCATGCACTATACAAACCAAAAGAAATTGTTGTAAGAGAAAGGGTCAGCCTCTTGTACTTGTTCTGAAGTCGTACCTGTCTTTATCCTTGAAGCCTACCACCTTCGACGAGAGGAGACAGATTGGTTTGACAAACCTAGAGATGGGCGCTCTGAGAACGGACATGAGAAGAGACAGGTGAAGCATGAAAAAAAGTCCACACATATACACTTTAGTGTAAATGCAGACACTATAGGAAGTAAATGCATGCACTCACTTTCAATCACCTGGACATTATGTGGTATGTATGCTCACATGTTAACGCAATACACTTAAATCTTTCATATATGTCCTTGTTGCAAAGAGTCCATGCTTAACCTTTTCCCATTTACCTTGAGCATACATGACATCTCACCATTGTGTATGGGCCACAGGGAAAAGGCCCATATTACCCCTTCCCTCACCTCAGGGTCAAACTGCAGCGAGATCTCAAAGACCGCAGTGTCTCAGGTAAGTTCCACAGTTTAATGCAGTTTTCCATTCAACATCAGCAGCATGCCGTGGGGGAGGAAATGATATGCTTAGAAAGAGGCATGTATTAAAGCTAATGTGTTATTGACTCGGATGCATGCATTATATTTATTGACCCTTTTGCTTACTGACTGCATCTAATATACACTTACAGCTTAGATACCGCTTTCCTTTGAATATTAAAGTAGATTCTAATTCACTTAAGAAGGATGAAGTAAGTAAAATATACACATTTATACCATTCAGAACGTCTTTTAGGTTTACAGAGCATGACCTCTCTGCTTCATGCATGTTGTTTACTTTACATTCACGCCAGATCTCACGAAACTTACAAGTCACTTCCCTGCCTCAACGTTCCATCACACCGTCCTCCAGGCTCAAAGCAGGCAGACATTTCATTTCCTGGCTCCCCTTTTGATTTGGCTCTTCTCCACGCTCATCAGTCATTGCCATGCTCAAAATGGCGTATCCCTCACACTCCGGATTATCTTATGTAATTAACAAACAGCCCACAAAGGAAGCCTTTTGTTTACAAGGACCCAGTGCTGAACTAAATCATTCTTCTCTGGTCATCTTGTCCCCTCATTGGTAAACACTGTCATGCGTTTAGTACTCTGAAATTGGGGTTTCTGGGTCCATGTAGGTCACACACTCTTATCTGCGTGACCCATGGAGATCAATGTGTGAAAAGTAGATGGTCAGCATGGATGATGCTGTCTGAAATGTAATAAGAAGGCAGAGAGCAGTAGCATTTCCCCACTCAAACCTCCTCAGTGGGACATTATGTCTACATGTTGCACAGAAATAATTTGATTTTAGATGACTGTGATGCCATAAAAGATCAAATTACAAGTGGTCACAAGGTATTCGAATAATCGTCAGTTTTTGTCCAAATATTTTCTGAATGCCTTTTTATCCACCATACTTTCTCCTTTTCTGTCCGCTGTCTGACTTTACAAAAGAGTAGATTAACAGTAAATTACTCTAGAAACTAATTAAATGAACCACTTACCGGTGTTTGTGGTCCTGTTCAGGAAATGGTCTGGGTATCCGTGTAGTTGGAGGTAAAGAGGTCCCTGGCAGTAACGGAGACATTGGTGCATATGTCGCCAAAGTCCTGCCTGGTGGTGCTGCAGAACAAACTGGAAAGATTCTTGAAGGTAAGCTCTTTGTTATCTTGTTTTTTTTCCTCTAGAATAATGTTGTAAACACCCTAAAGATATCGAACTGGAAAGGATCTCCTTCTAAAGTCTACTGTAAACATATTTTGTACCCTGTTTAATTATTCATAGATTTTTAGATATTTGACCTGTGAACAGAAAAGCATTTCACCTGTTTCATCCACTGTCGTTTAGCTTGAAGTAATAACCGCTGCTTCTTACACAACACCACCTTGCTATCATTTTGCACTAACCCTCAGATGTATGACCTGTGATTTAACTCTTACACACCTCTCACTGACACAACCTCAGGATTAATTGCCATTTGTTCTCTGAGCAGGAACACATTTCATAAGGCGTTATTGATTTCATACGGAGGAGTCTGGGGATAGCTAACCCGCTCACCCTCCCAGTCCATCTGTCTGCCCATAGTCCTTTTTAATCTCCGTGTTGAGCTACATTGAGGGTGTCGGACTACTGGTAAAGCCATGGCCTAAGCCTTTTTGAAGCTGCTATGGCTGTTGATGAATCAATGGTGAAGGAGGGATTGAGGAATACTGCCCAGTTTAGATCTGTGTGGTGTGTTGTCCATCTGTCTGTGTCTCTCTGTCTATGTAGATGTGTGTAGAGTGAGCGTGGGCTCTTCTTTCAGTACTTTCTGTTCTCATTTGTGTCTCTTTCGACTCTTTTTTTTATCCTCCTACTTTGGTGCCAAGTTTGTGATTTTCTCTCTCGACTTATTGATAGCACTTATATTCAAATAAAAATATATTAAGATCATTTGAAATAAGATTCATATATGTGACCTGAAAGCTGATCATTTTAATCTTGGGATTGTGTGCACTCAAGTTATCATCTTGTCTGCAGAGGATATGATCCTGAGTGCCCAAGATAGTTAACTTAGTTGCCCAAGTTGTTATTTAAGGTGCTAGGGATATCATATTGGTGTGCGCTAAATAGTTTTGCCATGCTGACAAGTTATGATAATGTGTGATCAAGTCATGATTTTTATGATCTTGTGCTAGATAGTTATCTTGGTTGCTTGAGTTATGTTATGCGCTCAAGTTATCATCTTGTGTGCTTAAGTAAAAATATTGTAAACTCAAGTTGTTCTCTTGTTTGCACATAATAGGATCTTGGGTCAACAAGAAAGTTAACATGGTTGCTAAAGCTATCATCTTGTTGACGCAAGATAGCTTTTACATGTGCTCAAGTTGAGATATTGTATAATGAAGTTATAATCTTGTCAGTGCAAGATATGATCTTGTACACACAAAATTTTTCCATTTTGCTTGAGTTGTTCCCATGTGCGCATAAGTCATTATCTTGTTGACACAAGATAGCTTTTTTGTGCTTAAGTTATTATATTGCTAATTAAAGTTGTTATCTTGTGTGCACAAGATAGGATCTTGGGTCCAAACAAAAGAATGTTATCTTGGATGTTTAAGGTGTTTTCATGTGAGCCAAAGCTACTATCCTGTCGGCTCAGGATAGTTTTCTTTTGTGCTCACATTATTATATTGTTAATTGAAGTTATCTTGTGTGCACAAGATATGATCTTGGGACTACAAGAGTTTTATCTGGATTGATCAGGTTGTTTTTCCGTGAGCTAAAGTTACTATTTTGTACGCACAAGTTATCTTTGTCCTGTGCTCTGGTTGTTTCATTTCATAGTGTCTGCACGAGATATGACCTCTGTGGTTGTTATCTTGGCTTCTGAAGTTGTTATCTTGTGCACCAAAGTTGCGCCAGATTAATCTAATGTGTTCTTAATTCAGAAATTCAGGATCCATGCCTTTTTTTTCCACGAATCCTAATCTACTGTTCTCTATTCCTCCTCTAATTTCTGTGTGGATAGGGAGATAAAGTGAAAATGTTCTATATCCTCTAGTTTCTTCACTTTTTAGCCTCAGCACTGAGAAATCTGTGTCGTAGGCTGGAGCTGTGATGGTCGCTTAAGTCAGGGAGTCAAAATGCATCTGTGGTGTTGCTAGTCAGGAAGACAACACACCCATGATAACACCCCTTACCCCGTCATCAACACTGAGCAGAGCGGCTGTGCGGTACTTTGCTGATGCAGTGGGAACATGGTGTCTTAACCTCTGTGGTGTGAATACGGGGGGGATGCTAACACATTCAACAGGCCTGTCATCTCAGATCGACGGAAACAAAGTGTGTCAGCTCAGTGACATCGAGTTTTTTTATGTGTTCAAAATGCAACACGCTTGTAAGATGTACAGTGTGAAAAATGTGATGGATGGCAATACAGTAGCTTCCCTGCTTGCACATGCAGCCCGAGAGTATCGTCGCAAACAGAGGACCCTCCTGATGAGCTGTTTCAATCGATGTAAGTCCTGCTAGTGGGCAGGGTGTGTTTTTTGGAGAGTGCAGTGGATTTGCAGTGCTGTGCAGACTAATGTGAACTTTTAGAGCCAATGGAAAACAAATCTCTCTATCATGGAGAAAGCCATCAAGGGATCTTTTATGGTTTCTCTTGTTATGAAATCATCTTGATCAAACCCTGCAAAGTGTAGATGTACAGCTCAAGTCTCATGATTTTATTAGCGGGTTAATTCAAACCCGAATCTGTTTCTGATTTCTCCACAAGCTGCTGTTTAGGTTGTCACAAACATTCATCTAGTTTAGCTCCCAGTTTGATTCACTTTGAGGAAATCTGAGCTGGTTTTTCTCAAACATAGAGCAATGTAGGGCCCTGAACTAGTCCCTCATTTGGTCCCTTAAACCCCTGTTTTATACCATAAAAAATCCACTTTAATTTTTAATTTTGTTTTGATTTGATGTGAGATGCCTGCACTTTAGTTTTTAAATTTTCACCTCAGTTGCTCTTGTTTATGGCTTAATGCAGATTTAATATTCTGTGTGTAGGAATGCAAGTCTTGGAGTGGAACGGTGTTCTTCTGACGGGGAAAACCTATGAAGAAGTACAAGGACTTGTCGGACAGCCGTGCAATGAGGCAGAAGTGTGTGTCAGACTGTGAGTACAATCTGTGCAGCCTTCTCTTCGTGTTCTATTGTTAGCATCCTTGTTATTTCTTTCTATTTCTATTTTCCTCATTCTCTAACCATCACCCTCAAATATGTTCTTTTAATCCAGTCAATGCCTCCTTATGGTCCCTCTGCTCTTTTATCTTTTTTTTCCCAATCATTGCTCAGTTTCTTTCATCGTCACACATCCACCTTAAGAGGGGCCTGATTAACCCTTTCAAAAGCATAAAATGAAGCCATGTGTGCGAGCTTTGCAGTTTCTGGTTGATTTTTTAAAAAACACTCTGATTTTCTGCATATTTATTCATTTATTTTAAAAGCTTTCTGTCTGACTTGTCCTCTCTGTAATCACCTGATACATTCACTCTGTATCTTTCAGCGATCTCAACATGCTGTCTGAGTCTGAAGGCACAGAGCACCTGGATTTCCAGGAGCACAGCAAAGGTGAGCCACATTATTTCTTCGACTTCAGTCCTTACACATTTTCCCGTCTTCACTTTCCCGCCACCACCCTCTCTGCTGTCAGTTTTCCACGTGAACCCCTGTCTCGCAAATTTTTAGTCCTCTAATATCACTTTCATCTACAATTCTCTTTATTCTCCGGTCCCGCCAGTGTGTTTCTTGTGGCCTATTTTCTCCTCTATCTGAATAAGACTTTAATCATTCAATTGTTCTCCGGAGGAGTACCACACTTTAAAGCACAGATACAAGGAGCCCAAAATACGGCCTACTTTCTTTGACGTTCATGCATCTGTTGAGTGAATGGGTTAGTACCATGATGCTCTTCAGAGTAAGAGTCACAGTCACTTTATTTCTCTAAGACAAAATATTTCATTGATGAGGGGAATTGATTTACTTTGGGTAGCTTCTGTTACTTAACCTAAGATCGGGATTTTACCTCAAGCTTACCATGCTCATGTAAAATCATGACAACAATAAAAGCTCGTTATTTAAGGAAAACTTGAAAATAAACCAACTCAAATTTAAGATTAATGAAAAAATCCTTCTGAGAAAACATCGCCCCATAAAACGATTGTATATCATGCTTTTATTTTGATATTTTGTCTGTCTTGCATTTAGTTTGCTGTATTTTCTGCTCTATAAGACTGTGCTTTTATTTTGAAGTTTTCCAATACTGGTAGATTGTGAACTGGGAAAAAACTGTTCAAAATTAATAGTAAGAATGTACTAAACACAAAAATGTATAAAAACAAAAAACCTCAGACAGAAACAACAAAAGCCAAAAACAAAACTAGTTTTAAAAGGAACCCAACAAAACCCTGAACATAATCCAACAACTATATTAATACAAGTGGGAGAAAAACAACAGTAAACACAGTAAATATCCACAGGTTAACTTAAAACCTGTTGTGACCATGGTGTGACTCTTGTGCTGCAGGTGAAAGGCCTCCCAGGTCTCCAGGTGTTGACCCCAAACAGCTTGCAGCTGAGCTGCAGAAAGTGTCCCAGCAGCAGGGCCCCTCCTCAGGCCTGCCTGCCACCACCTCAGCCACCTCCAGCCCTGGACAGCCAGGATCACCCTCTGTCAGCAAGAAACGCCACAGCAGCAAGGCAAGCCCAGATGTTTTAGAAGTTTTGTTTTGACTTGTTGTCATTTTTAAATATCGGTTCAGGAGTATAAATTCCGTCTAAGCTTCACTTTGACTGTAGTCCACTGAGACTGATGTGTAGTTATTACCCATTTTTACACTTTAAACATCAAATTTGTGGGAGCATATTTTGCTTCCTAAGTTGTTTTTTCAAAGCCAACCAAAGTTCTGAGCTTGGACAATAACTTTTATATCAAGAACTGTGAAAAGGCCAGCCTGGCAACGAACCTGAGAATGCAGCACTTTGAATTCTCCGAGCTTCATTTTCAAACAGACACACTGATTCATTAGTTCACAGAGTTTGGATGTATTTTAGCCCGAAGCTCTATATAAAGCACCGCTCAGAACAGTACATACTGTTCAGCACGTATACCCACCAGTAAAAATGTATCCACCTACAGATTTTTGCCAGCATAAGCGTGTTGCTTTTATCTCTTACAGACTGCAGAGGGAACCAAGACCCCGTCCCACCCTGTCTCTGGAGAGATTCAGGTATATAAAATCAAAGAAGGAACTCTCTAAGTCTATGTGTAGGCATTTAGATGTACGACTGTTTTATCAAGCATTTTGAAACTATCCAGTTGGATAAATACAAGAAAACCCAAAGGATATTGTGTGGTTTTTGTTTTAAAAACCATTAGTTGAAAATCAATATACATAGTGAACAGTTGAAATTGGTAATAGTAAGAGTTAAGGTCCTTACACGCCTGGGCCGACGCGAATATAGAACGCCAAATTACAAAATATTCGGAGGTGAATTTTGATGGGCCTGACTATACACATCAAGCCTGATGCGATTTTGTGACTTTCCGGGGGGGGGGGGGAGACACATCCTGGTGAAGGCTTTTCCCAGGGTAAGTCCTGCCTCCTTCGCCTCTGATTGGCTAGAAAAGCTGGAAACGTCATCAGATGCTCAAGCCAAACGGTCAGCACTTATAGCCAATCAGAGGCGATAAGATAAGCACATGAAACTATGGTGACAACCGTTAGCTTACGTTAGCACAGATGAAAGTTAAAACAAAGACGTTTAGCAAACTGTTAAAGCACACAAACTATCGTCATATGAGAGATTGGATGCTTTGTTGTCCTTCAGGTCATTTATCTGTCATCATAAAGCACATTGTTCTCAGACACGTAAACAATCAGCCAGTCGGCCATGTTGGATATACCGGTAAATGATGTTGCAACAACACGCAATCTGATTGGTCAGAAGTAGACACACAGTATGCGAAACTTTAGAAAAATCGACCATGATCCGAAAAAATAAATGCCACAATATCGCAGGATGGGAAAACGTCGCTGATGTAAACGCTTGTATGGACAGGATACGGGTTTGTAAAAAAATATTGACGTCCGAAATAATCGCACGACAAAAACAGTCCTGGTGTAAAAGGACCTTAATTATAATAACCTTTTTAAAAAGCAGAGGGCGCTGTCTTCATTCGACTCCCCTTGTTCAATATTGTTATGTCTGTTATGAACATAGTTAAACAGGTGAATACAGACATGTGTTGATGGTGGATGAGTTATTTTACAGCTGAGGATACACCAGCATCATCCAGAGATAACATCAGTGTGTATTCGCTGTCTTTTTCTGGCATTTTGTTCTGTTTCAGAATTTTGCTCAGCAAATAGCCAAGAGGATGAGACATGTAATAAAATCTATCATGGAAATGTTGTATCATGAAACCAGCACTTTCAATGGTTTATCAGATGGAGCCTGCTCTCTTCCATCTTATCTCACTGTGTCGTTGATCGAGTCTGCTATCACATCCCTGCTGCTAGTATCTGCAGCTGTTTAAGTTTGCAAACATTGTTCTTCTCCTCGATTAAATCCATTATAACCAAATGTTTGCTTGCTTGTTTGTTTGTTTTTTTCCAGCTTCAAATCCATTACGACAAGCAGCTTGGCAACTTGATCGTTCATGTCCTGCAGGCCAGAAACCTTGCCCCACGGGACAACAATGGCTACTCTGATCCATTTGTAAAGGTGTATCTCCTACCTGGGAGAGGGTGAGTCAAGAGTGTGCCAAATGGGAGCACGCCTTAAATAGCTCAGGACAGGACCAAGGTCAACTTAGAAAACAGAGAAACAAAATGTGTTAAGGGAAGTGTCCAAGATGTCCAGTTTTAAAAGGTGCTCAGTTCTCCCAGTTCAAAAAAAAAATAGCCACTCTACAAAGCTTAAACCATATTTTTTTCCACTTTCAAATTGATTTATGATTGATTTTTCCTTACCATAACATCCTATGCACATGGCCTCTTGTTGGAATAAATTCCATCAGATGTTTTCCAACAGATCTCTAAGCACCTCTCCTCAGCTCTTTATTGCTCCTGAACCACATTAACATAATGTAAATTATATGAAGTAGCTCATGTACTTGTTGTGCTGCTGTTGCCCCCGTTGATGGGTGTTTTACTGAACGTGTGAGTGCAGTCAAAATCAATAGCTCTCAAATTCACTCGCAATATGATCCACATTCCCTCGTAAGTCCAGGGCTCCCTTCTCACTGTGATTGCGCTGTAATGTAATTGACTCTCCCACCTTCACCGCTGTGTGAGCTCCCTCCTGAGAGAGAGAGAGAGAGAGTGTTTTTTATTCCAGGGATTGTTTTAGATAAAAGCAGTTATATACGGCTGTGGGCTCTCACAGGCCTTCAGTTTACCGCATGCAGATTCAAGCACCACTGTGGGTTTTACAAAGCCTTGAGGCTGGACTTATTTATCAAGACAGACACGCAAGAACATGTGAGCAAATACTCGTGTATATGCTACATGTGTATGAACCAACATGCTAACAGCTGTCAGAGCACCGACTGCGCTCCATGCAGAGGCTTTTCAGATGCATCACAGATCGCATGGCAACCGCATGGAGATCCTGCAGTGAAACATTTGGAGATAAATTAAAGTTTAATTCAGCACAGCCAGGGAAAAGGTAAAGCATAGAGTACTGATCATGCTGCTCTTGGCTCCATTTATGCTTTTCTGCAAGAACAAATGTTTTAAGATGAGATAAGAGAGTGAAGGTACATTAGTGACGTGATAACAGCAGATGAAACTACAGTGTAAACAAAATGAGTACAATCAATTGAACTCTGGACTTGACCTGGGTAAAAAGCATGAAATAAATGAGAAAACCTTAAAAAGCTGAATCTCTTCTGCTGAGATTTTGATATGAAATATTTTGACCTTGAATTGAACATTTTTAATTGAAAGCTAAATGATAATTTCTCTCTTTTCTTGTAATTTTTGACAAAACTATGTTGGATAACCTGGTCCAGGATAGTGAAGAAACATGGTTTTACGATATCCAAATCATTCTTACTGTAAATATGAGGTACAGCTAATGAACTCGTGGGCCCTGGTCACCTGAATCTCTACTGCAGTTGCCAATGGATGCGTCCCATCACCTGAAAGCCCTCTCAGCACACATACATGCTGTTCATGAGACAACACAGCACATTTCAGTTCACACCACAGAGCCCCACTCTGGCCCCTTTTGTGACCACTCAGTTGATGAACCCCACACTTAACATGTATCTACTCTCTATATAGTAATCTCCCCCTCCCCACATACACACTCACAGTCCACAGACTCTCTTTCTAACCCCCCCACCCACCTCCCCTCTGACTATTGTTTCTGTATGTTGTTCTTTATATTTAATGCATGCTGGACCCCCTCAGTCAGGTCATGGTTGTCCAGAACGCCAGGTATGTGACTTGCCCACTTTGGCACTTTGTTTTGGTTGAAATTTGGTTGGTGAAGGTGTCAAAACGTCCGGGTTGTTTTTGAACTGATTGGTGGCTTATCGTAAAGTCAATTCCACTAACCCCTCTGAACTGTGCATTTCCCCTGGTCCCCATACTCTCATGATGTTCCACTCACCCTAAAGGCACAGTCTTGCATTTTAGAGACGTTAAATCCCCCGAGTATTAACATCTTCCATTTTCTTCTCATATGAACATGTAGTCCCCCTGTGCTGACAGTTAACATTTCCCCAGCTAACTGTTGTGTGTCCCTGGTAGATGGTCTGTTTTTGTCCCACACCATTGCAATATGAAATCTTAACCTCAAACCCGACATCCTTTAGTTCGTCCCCGTTTTGTGTTTAAAATCCCTCAGTGATGTGCGACATCGTGCCCTGACATCTCAGTGTACTCCTTACTCCCCGCCACTTTCAGCACACACTCTCATTATTTGCTCTGCAGGCCTGACCCATTCCATCAAACAGTACTGTCTTTATCGAACTAACACTTAAGGTCTAACTTACAGCCTACAATCTTAAACCTTATGGTGCAAAAAACATCTATTTTGCCCATTCCATTGAGTCTTATGCTACATTAAAAATTTGCCCCCTCAAAACAAGTGAATTACCAAGCCAACAACACCAGATTAGGCTATTTTCCAGGGTGAAATCCTCTTATTATAGTTTTGAGAACTTGGTTAAAAACTTTCCTTTAACAACTGGCTTGTTGATTCATTTGTTTTGGGACCTCCAAATTTAATGAGACTTCACTCAATGGCAACAAAAATGGACTTTTTTGCAGCACACCCCCACATCACATCTTGCCGCCCATGCACGGAGGTTTAATACATTGTTATTTCCAAACAATGTGTAGTACCACGTACATCTTCTTCCCTCATTGTGCCTTTCTACACCACATCGTGAACACCACTTTATGGTGGTCCACGAAACCGCCGGACTCTTGCATTAAATTAAGCTGTTTTTTTTGTTGTAATGTTTTCCCAACAGTGCTGAAAATAAGAGGAGGTCCAAACACGCTGGCAAGAGTCTCAACCCAGAGTGGAACCAGACCGTCATCTATAAAAACATCCTTCTGGAGCAGGTATTACATGCATGTTTTATGGGCCAGGCATCAGAAACTTACCAGATGCAACCATAGATTGTACATAGAATGGATGCTGTCCGCCGTCTCGCTGGGTGAAGCCACCCTGAGAACAGCACCCTCTGGTGACGGGCTGCAGTATAGGTCATAAATCCCACTTTCATCACCCATCCTTATGGAGCTGTGGACAAACTTTAGAAATTAATTACACAGAACATAATTTTTTTCCCCCTTGCTTGCGATGTTGACATGAAGTTATTGTAAGACTGGTTTGTGCTCAAGTCTGGCACAATACAGTACAATAAGATGCAATACATGATACATTTCCCACTTTGAAAATATGACTACAGAGATTTTGCACCAACAGATGAATTTCAATCATGATATCTAATAAGTGTAGAATACAAAATGCCCCTAAATGTACAGGATAAATGACTTCAATGTCACTACAAGGAGTCAAATTTGGAGGGAAAATCTGTTAAGTGATCCATAGAATTATTTTACTGCTAAAATCCTCGATGGAGAATCAATAATTCAGCAAAATCTGAAGTTCTCAAACTTGAGATGAATCCGTTCATTTAAGGCAATAAGAACAAAACTCACACTTTACTGAGTTGAAATGGCACAATAAAGCATAATACACAATATTGTCTTTTCCCTGCTGACAAGCTTTTGTCCACTGGCTTTAGCAGAGCAGATGGAATAAACCATTGGGATTTAATTATATCATTTTAGATCCCAGTTTAGATTCATTGGCCCCAAATCATTCGAAACCATTTCTGGACTTCTGTTGTCTGGCTTTTAGGCTTTCTGCTCCAATTTTAAAACCACATTGAATGTTTTTTTCTTGTACATTTAATTGCACACTGAGATTAAATAGGTCAGTGTAAGGATACATTAACTTTCTACATATGTGTATGTATTTCAGCTGAGGAAGAAGACCCTAGAAGTGAGCGTGTGGGACTACGACAAGTGCTCGTCCAATGACTTCTTAGGAGAGGTAAATTCATTATAAACTTCTTTTATTTTTACTGTAAATACTTGTTTTTTCACTCACTGTTAAACTGCTGCGATTCGTCCTCAGGTCCTTATAGACCTGTCCAACACAGCCCAGCTGGACAACATCCCGCGTTGGCTCCCCCTGAAAGAGCAGAGCGAAGGCGACCACCACCGGCGCTCCCACTCGAGCCAAGGACGACACAGCTCCTCCAAACCCTCCTCCCAGCACTCCTCCCCTAAAACCACGGCCTCCTCACACGACAATCAGGACTCCCCGAAATCATCTGTCATCAAGAGCCGGAGCCACGGGATCTTCCCTGATCCTGCCAAGGGTAGGACAAGATAAAAATCCCCTCACCTGCTTGACTTTCATCCACTAACAAACGTCTGCTGCTCCCACTATTTCTTCTTTTCCTTTTTTGTCTCTCTGTCTCTGCTTTTCTTCCTCCAAACTTCTTCTGTCTCCTCTTCTGTCCACCTTTTTTCTTTTTCAACACTCTTTTTTCTAACCCAGCACCTTCCTATGCCCATTTTTCCACACTGATCACAGCTTAAGCTTCATGCTTTTTTTCCCCATGGTCTGTCTTCTTGGTTGCCATGTTGTCACCCAGCTCAGAGGCCTAGCCTTAGCTTCCCTCTATCCTTCCCCTAACACAGAGGGCAACATGGCCGTGGAAGGCTTTGAATTCTCCCCTAATTTAGACAATAACCTTTAAATTAAATAACATTTCAAAAGGCAGTTACCATGGCCGCCAAAAAAAGGCCACAACAGGTAACAGTCCCTTAGAGCACTTGAGCTAGCTAAAGCTAATTAGCTTTTTTGTTGTAATTTGGTGAATTTGGTTGTTTTAGACACGCAGGTCCCCACTATCGAGAAATCTCACAGTAGCCCCGGCACGTCGAAGCCTTCCCCGTCCGAGGGCCAGAGCCAAAGCCAAAGCCACAGCCACGGACACAGCCAACACTCTCGCTCGCACGGCGCTTCACGCTCCAGCAAAAGCGCAGCACGGCAACAACATCATCAGGACGGCGGCACTGGAAGCGGCCGGGGCGCTGCCGTAGTGGCGGGCGATGCCCCGCAGCAGGCACAGCAGCCGCAGCCGCAGCCGCAGCCGCAGCCGCAGCCGCAGCAACGCCTCCAGCCAAGTAAACCAAGACGCAAATAAAGCCCACGCAGCATGGCCTCCTCACTTTCATCTGTTCTACTTTCTGTTCAGTGATTTTTTCTTTCAGTTCCCTCAGTTTCCTTTTCTATTCTTGGTTCCCCCTCGCCTGTTTTAACCTTCTGTACTCACAGTGCGTCCACCTCTCACTGCTTCTCTTCTGTATGTAGTCAGAAATGTGAAATCCAGCATCCCATCTGTATTGTAGCACACTGTCTTTGACCTTCCTCACTTTGACCCTTTCACAGTAAACCCAAAGAGGCGTAATGTTTGGCTAGTTCTAGCAATTTCAAGACCTAGAAAAACTAGAAATCACAAGCAAACAGTCTATAAAATGACTTAAACATGAAACACAAAAAATAAAAGAGACTCTTATTTTGGTTAAAGTGAGGTTTTGCTGTCTTAACTGGTAGTTTACATATATTTGATTTACTAAGCATTCAAATATTAACGATAGAATGCAAAAGGTATTTTAAAAAGCAGGTTTTCAGATTTTATTTTGAAGGATAAAATCAGCACAATCAGCCAAAAAAAAAACACTGACTCTTCCAGATGACTCAAATCAGAAATAGCGGAACAAAAACAAGCTTGTTTGAGAAAGTTCACTTAAGAGAGTTTGCCAGAAATGAGAGACTTTTTTTGCCTCCAGCTGGCAGTTATTCTGGATTCATTTATCCGAGCAGTGAAACAGAAGAAAGCTGCAGTCCCGATCCTCTCCCTTAAAAATCATTAACCTCTTTTGATATTTTTCTTTTCGTTTCTTTTCTTTTTGGTTAACAAACAACTACCAGCTTTTCTGGAGCCCTTCCACTGAGATGGCTGTGCATGCAGTCCACTAACCCTTCCCCCACTTTTTTTGTTGAAAAAATACTGGACCCACAATGCACCTCAGTAGATGCTGCACAGGAATGTGCACTGCACACTGTGGCTGCATGTGATTGACAGTCAAGCTGGTTGCCATAGTGAAGATGAACCGCTCTCTGAATCTCCATCTCGCTCCTCCTCCCCTCCTTCCTTCCATCTTCTAAAATTCCTCCCTGACATGTGACCTGCGCCTGCGAAAAAACAAACAAACAAACACACCCCCACCCCTCAGGCCAAAGAGGCCGCCTCTCTCTGAGGCACCAGAGACACAGCGTAGTGGGCGTGCTCACCATTCAGAGAGCGCAGTCCGATTGGCTGCCAGCCCTTCCATCATCGTCTGCCGTGTCGGCCAAAGGGAGCAGAGCAGACGGCAGACACCTGACCCTCAGGAAAGCCGTGTCGGAAGAGAGGCCGCAGAGCATCGGAGGTGAGAGTGTCTCCTCTCTGTCGTGTGACTGAAGCACAGATGGAGCAAGGAGAGAAAGAGAGAGAGTGAAAGAAAGAGAGGATGCGAATCTACTAACGCACACCTGCAGAGAAAAAAAAAAGAGGAGTCTAAATCTTAGAGAGAAAAAAAGAACGAAAGAGAGAAAGTTGCACCCACATCACCAGAGATTCATGCAATGAGACATGCTTTTCTTAACGGCCAACCAACACAGCCCACTAATATCAGGAAATGAATGTCTCCAAGTGTCATGTGACTCACTTCGACTGTGTCACGGCACCCGTGTGGCGTCACTGAACTGGTATTAGTGAGTTTCTGCAAACCGAGGACGTGTTGAGAGGCCTGCAGAGAAAAACGTGTCGACATGGATCCTGTTTGTGCACCACATCAATGCATCTCACATCATTCATACTCAATCACACTTCCTGATCAGCTGTTTGGAAATAAAATGTTAAAGTATTATTTCTTTAAAAACACAAATCTAAAAGGAAAGCTGCATTAAACCACTTTAAAAACATTTCCGAAAATACTAAAAACATCCTCTAAACCTGTCCTGTGAAGAGACCACGTTGTTTAACTAAACTAATGCCTAAATTAAACTCTGTCTAAATGTAAAAGATCATTTAGGTAACTAACAGTGTCTATGTGCCTCTTGTTTAGTTTGCATCAACATATCTATGTGGTATATCTCTGGATTTATCTGTCTGTTTCATGTTAAAGCTTTCTATGTGAGTTCTATCTGTCTTGTCTTTGTCTGAGAGAAAGTTTCTAAGTTTGTTCACATTCTTCTCACTGGCGTTTCTGTGTTTTTCACTCTGAACCAGTCTTGTGTGCGTTCAATAGCCTCTCCTTTTAACTCTGACATGAATTATTCTAAGGCGATGAAGATGGATCATAGCTGCTGCAGATGTAAACTAACACTTCTTGGATCTAGTTTTTGGACTGGGCAGAGGTGCGGTCTTTCTTCCTGTCTCTTTATCGTGATGGGTGTGGTCATGTCTCTGCGCAGTGCGGTCCAGCTATAGATCCGGCGACGCCCCCGTCACTGCCGCCTCGTTGGACAGCGGCCTGAGTGGCAGCGCCTACAGTCTGTTGGACGAAGAGGGAGAAACGAATGAGGTGGACAGTGCCATCTTCCAGGTCCCCCGATTGTAAGTAAAGTTATTGAATACCTGTACATGCAAATTTTGCCTCAGAAAAGAAAAGGAAGATACACCAAAGAAAATGTAGAAAACTGCTGCTTAGTTCTTTATCTCACAGAGTTTTGTCTTCTGTATTTTAGTGGAAAGATCCCAAACGGCACAGAGGCGATGAAATCATCAATGGGACACGGTGACATGGAAGGTAAGATTAACAAAACACGCTAAATATCAAAACAATTAGGAGGACATTATGCCACTAGTTACCAAATACAGGGTGTTAACAAAATGTGTAATCAGATCTGTCTTTTTGAATTTTAGATAATCAAATCAATACGTTGTTTTTCTCTGATTTCTTCTTAAAGCTCCTGTGTGGAGTTTTTAACCTGCTTTGAAACTCATAGAAATCCACAGCGATACTTTTTTAGGGCTTACAAAAGCATTAAGGGCCATTATCAACAAGTTAAGCAATTTTATATTTGGAGTTTTTATTGCCTGTAACTTCTGCAAGGGGGTAAGTGTCAAGTCAGAGAGCTGAACGCAAGCCGCAGAAACAGCTTTTTTGATTCTCACAGCACGATGTTTACGACTGTTAACGGGAAAAGGAGCGATATCTGATTTTCTTTGAGCTCAGGATGAAACAGGGGGCATCAAAATTGTTAGAAATGGAGAGTTCCTGACAGGAGCTTTAAAGGGATATTCCTGCGATTTATGATCATTTCTTCATGGAAATGCAATCAGACTGAGACACTGAGGCAGAAGAACTACTGTGTCTGCAGGGCAAAATGATTAATATGGTGATTATTACTTCAAGGAAGTGATAAAGAAATGATCATAAAGGTTTTTCCTTGAGCTGCGTCACCCTGCAGCAGGGGTCTCCGTACAAACAAGCGGCTGCTGGAAGAGAGTAGGTGAGTTGTGTTTAGTCTCTTTGCTAAAGAAATTAGGCAAAGTTAAAAAGATGTTTGGTGGCTAGTGCTATGGCTGGGACCCTATATGTACTGTTGATGAAGTTAGGTGCTGTTCTGAGCGTTATTTGTGGCTATAGAGTGGCGTTTTAGTTGAGGTTTGTTTATGGCTCCTCAGACCAACTGTGTATTGCTATCATGCGGTCGTTACCAAAGTTGATAAAACTAGAGAAGCAAGCGGTCGGCAACATTCATCTCTCAAAAGGTGTCTAACTCGGTGTTATGGTGTGTTTGACCCTAAATCAATTTTACGCCGGAATATCCCTTTAAGTTCAACATGATCGTCATCCTTCAAAACTAGCCTACTTCTCCATGTGTTTCCCTGTATTTTTTCAAGTCGATATTTAACGTTAAGATGTATCATAAACGTGATTTTTTTGGTGACATCTACTTTATCTCAGAGTGGGAGGTTTGCAACGCAGTGACTGATGAGGTCTGTGAGAAAATGATGAAATTGAAGAGAAACTTTACCTGTGTCCCCTCCCTCAAACAAATCCATAAATGGGCTGGCAAATTTATAAGGGTGCCAAAAAAACTGGATAAAACAGATGTATTCTGTGTAAGATCCACCATGTTGTAGATGCAACATCAGTCCACTCATACTGGGCTATAAACAAAAACTAGTAACATTTATGAAAGCACTGATAAAGAAGTTGGCTAACAAAAATATCAAGTTGCTTGTGCAAATGTGAGTGAAATTTAAAAACTTTTTGTTTGATAAATGCTTGAAGATCATAAAAATTTACGTTTAAAGAGATAAATTTGTACAAGATTGTGGTAAATATATGGATTAAATTAAAAGTAAAAGTCATTGATTTTCTTCAGATTTTATTGTAGCTGCTTATTTATTGATAGATTATAAAATCATATAAATTAATCATATTCCTCATGTTCATATAACCCACTACAGGGGACACAGCAGTATATGACAACAACATTTACTGCCTTGGTCGCTGTGAATATGTTCATATAAGAACTCAAAGGATGTTTTTATTAATCCATCCCTGCTGGTTTTCCTCATTTCTTCTTCCTGCCACTGAATTATGAGTCATAAGTGGTTATGACTAATTCAAGGTGCAAAAACTATTATAAAAAGCTTCTGAGACCTACAGTATTTTATCTCCCTTCCAGACCAAGTGTGAGACTGCTTAACACACACACAGATGAACATGTTAAAGCATTTATTTTTACCCATGTCATCTTCTCTGTATCATCAGCTCACTTTTTTCACTTTTATCCTCAGCTTTTTTTGTTTGTGTTAACTTGTTTCTCCTCTAGCCATGAACCAAATAAACCCCAACCACCAGTGTTGTTGACCCAGCTTTCCAAACTGTCATTTTACTCAGTTGCTACGGAAACCAGAATCCAGTCAGAGTTCTTATAACTCCTTTTCGTCTGTCTCAAACAGAAAAGTGTAATGGCTCGCAGACCTCGGTTGAAGAAATACCTGTCATGGGAGTAAAACAATGCTCAGAGGGAGAAAAGCCGTTTCCTTTTATTACAAATCTACCTTCACTCAGTGCGTTTACATGCACAGCTTAATCGGACTAAGCTCATAATTCGTTTTTTGTCGAATCAGACTTTTCTCCTTGTCTGGGTATACATGCAGCTGAGAAAACCAAATTGTTGACGTGAACGTGTCCTCCTCCCCAAAACTAGGGGGTGATACGGGTCGTTTCAGTGGCCTGTACAACCGTCAACAACAACAGCAGGTCCATGCCAGACATCAGAAGTGGCAACAACTGCTGATGGGCATTTTCGAGCAAGAAGATGGAGACATACTGGGAGCAAATTAACAGAGGCCTCGTCCTAATCTCCACCCTGAAGCCCCTACAGGCACACATTTAAAAACATGGGGCAGGAACTATAAAACACTAAAATAAAAACAAAAACGCTAAAAGCACTTGGAGGAATATCTATTAATTCTATAACTTTGGAATAAGTAAGCAACATGACTGGGTTTAAAAAAGAAATTTATGAGGTAAACTTGGAAAGAGGTCCATTATTCAGTGAGAAACTGAGTGATGCAATGGTTCAGCAATTCCAGGATAATGTTCCTTAGCAAAAGTCTGCAAAAGTTTGGGGATTTCATCATCTACAGTACATGACATCGACTAAACACTCAAAGGAATTCTGGGAACCTCTCTTTAAAATGGACAAGGCTGGTAACTAATCATGAATGGCTGTGATTTGCAGGTCTCCGATGGCTCTCCATTAAATACAGATATGACTCGGTGGAAGTCACTGAATGGGCCCAAAATCACATCTAAAAATCACTGTCTGTGAGCAGAAACAGCAAAGAGGAAACTGTATCTTAACATAACCCAGAAATGCAAACACCTTTTTTGACTTTTTGAACTACTCTGAACCTGTTAAAGATGGGCTGAGGCACAATCTAATCAAAATTTGACATTCTTTTTGGAAATCATGGGCAGGAGATTGAGGACTTTGCTTGTTCACAGTGCGCAGTTCAAAGACAATGAGGGTTTGAGGTGCTTGTTTACACACATTAATGCTAAATATACACCCATGTCCTGGAGCAACATCTGCTGTCTCCAGATGCTGACTTTTCCAGGGAAGACCCTGCATAATTAGTAGCCTTACTACATTTTGCATGTATTACAACAGCAGAATAGTCTGGCCCGCCTGCAGTCCTTGTCACCCAGACAGGGACTCGAGATTAAGATTTTACACTTCACCAAGCTTGTAATGAACTCTGGTCAGCACCCAAAAGTTAGCAGACTCTTAAAAAGTGTAACTAAATTTTAAGTCGGCATCACAGCTTGTAAACATTAAGAAATCTGACAGTGGAACAGTACTGAGCACTCACTATCTGATAACACCACAAAGTCTGTGAGCCTGTGTGCGGGTAAAGATTGGGATCAGACCAGAGAAGGCCAGACCCAGTATTTGAATGAGCTGAACTGATTGAATGTGTTTTCCAGGTAAGTCAACAGTAATGGGGGAGATCAAGATTGCTCTGAAGAAGGAGATGAAGACGGAGGGAGAGCACCTGGTCCTTGAAATTCTTCAGTGTCGCAACATCACCTACAAGTTCAAGAGTCCGGACCACCTGCCAGGTAGGAGAGAATTTTCCCCTATGTGCATGTTTCCTTTCAGCGTTCAAAGACAGTTTTACATAATCCTGCGTGGTGTCTACTGTTCGAAAGCTTGGAAGAGGCCGACACGTTCACTGTTTATGAAAAAATCTGACACCTAGCATGCTGCTGTAGATGCAAAACCACAGGTGTTATGATCTACACAGAAAAAAAATAGATAAATACAAAATCTGATAGTTTTTGATGCTTTCATGCAGTTTAGCAATTGTATACTGGAGGATAAAATATTAAAACTCAAAGTAAATCTCTAATTCGTTCACTCTTCAGTCATGTCTCTGTTACACGTATCAGAATCATACTTTTCCTCCCTTTATAAAATGCAGATTGCCACCCACCTCTCGCCTCCTCTTGTAATATTTACACCCTCATACACAAGCTGCCTGCCACTTGTGTGATTTGCATTTTTCTCCAGATGGGCTCAGCACACAGTTATATTTCCAAGGACAGTGTATAGCGGCTCTAAAGCATATAAAGTGCTGCAGTGAATCATAGCATCAGCATTGCATTGTTGGCTTTGTGAGTCTGTGTCTGTTTCTCAGACTGTTTTGTGTACCTTCAGAGTCTCTGCTCATATACAGAGGCCTTGGCTTCAGCAAACAAAATCTCCAGAGTTATACAGCTCAGCTATCTCCCTCTAGTGGCTGACAGTGGAAAAAGGATTAAACTACACCCACCTACACTGGATATTGTTGAGCATAAACTTAAAACTTTATCACAGAACTAACAAAGTGGGTTGTTAATGTTTCCTCATACATGCAAGTATGAAAGTATGCTCCTTATATTGATGAAACTGTAGGAAATTGAATGATAGCATACTTGAAAATGACAAGAGCAATAGAAATGATGCATTAATTGCAGCTCCATAAGAATACGTGTGTGTGTTTGTGTGTCTCACAGATCTTTATGTGAAGCTCTACGTAGTGAACATCGCCACCCAGAAGAGGATCATCAAGAAGAAGACCAGAGTGTGCCGTCATGATCGAGAACCATCTTTTAACGAAACTTTCCGCTTCTGTATGAACCCCACAGGACACGCTCTCCAGGTATGTGCCATTTCTTGAGTATTATTATTATTAGTCAAGTTTTATGTGTCCATAGCCATGTTTACATGTGCAAAATTTCTTGATCCGATTAAAAATTTGAGGGATCAGATAATCTGAATCCACTGTTTATGGGTGCAAAATCAAATAATCCGATCATGACGTGCATGTACATTCACCAAGCTTTATTCAGATTAGAAACATTTGGACATGCACGCATTGCACAGACAAACGTGGTAGTGGTTCACGCCATCCAATTGAGGAGTTTTCCCCCTGTTAAATCTTGTCACTAGATGGCGCCCTTGCTCACTTATTTTACTGTTCTGTCAAAGGTTGTACTGTGCGTGCAGATGTGACATCATTACGCTGTATGTACGCCGTGTTCTGTTACCAGAGGAGCAGACATGGCACCTGCGGTTGTGTTTTATGCCAGAGTGTTAATAATGAAACCTCCTGAACTTGCCTTAAATAAATAAGCAAAAGGCTAAAGAGTGAAGATTAAGTCAGGTAAGAAAGTCACAATCAGAATAAGTGTTTACACTGAATTAAGTGTTTTGGAATAATGATCGGCATAAACCACCCCTCTTGATCGGAATGCAATTTCTTTCCGATTGAGACGAATTGGATGAGAATCTTCCGATCGACATGTTTACATGACTCATTTTTATTCAGATCGGACATTTATTCTGATGTTTTGTGCTCCTGTAAACGCAGCTACAGGGAATAAGGAAAATGCGTTATTATTTAGAAAAAGATCTTTGTGATGTTGGTCTTTTGCGGGCCGATCAATTGACTTAATGAATCTGCCAAAAGATCAGTCTGTCTATCTCAGGTCCAAGACAATGGCACAGTGTTATCCTGGTATTTAGAGGGGGCATCAGTGAGATAAGACGTCATGAGCGTTGACCACTTTGCAACCCCAGCCACACTAGATCCTACATTTAACACTGAGTCTGAGCTCACCAGTGTCATATCATCACTGGTTCCTGCTCAGCTCTGTTCTCCAGGGGTCTTTGCTGCTGCTCCCCTGGGCTTAGCTTGTCATGAATGCACTTGAAATGAAGAGGAGGTGTTCTGGTGGTGAAGGGCAGAGAGCTCTCAGAACAGAGAAATACTTATGAATGTAGCTTAATGCATGCAAATAAGTCACTTTGAAAATGTTGAAAATTGATCCATTTTAGATAACAACATATTTCTCTCTGTTCTCTTTCCCTTCAGCTGTTCCTTGTGTCGAATGGTGGCAAGTTTATGAAGAAGACCCTGATCGGGGAGGCCTACGTATGGCTCGACAAAGTCGACCTACGCAAGCGGGTGGTGAGCTGGCACAAGCTCCTCGCCAGCACAGCTCAAATCCACTCGTAGGAGAAGGGACTCAATCGAAAAAGAGAGTACACGAAGAGGTCTCTGATATCTGAGGACATTTGGTTCAACATCTGTAACACTGATCCACTCTGACTGGGTGTGGGAGGCTGGAATTAGGCCAAAATATCTCTTTCTTCAATCTTTCTTTCAGGGCTTGGATAGATCGAGGTATTGGAGGGTGCTTTTATTTTGTAAGGGCAGTTCTGATCATGATTTCTGTCATGGAGGAAGTTTGGGGAAAGTACTTCTGTGTTTACAGGAAATGAACACAAGTTTACAGATTGTAGAGTGTGCAGAGGTGTGGCCAGGGGTGATGGAAACACAGGTGCTGAGTTCAGAGATGAAGCACGGAATCAACCAGGTATTACACACTTTATTTACACCACACAACCACACACACACACACATGCAGTGATTTACGCAGAAGAGACCTTTTTAATCCTACAGGGAATGGACACACTTTGTAGATCTTATTTATTTATTTAGATGTTTTATCCATAAAAGATCGTAACCATCGCTTTATGGCCGCAGAGTTTTATTGATTTACAAAGCATTTTGAGAGAGAAGACCTCTTATTTATTTTTGTATTAAAAAAAAACAAAGACTTCTATCATTTGACTCCTCCTCAACAATTGAAGTACATGAAATCATTCCTGAAGTGAGCAAAGTATATTTATAACACACTACCTAGCATTCCAGTTTAAGGAGGCAAAAAAATCCCAGCAAGCATGACTTCATTCACTTTGGACTCCATTTGTTTTTATTTCCATCACTTTAAATATAGTTCTATAGAATGAGGATAAAGATCTATATTAATATATATGATTATAAATATGAAATCGGACACTATTTATTGTGCGCATGAGTTTATCTATTTGGAATGCAGTGCCACATGTTCTGCACATAAGAAAAAAATACGCCTCTAAGGTTCACTCTGTATATAGTAAAGTGTCATAGCTGGATATTAATTATTATATATAGATAAATATATAGATATCTTTATCACTGACAATCGAGTCTTGATGATTGTGACATAGAGGTTTTATTTACCCACGATGCCCCTTTAGAATGTGACACGCCTACCATGTGAGATTTGAGCATTTCTTTGTTTTCTTCTATGAAATGACAGCACATCATATACACTGCAAAAGCTCAAAACTAAGCCTGCGTTTGTATCTTTTTTTTCCTGGTAAAATCGACTTATTAGACTTGATAGTCGTCACATTCACCTCATCAGGCCAGATAAACGTCTTCATTCAAGACATGACAAACGAAATGAGTAAAAAATCTGCCTTTGAGGTTAAAAATATCCATAAAGAAGAATAATTTCTTATTTCAGTCAAACTAACAAGAACATTTTTCTACCTTGAGTACTATGTATTGTGCCATTTTTGCTGTGATACTATTAAACTTAAAAGTGGTGAAATCTACCCCATTAAATTCTCAAATAAAAAAACTAAAGGAGCACCAAAAAGAAGCTGTTCCACTGAAATGCGGTTAGATTTATTTAGTGTCATGGCTTACTTTTGCCCTTTTAAAGTGTTTGAGGACCACCAAAGCCTGAAGCAGGTAGAGCACACCTTCAAGTTTCATATGCATACATGAAAAGCCAAGGCAGGCAGAGCAGCAGCAAAGACTGCCAGAGTACAGATCATGGCAGTGACAACACATATAACTCTAGAGAAATAATGTTTGACATTTGATAATTGGCCATGTTAAGATTAGCTGATATATAGTGGGTTGAGCTTGGCTTTGTAGCCTGCCTGAACTAACACCATGCTTAATTTTATCACTAGAGACTTCCCTGCCTGATCATGAGCATATGTGGAAAGCTGGTGTATGCATGAAAAGCAAAGGCAGGGAGCTCAGCAGCAAAGATTCTTTATAACAGAGCTGTTTTACTTCCTCAGGTGAATGTGGCTTACACAGTTTATTAATCTTATTTTCTAACAGGAATAAGACAAAATCTCTTGCCTTGTTTTGATCTTTTTGCAGTGTATCAGTCATTCCCATTCTGTCCCAACGTTGCAAGCATTTGTGGTATTTTGCACTTTTTTTCTGCCTTAGAATGTAAAACCGCCATCAAGATTAGATATTTAGAGAGAACAGAAGAAAGTAAAGATGTAAAAATAAAGAGAGGATATACTTTAAGAGGATGCTGAAGAGAACAAAAATGATTTTAAAAAATACCAGAAATACACATCAACATTCAAAGATGTGACAGTGCTACTAAACTAGCATGTTGATGTTTTGTCTGAGCTGTTTTTTCTTTCCTGTATATGTGTTTTTGTTTTGATGTTACCACCTTGAAATTCAGATTTTGCGTCCTTGAACGAGGGCGTCCTGTGTGCTTGTTTAGGGGGATAAAGGCAGAGCAGCTGGTTTACTCAAACTTGGCAGTGAAAACTACACAGAACAACTGAGGGATTTCTATGCAACATCAACAGGGTGAAGATGGTAACTGCATTTTGACTTGGCAGAGGAAAAATTTGTATATTTTTGTCTTTGCACTGCTGTTTTTTTTTTCTTCTTAAAACCCTCATAAGACTTTCTTTTAAGAGTTAATTGTTGTTTTGTACTGCTTTATTAAGCTTTATTTATTGCCTGTGAAAAGATTTCATATGTTGTATTATATTTGTTTACAGTACATATCAGTTGTACATAAAAAAAAGAAAGAAATTTTGTTTTTATACACAAAGTAGTGCTTGTTTACAACATTTAGAGGGCCTGAAACTCAGAGAACCAACTTTTTTGCCCCTTGCACGAACACACACAAAAATTAAAATCCTCAATTTCATTGTTTTGAATGAAAATAGAGATCACTTCCCTATTTCATCCTTTTCTGCGCCCTTTGTTTGAGTATGTGACAAAATGACCAAAATAGACAACATTGTAATCGGTGGAAGTTACCTGAAATGACAGTAGTCTTAGTTTAGCTCAGTGTGTGTTTTTAATTTGGCTTTACTTTTATTCCCATGTGCTTGTGTGTGTAGCATCCTCACAGAAAGTCCATGCATGTCATCGGCTCCAATGCATATCTCTTCTTTTAAGTGTCGTCTGTCTAAAAAAAAAAAATCAACTTTAAAATCTCTCAAAGAATTACACACTAACACAGGAAACCACACACTCACACACAGATGCCATCTCTCTCTATTTCCAACCTTGTAAATACATAGCTTTTTTATACTGGGGTTTGGGGAGCAATAGGTCTTTTAGCAGACAAAAAAGGTGTGTCATAGGCGTCAAAGGACTTTTTCTTTTTCTCTTGATCAATGTACAGTGGATAGACTGAGAAATGAGCTTCTGTCTGTCTGTAGGGACCCACATGTACCTGACCCTTTACACCAAACACTAAAGGTTTACCAGAGTCTAACTACACTGAAGTCTATCTTAACAACTCGAGCAGTTGCAGGAGAATTTAAATGTGCTCACACTGGATGTTGCATGTTTTGTTGGTGGTTCATACTATTTTTGTGTCCAGATATTATTAAAGAAAAAAATAAGAATGAGGTAGAGAAAGATATAGAACAAAATGTCATAGAGGGAAAATACAATTATTAAAGATGTATGCTGACTGTACAAAGATTATGCTTGTAAAACCTGTCTGGTTTTTCACCTGTAAGTAATCAGAAAAAAATCTACTGTCATGGTTTTGTGATTGTATACAGGAGGTATTGATAAATTATGCAAATTGTGCTGTAAAAATGGCTGTTGCCCCATGTCTAAATATTAAATATAAGTACAAATGAGGTGGTGTGTGTTGACCTTACTTATAATTTAATGTACTAAAATCTCCTTCAGTTCTTACTTTTTCTTAATGTGACCACATCCCACATTGTTGGCAGTCAGCTATTTCGAGTAAGCAAGGTAGAGGTCACCTCAAAGTATTTTCCAGTTTTGGTTTTTAGATGATACAAACATAAGTCAAACGTCATCAGACACACTGCAAATATATTAAATCTTTAAGTTTATGCAGTAGTTTGCTGATAACATTGAACACCTGCAGAAGGACAACAGTAACTTGGTATGGTACAGCAAAAAACAAATATTGAAATTTGGTTAATACATTATTTTATTTATCTAACTGAAATGCAGTTAGATTTATTTAGTGGCATGGCTCAGTTCTGCCCTTTTAAAGTGCCAAAGCCTGAGGCAGGTAGAGCCCACCTTCAAGTTTCATATGCATACATGAAAAGCCAAGGCAGACAGAGCAGCAGCAAAGAAAGCCAGAGTACAGATCATGGCAGTAACAACATATATAAGTCTAGAAAAATAAAGTTTGACATTTGATAACTGGCCAGTGTTAAGATTAGCTGATATATAGTGGTGGCCTGCCTGAACTAACATCATGCTACATTATTTTATTCTCATGATCTCACTCTTTTTCTTCCAATCATTACTTTTTAAAAAGTTGAATATATTCCAGTTATTCTGATCAGGTTTATTTTAAACAGCCATGCGTAGGTATGCCCATTATGTGTTAGCAAAGAGGTGAAGTAACAGCTTATGACCACAAGATAGAGCTGTGTGCCTAAATTTGAGTCATGCTGACATCCTGTTACAGCTTCCACAGCAGTGTCTCACACATGGATATAAAAGTAGGACTAACCACCAGGGTATAAGTGAAGAAATGACCCTACATGGGCCTGAAATAAAAATAATATTATGTTTGCAATTTTTATTCTCTCTGAAGTACATTTTTATAACTATGACACACTCACACAACATAATTTTTCAATGAAGTGTAGGGTTTCTCAATATCAAAATACCATGTTTCAGTAAATTAACTTTTTCATTTGCTTCACTGAGGATTGAAGGTTGAATACACAGCACTGAAGAAAGTATGAGCACCAGCATGTATATAGTTCTACCAGCAGGGGGAGTGTGGAGAGTTGCCCAATGACCTTTTACTTATTCGTGCTTTCTTAGGAGCTTTGTGGGGACATATTGACCCTCTGTCAAAAACATTAGCGCTGAGTTCAGAAGTAAATCGACTGGATGGCTGAATGCAACTCTTTCTGCTTTGCTCTTGTGTGCATATTTGTGTTTGCAGACAGCTTTTACATGTGTGTCCTGCAGGGTGGTGACTCTGCAGCAGCAACTATCAACCATCTGCTTCTGTCTGCTTAAAATGAGCCAGAGTGAGGTTTTTTTTTAACATTTTACACTTCATAATCTTCATCTAAAATGAAACAATCCAATCTTATTTTTAATGTGTAAGGCTTGATGGGGCCTAACATGAGCTTCTTGATCCTGGCTGATGATATGGTGTAATTATAATCTTTGCATGGACACCTGTTGCAGGCACCATATATGGGGTGATAACTGCATGACTTGGTGAGCAGCAATTAGTTTCAGCTGCACTTTTAGGAGAGAGCTGAGGTCTCACCAAGAGCTATATATACGGTCACTTAGTCTGGTTTAAATGTAAGCAGACTTTCCAGCTCCTTGTCAATGTTGTGTAGCAAGCAGGGACAAGGAGTGAAGAGGATATTCTTAAACCAGCAAAAACAGCTTTAACCAAGTTAGCTGGTTAGCTAAAGTTAGCTAACTTCACTATTTCTCCCAGTTGCAGTAAGCTTAGCTAACAAGTGGCTGGCTGTAGCTTTATATTCAGCATCATATCTTATTATTTGTGAAAGAAAGAAGGAAAATGTTTGGACACAGTTTGGCTGACTCCACCTTTTCTCTTTGCGGTAAAGTATCATAATTTGATAAAAGATGGCCTCGCTCTTCTTGCCAAATCCAACTGTGCTATCTCCATTACACCCCTCTCATCTCGTTTAATGTTCCTTTGTTGTCTTTCATGTTCAACCCCTCCAACCCTCTTCTCAGTAACTCCCTCCTGTCCTCTCCCTTTCTCTTTCGGATGCATCCCTTAGATCCTTCACTTCTAAAGATGTTTGTTTCCCTCTTTTGCCTTTCAAAGATGTGGCCTACGTCAGACAGGGGCCTGGAATATGCCCTGCGTCTGTGAATCACTGAGCAGTGAGTCTGATCAAACCGACAGAAATCTGGCGAGGCCGCATCAGGCGACATTGCCGGGTGCATCAGCTTAGCCACGGTCAAAGAGAGTTCACACGCCTATCAGACGTGGCTCCTTCTCCAAAGAGAAACTGTCAAAATTAGATTCATTGGATGTGTTTGTTCTTTGAGGCTTCTTTTAGGGACTCTTGGCAAAGAAGACAATAAATGTTATGAAATAATTATCAGCATTTATACGCTTCAGTGTGTTAAAGCATGATAGAAACACAGCTAAATAGATGATGATAATGTTTCTCCATCTAATAGATCATTTTTTAAACTGTTTTTAATGAGACTTTGTAGAGGCAGTCTTGGTCCTTAGGGGATAAATCCAGCCGGGTTCAATGATCTTGTGTATTTCTCTCGAGCACTAATGAAGTTTAAATAAGTTATTGCTAGTTTTTGACAATGTGTTATTAATTTGTTTTATTTATTAGTACTTTTGTGGATGCAGCAGAGAATATGCAGCACTTGACTCCAAGACAAATTTCCCAATGGGGACAGTAAAGTGTGTCTGAATGCACTGTATCATAAAGTATCATATCATCTCGTCTCATATCGAATCATCTCATATCGTATCATTTTGTATCATAAAGTATTGTATTGAATCATATCATACCGTATCGTTTCATACCAGATCATACTGTATTGTATCTATTTTACTGTATCATTTAGTATAGCATTGTAACATACCATACTGTTTTTGTTTTGCATCGTAGCTTGTCGCGTTGTGTCATATCATATTGCATCGTAGAGTATTGTATAGTAACATATCACAACATATCACATACATACCATGTCATATCATACCAAAATATCGTCATTGTATAGTATCATGTTGTGTTGTATTGTATCCTATCTGTATCGTATTGTTCCACATTACCAAATGAAATAGGCTACGTCAAAATATCTTCAATAGGTTAGCTCAAAAATTTTGTTCATATTGTGACATCATTGGCCCTCAGAATTTTAACAATTGGGATTTATCAATCAATTAATCAATCAATCAAATTTTATTTATATAGCGCCAATTCACAACAGTCGTCATCCCAAGACGCTTTTCAAAGAACAAGAGCAGGTCTAGACCACGCTCATTTATGCATGCTAGCACGCTAAACTGGGGTGATAAATACTATACCACAGAACATACCATTAGGGTATAATCGCATGCCAACATCGCCAACTAGCTTGAAGCGGAGCTAATTGCATGGCTCTAGATTCCCGCAGTTGGCAATATTCAACTTACTTGAAATTAAAACTGATGGAAAATGTTTCTGGTTGGAACCTGTTTCCTCTTGTTCATTGATCCAAAACATTTTACATCCTGCAACAATTACAGAGAGACTTGTTTGGTAGCAGGAGAGCAAAACCATCTGGACTTTGATTTAATGAACGGGGCCTTCTTCCTGTTGGGCTAAATTTGCTCTCCTGCTTCAAAGTGGACATCTGGAAAAGTCCAGATGTCAAATGATACATGGACATAGATGTGCTGTCACTACCAGTGAAAAATGTTGGCGTCTTAATATTGGATGAAGCCAGAATCTAATGTGAATTAAGCGTAGGCCTAGAGGGCAGCCTGGTAAATGTCAAAGGGTGGAGCTGTGGATCATGAAGCCTGGACTGAGATGATACATTTAAACCAGAAAGTACATTTGATAAGTTAGAAGAATAAAAACATTCATCAGAGCCATCTGTTGCAGTGTTCTGCTGCACATGTTGCTTAGACGAAGACTATGTTTTCTGACATGTCACCATTGACCTCTGATGGTACAGCGGCCATCTCCCATTGGCGCCAGTTTTGCTGCTAACGTTTTAAGCCAGGTTGGAACCCTGAAAAACTATAATTTTTCTTGCCTGATAAGTAACTGCAAAGACTTGATTGCTAGAAAGTGGTAAAACCCCTAGAGCCACTATCTGCCAGGAACTAATGAGTTATGGGATATGCAGTTTTACTTTGAAATATGGTAAGATTTTAATTAAAAAGTTTTGTTTAGAGGCTTATTTGTTGAATACATTAAAATGATATTATATGACTAACAAACTAGAATAAACAAATCAGACTTTACCAGCATTTGAATTATTCCCTATGTAAATGAAACTATCTTTATAATATAAACACTGACAGGAAAAAAAATAGATATACCATGTTGAGAGGACACAAGATTTTACAAGTGAAACAACAAATTGAGCAGGACGACTAAAACCCCTCATGCCCAATCACCTTGGATACCCCCTGAAGGCTTCGTCTTGTCATTGGATGCCTGTTTCACCCTGAGGCCCCCTTTGCTGGGCCATAACTTCTCCTCCTGACAGAATAGCTCTCACTAATAGTAATGTGATCAGTCAGTGCACAGAGAGGACTCAGGCTGCCCCTGTCCAGAGTGAGACATCATATCACACACATTCGACATCACTTCCCTCTCACTGAGTCAACAAGGCACAACCGCGCCGACTGTCACCGAGGAGGAAGTTTGGCGTAAGAGAGCAGATGGGGATTTTTATGCAGTGACCTAAAAAACTTTGTTTCATCAATGATGATTGGAAGTCAAAGGCAAAGATGTACAATGGTAGCTACCCACTGAGCTTTTTTTGGTCTAAAAGAGGTCGAATAGACGTCTAAATATAGCCTAGACGACTGGTCTAAAATCAGGCTACCACAGGTCTAAAAATTGAAGTTTTTTAGATGTCTAAATTTAGACCAAGTTTAGACTAGCCGGCTAACAGAGGTCTACACTGTATATTGCTTAATGGCTATCATAATCATTTTAGTTAAGTACTTGGAGATCAGTTATGCAACTCACAGTTGCTTTTTGAAATAAATAGTTATCGAATAATGGGTTAAAGTGCAACGTCTAAATTCTGTTTCAAGATATACAGAATCTAGATGGTTGAAATTAGGTCTAAAAATAACTAGACATCTCATTGCCGTCTATTGCTCAGTGGGTAATAATTTTCAGGGAGGCACAGACAGACTTTTGGCTTTGCTTAAGTTAGTCGACTATTAGGTTAAATACTATCATGAAGTCAGAGGAAGAAATTTAACAACTCTTACCTCACAGAGTTAAACTAGCAGGGGTTAGCTTAGCATGGTTTGTTTTGTCCTAACTTGAGATGCTCTGAAGCAACAATTATATTTTGATCCCGATTGTGACATGATTTAATGTGGGATCACAGTGTCTAAACATGTCAAAATGACTTGTCAAATGTGTGGCTAAAGTTAGCAGAGTTAGCACCACCAACCCTGGGTCCTCTTCTCAGGCCAACATTCAAATTTTTGTTATTTGCCTGTTTAACCACACACAGCCTACATATGACTTTATCTTCATTTTCTGGATCCAAATACTGCAAGATGGTCGGCTGTAGCTACTTCTTTGCATCTGGGTTGTCGAGCATTACAGCGGTGAGGCTAAAGTCATTACTAAGCAACAGCTCAGGTCAGTAGCAGGGTGCATCATTGCAGATTATATCCTATTAATGAGCATAAGTTTGAGAGAATAGTTATAAGATATTACCGATTTGTATACCTGACTTGTGATTTTGTTGCTGACTATCAATAGTGCCAGGGTTTAATCATTTAGTTTTAAAAAAGTGCAAATTCCCAGTCCTAGCCTTACTAAATCTTGCTAATCTTTTATTTTTCATACCAAAGCTCCAGTGTTAGAACTGCTTTTGTACCGGACCATAAAATTTGCTATCTAAGAAAGTCAATACCCATAATATAATAAAATCTCAAAATCAAAATAAATCCCCTCTCAGGATCTATTTCAGCTGATTTCTGCCGCTCCACATCTCTGATGGTATGTTGCTTTTTCTTCCACATATTTCCAACTTTTTATTAAACAGTTGGATTTGACAGTGAGGAATGTAATGGTATCAGCTTATTCAGAAATATAACCTATCACTGCCAAGAAGATGCCGAGCAGGGGAGAGGCTGATTAAACTTGGATACAATTTGTTGCCAGGGTAACACACTTGCACAGAGAGAATTAATAAATGAATCATGCTTGGCAGCCTGTCGGGGGGAGAGGGGAGAGGAAATACAGGATAATGAAAGAATTTTGCATTAATGCAGTTTTTGTTTTCCACTTTAGGGCTCAGCGGTATACACACTAATTTGTTTGTCTTGCAACTTACAGACAAATATGAGCGGATGTGACATTTAAACTTCTCCGACATGAGACAGATTTGACAGATGCCTCATCTTATTGTATCATGTCATGTGGTTTCGACTGCTCGCCAAATGCTTACAATCTACAATTTCCCACTGTTGTCAGCATTAAGAAAAGTAAGCATAAAAAAATGAAGATGATCAAAAATGAAGGAGTTAGCCAAAAAGGAGAACACACACTGCCTTCTTTTCCTGACTTTGAAGAAAAATGATGCAAAGAAGAGCAACGGGGGATTTTTAAATTGGCATTTGCATAAAATGTAAAGGCTCTTTACCCCCTGCTTGTGTTTTCAAAAAACTAAAACTTATCAGTCACTGTTTTCTCTTTTCTGCTCTCCATTAAAAATAAGCAGAGGAGAGGATGGGGTTACAACTTTCAAAAGATGATTTCAGTTTTTCAGAAGGCGACCACCACCAAAGTCTATGTTTATGTCGGATGATTTAGATAAGAGGAGGCTAAATATGTGTTTTCAATTAAAGATATCTACTTTTAACTTTTAGAGAAGCTACTTTATTCTCTGCTGTCATACTGAGTATCCATGTCTCTTGTTTTGCTGTCGCCACGCTGCTCCAATCATGAACACACACTCCTAGCATGTGCACCCACTGGTTGGAAAAAACAACAGCCTCCCGGCTTGGTCGTGAGGAGTCTGTGTGGAGACAGCCAAGGGGTTGCTAGGCGACGGCAGCAGGGCTATTCCCTGGACAGGTGGGTTGGGTCGGGAGCTGGTGATAGAGGCCACACCTGCTGCCTGCCGGGCAAACACACATGTATACACACACATTCCTAATTCGCGCAGAAACACAACCTTTACATCAACCCCCCTGTCGCTCTCCATTACACACACACTTGCACTCTTGAGTTTGGCTCTTTGGTTGCTCTTTTCTGGAAACGTGACCTGGAGCTAGCTCTGCATTCATGGTCAACAGGTTCAAATAAAAGAGCAGTCAACCACGATAACTCCACAACCTTTTCAAAAGCTGAATTGAATATGCCAAACAAAAACAGTATTTTGGTGTCTATGTACAGCCACTTTTGGTCGATTTGATCTATTGTTTATATCGTTGTGTAAGTGCCTCAGACCTGCTTTTTTCCGAGTGCCCAGAAAGAGGTGACTTTTCAAAATAAATAGTACCAATAGTTATGAAACAACAGCTGTGCCCAAATTTGGGGCTGTATCCTTCAAAGGACACATTTCAAAACCGATTCCATCAAAGGGTGTGCAACAAAGCTGTCCCGTTTTGAAAGCTCCTTCAAGTGCAGCTGACAAATAAGTCCCTGTTTTTCCAGGTCACAAAGGATTTTTCAATCATGTTTCAGTTCAATCATTCGTATAATGACAAAAGGAAGAGTCAAGTTGTTTATAGTATATATTGCACAGCCTATGATGGTGACACATAGTGAAAAAAGGTTGTGGCGGCAAAAATGGCTTTACTATTGGGTGAAATCACAACTTTTTACTGCATACATCAGTTTTTCTTGTCTGCTGCCTGTTAAAGTTTTTGCAGAAAGGGGTGGTGATCATAGACTGTGTATAGAATGGACAGCGTCTGCCTCCTTGCTGGGTGAAGCCACTCCGAGAACAGCGCCCTCTGGTGACAGGCTGCAGTATAGGTCATAAATCCCGCCTCCTCTTTCCATCCTGTGCTGTGGACAAACTTTAGAAATTTATTACGCAGAATATAAATTTTTCCCCCCCTTGCTTGTGATGTTGACATGTAGTTATTCTAAGACTGGTTTGTGCTCAAGTCCTCTTTTTTTCTGTGCAGCTCCATTTTTAAAAGTTATTAGGGGGTTCATGTTTTCTATGATTGACACCTGATACAGCCTATGGGCATACGAAGATTGCGTAGCTCACCCGGGGGATATGCTGTTTGAGCCGAGCGTCATCACAGCGACTCTCCCGCCAAATGTGTAATGCTACTGCGCAATGTTGGTTTCAAGAAGTGGAGAAAAAACGCAGAATCACTGAGAGCTTTTCTGCTTCAAATCCGTATACTGGCAGAGTTGGAAGTTGTCCATAGAATGCACAGTCTATGGTGGTTATCATGAAACAATATTGGGTGCAAAATCAGAACAAAGAATGCAGGACTCTACATAAAAGGGGACTGCACATTCAGGCGGGAGATTTCCTTTTAATTTTAATGTCAAAAATATCGCTCTGAATCCAACTTGAAGTCTGTAATCTAATTACTTTCAAGAATGTATTTAGTCAAACTTAAATTGCTTCTTTGAGGAGCTTTAGTAAAACAAACTAATCCCTGTGAAAATCCTAGGTAATCCTGTTTAAGAGAGTGTTACATGTGTTTAACTGGAATGAAAACAGTAGCAGCATGAAGGATTTGTGTTGGATTTTAAAAGTTTTTTTTGATAATTGGGAATCACTTTTCATACTAACATATCAATGTCCAAAACTTATATATTTTTTTCCCCTAAATCCTTTCTTCCTAATCTGTGAACTCACTCATCTTCCTCTCCTAAAGCCCTGCCCAGCAAGTGTTCCCACAGGGGCAGCACTAATACGAGCAATAGTGAAACCTGAGTGATGGGAAGCCCATTAAATCTATTTGCGTGATTCATATAGTAGCAGGTCAGCAACACTCAGGCTTGTTTGCCTGCCATGACCTCTCTTTGGAGAAACAGTGAACTCAAACACACGCACACATTCCTAATCAAACTGTGGACAGAAATTAAATTCAGTAACTTCAGGGTTTCATATTAAGTGAAGTGCTCAGAGGAAATTAGTCAGAGATTAGTTTTGTATCAGACATGGCTTTTTGGAGATAAAACTCATTAGAAAGTACAGTATATTCTTCTGGTATTTACCCAGATGATTGTCCCAGCTAAGGGAAATGTCACTTCATATTAAATTTGCCTCAGCCCCTTGAAGCATGTGAAATTTTATTATCACATTTCTGCATAAGCGGATGCACTGACTGCACTGCTGCAAATTAAATGAAGGCCTATAATGGTATAAATAGTAAAACAGAGGACCTTTATGAGATGGCTGTTTTCTTTGAGTTTCCTGAGAGATGTTGACCAAACCTGACAGATGAAGCAGACAGACTTATATCTAGAAGTAAAATAATCTCCACCATGATGTAGTTTGTGGTGTATCGTTGTTACTTAGCATAACACGACCGAGAATGTAACCTAAAAATTTGTATTGATCAACATTCAGCTGTACTTTAGCCTGCTAGCTCGAGATGCTTTCTCTGCAAACCACTTTGCAAAGCCCCTCCACCCCAGCTCCTCATTTTATTAGCCGTGCCTGATTCTCTCAATGTTATATGTCCTGTTACTAATCCCCGCCCATGCTCAGGGGTCTTCTAGGGGTCTTTGCAGCTGCTGTCCCTGCCTCAGCCTTTTATGTATGTACCAGAAATGAAGGGGGGTGGGGTAGGGGGTGCTGTACCTCGGTTGTTCAGATCTGCACATTATATGAAGGTGTGAGTGTGTGTGGGCGGAAGGTGTGCTCTACCTGGTTTTGCTTTTTGTTGTGTACAGTTGGTGAAGAATTGCTTCTATCATCTGCGGAACATAGCTAAACTGAGGTCCATGATTTTAAGACCGGATATGGAGATGAGAATTCATGTCTTTGTTTAATGTCACATTGACTATTGTATTGTAATGTGAATTTCCCAGTTTGGGATCAATAAAGTCTATCTATCTATCTATCTATCTATCTATCTATCAATCTATCAATCTATCTATCTATCTATCTATCTATCTATCTATCTAATGCTCTTTTCATGTGTTTTAACAAAAAGGCTATAAATCGCCCTCAAACTGTTGACCTTATGTAGCAAAGAGTCTTCTGAAAGTTTTAAGTAAGAACTTAACACTTATCTTTTTAAACAGGCTTTCAACTGATGTTGGCGTTTTTTATCCTTTGTTGTAAAGCACTTTGTGATCTTATCTATGAAAAGTGCTATATAAATTAAATTTACTTACTTAATTTCATATATATACTCATGTAAAAGGTCAGAGGGCTCTCAGGACGGAGACATTATGTAAAATTTAAAGGTGGGGTAGGCAGGATCTGAGGAAGTGCCAGTTTTTTGCAGAAATCTTGAATGTAAACTCTACCCCTCCCAACCAGTTTTCCCCTCAGCTCCTCCTCTCCCCTCCCTCTCTGCTCAAGCAAGCCCCGCCCACAAACAGACACTCCTACTCGCTCGTATCGTTCTAATTAAATTCAGATATAATGCAGATAAATATTTCAGATAATTACACATGGGGCCCAATCAACGTGAAAGTGAAAAGCATTGGTGCTACTGTAGATGTCAACAGACTACCAGCAAACACAATGTTTGCAGGACTTCTACAACTAGGTTAAAGTGACATACTCCAGGGGCCTGTTCTACGAAGCAGGATTACTGCTTAGCGAGGTAACTGCGAGGGTAAGTTTGGGATTTCCTGTTCTATGTCGCGGGTTCTCTTCTTAGCGAGGTGAGTCTCCATGGCAACGTACGCTGAACAGCTAACCTGCTCCAGGGCAGGTTAGGGTCCAGATTGAACTCACTGAGTATAAAAACCCCGCCCACTGACCAATGAGCTCTCTTGAAAAATGGCTTGTCCGTTCTTGGAGGATCCTATAGACCTCGGTGCTCGCATTGTCTGAGGAGCAGTCCGGCGCGCAAGAGTTTTCAAGGACCGCACGGACCCACTTGTATATGGCCTACATATCACACAAAAAATGTAAACACGATAGGAATGAACAAATGAATGAATTCATCTTGGAAATAAATTAGACATGTCTGGTGCATGTTAAAAGCGCATGTTGAACGGTTCTATTTCAGGGTGATAATGGCATCAAAGATTTTTTGCACACTATACTTCCGCATTGAGACTGTCTGCAATTTTCTGCCAGCATTCCTTCCGTGCTTTTGCAGCGGCGACGGTGTTGCTTTTGAGGTTTATGATAGATTTGAATTCTTCATTCTTTCTCATGATCGTCTCCTGCTCCTCATTTGTAAAGCATGCGGTTCTTCGCTCTCCGTCCTGCTCTGATGCTCCAGACTGGTCCATGCGATTGGTCAGATGCGGCAGGCTCCGCCTTACATGCGTGCACGCGCTCATAGCAAAGCTGGATCCACTTACGAGGTTGTTAACCAGCGTCGTAAGACCGTTTAGCGAGACCACTGGCTACCGAGCTAAGTCGAGCAAGGTAGCTCCAAGGCTACCTCGCTAGGTTGAACCTGCTTCGTAGAATAGGCCCCTGGCCGCTCAAAAAAAATTTATAATGTTGACTACACAGACATAACAAAACACAGTGATATTGTTATATTACCAAATGTCATCAACAAAAAAAGATGCTACTTACCTACCCCACCTTTAACTGCTGTATAAAAATATTTGATTAATGAAAGTCGTCCTGGCTAAAGTGGGGATGTAGCTTTGTTTATCAAAGGCAAAATCAAAATTGATTTTATGGTATCAAAACAGGTCTTGGAAAGATTTGTTCTTCAGGGGACAAGAAAGGAAGATCAGTCCATTACACTGATTGAAAAGTTTAGACAGAAGACGCACAGAGGTGGCTGTTTGGTGCTTAGTGGTGGTGCCAAGTGTCTGGCGCTTGATCAGACTCCAGCAGGGACAGGGCTCTGTGTAATTGCTGCAGCTTGTGGTTGTGGGTGGAGTGGACGCCCGGAAACCCATTTGCGCGTCGGCAACACAAACACAAAAACACACTGTAAAAAATGCGGCACACATGCAACGACATCTGGTGTCATAGGAAACACAGCAAGAACTTTTTTTTGATGATTTCCTGAGATATTTACTTGAATCATTAGCCTAAAATAAAGTGATGTAAACTTACTCCAAAGTCAGAGAAATAAATGATCCAGAGAAATTCAGGAAAATATGATTAAAAACGTTTTGTTCAGCAGCTGCTTTCCGTTTTTACACTTTCCCACGTGTGTAACCATAACAATCCCTCTGCTTGGGAACCATTGAGACATTTTTTACAGTGTGCGGAGTGGCACCGCTCTGCCGGCCAAGCTGAGAATCTAAATGCGCCCTCCCCTTTCTCTCCTTTTATTTTCTGACACACGCCGTAGATGTGCACTAATAGCACATCGCAGTTTGACACACACACTAACAGTCACACACACACGTACACGCGCACAATTGAACGAAAATAGCACACACTCCTTAACTCCACCGGTGGGGGGGACATAGATACCAGATGAGATTTGTTTCCAAACGCGCACCGATGGCGGTGTGAGGCGTTTGCTTGGGAAGTACGCACGGCTCTGTGGATTTGTAAACCATTATTTTTTTGGTGTCTACCCTCTCTTTTGGCCCGGATCTTGGTTGAAATGGACTTAAAGAAAGCTATGGATTACTCAGTCTGCGTACTTTTACTCCTGTCAACCATTTCGTCTGTGTCGACCGGACAATTCCCATCAGAGCAGATGTGAGTACAGCTTCAAAACAGCCTGTTGGCTTCTCAAACTCTTGATAATGTGCTCTGCAGCTTTTATTTCTCACCGATATGAGGCATTTCCTGATTATGGGAGGTATATCGATCTAAACAAAGTACTAGTTGAGGATGTGTGTGGTCACATTGGGGGAACACTATCCTTGAAGCAGCAGAAACGAGAAGCTCTTCCTCCTTCTTTCACAGTGTTGATGACTGCACATTACTTAGGATACAACTTTACCTCCTGAAACATGAGATTTAGAGCTGCTGCCTATTTGCTGCCAGCATGCAGAAGTTTGACATGTGGCTGGCTGTGAAATTAATCATGCCAGGAGGTGGCCTGAGGCTGAGGTCTGAATGAGGGGATAGGGGGTTCCCAAACTTTTCCAATGCCAGCTTTAAACACTTACAGCAGACATCAGTTTGACTTGTCCACATAGAAGGACTTTAGTAATTCATTTCACTGCCCAATATAGTTTATGTTACAATGGAGAAATAGTGCATTGCAAGACTCTTTGCCTGATCAGAAAGGGTTGTCATGAGTTAAATGAAAATAATCAGTTTATTGGCACTAAAATGAGAAAACAAATCAAGCTGAAATGCTGAAAATTTACTGTTTCAAGTATGGTAGCCGTTTAATGCCTGACACCACAAATTATGGCCGGAAAATTTAAATTTTTTTGGAGCTGAAATGTTTATTTCACTTACTACTGAAAACCAAAAGAAATTAAAATGTCCTTAAAATTTTACAAATATATTTATTCATCTTGTTTGGTACATTAGATGTTTTTGGAAGCTAATAATCTCAAAGAGGACATTTTATCATTTATCAGACTGTATTCAGGTGTTTTTTTTTTTAGTAATTTGTTGATCATATTGATTTGATAGAAGCATATAAAAGTATCAAATATGATACAAAAGGCATTAAAGGGTGAAGTAGACAATTCCTGTGTTTCTTTGAAGGGAACATCTTTGTATTTTGGAATCCTTAGGTAGACAAGAGCTATACTCCTTTTTTAAAGAAATCACACAAATCTACTGACTCATTGAGGATCAGGTGCATCTCTATTTTTATGTAGTATATATCTGGCTGAAACAAAGCTGAGCAGGTTTGTTGTTGTTGATGATGATGATGATGATGATGAGTGAAGAAGCTGCTGTACACCCTAGGTGAAGCAGTCCTACATTTATCTTTTATTTGGCCATCTACGGTGTAAAACCCAAAATACCTTCACAAGGCACTTCTCGGAGTCATGATTGACAGCTCAGGATGGTTTTGACTGCAGTCTCTATTTAAATTACTGTAAAACAATCCTGTGCTACTTCACTGAGGTCAAGAGTGCCATGCAGTGGTCAGGTTACGATGCGAGCTCCCTCTGCTGGATAAATTCTTTTAGATGGCCTAATTGTTGATCGGCTGTTTATTTTAACTTTGGATAGCTCATTACAAGTCTCATATGAACATTTACCCCCAAGTGCAAAAAAGATTCAGATTTAGCATAAAAGTGCACATGCAACTGAAGATCTTCACCACATTAGCAAGAAATTTCTGGCTGTTGTTTCAGCATCTTAAATTATTTATCTTGCTTTCGTAAGATAAAAGCCTTGTACTGTTTTTTCCATAAGAATGAGTTTATTTTTGTAATTTTTTAAGAACTTAAATTATGTGAAAGGGGATGTGATTACATAACTTTGAAAAGCTCAAATAAAAACTTTCAAAAATATCGTATCGCCAGAAAAACAGAGTGAATAAATTGTACTGATGAACGCCCCCATGACTGTAAACTGCAACATTTGGTAACTTTAATGGACATGTTTCACTAATTGACGGATTAATGACCCACTTAGGGCTGGCTGAAGCTGAAAGGTAGAGTCAGTGGTATCTCGATCTGAACGATGGCGGTTCAATTCATGCTCCTGCTGTCTACAACATGTCCCCAAACCACAACTGTTGAGACTAATGGATACTTTGCAAAACAACCTCTGTCATCAACGTATAAATGGGTTGTGAAGCACTTTGAGTGGTCAGAGAAAGTGCTATACGAACATACAGTCTCTACAATTATTATCATTAAGCTGAGGAAATAGTTCATAGAGATATGGCAAAGACAGCAGTTATTAGGAGTGGCCCCACTGAGGAATAGTTGGTGCGGTATGAAGTTTTTTAGGCCCTATTCACACAAATGTGCAAATTTTGGTAAAACAGCCTCTATTCAGTGTGTTGACCTTCTGGCTCTCTGTAAACTGAAGCCTGACCAGATAAATGCTGTTCTTTTTGAGAATGTGGGGTTTTCTGTGTTTTGACATCTCATCCGCTTGTAAATGAAGGTTTTTCAAAAATGTCTCTTAAGGTAGATTTTTGAAAGCTCCATTCAGCTGTTGGACAGCAACAACAAAGATTTTTGATAACAATGGCGACCGCTGTTCGGGGGGAAACTTAGCTTTGGAGCATTATCGTATCGTGGCTTGTGGGTAAATAAATCTATCACATTCAATAGTTTTTAATTCACCATTCTTAACACAGTTTAATGACTAGTTTTACAATTGCCAATTGCTCAAAAAGTCACCCAGCATGGGTGCAATGTTTCTTTATCGTGTTTTGAAGCAAGGGACTGATCACACATTACTGCCACCTACTGGCCTGGTGTGCTTATATAACATTTTTGATTGTTGTTGCATTGTCATAAGGTCAGAAATATTCAAAAACACCTGCAGTGGACAGGCAGGGAGAAAAACAAAATAACTGTATGGGTGTTGAGGTAGCTCCACTTTCTAAGAACTGAAGACTTAAAGCCCCAATTTCTTCACTTTTCCTCAAAAGGTTCAGCTG